TTGCACACCTCCCATAATGCACCTTATTTGCCCCCCCCACCCCTCCCCCCCAAAAATTGCAAAACCTTTGTTTTTCGTTTCTCCTGGGTATTACATCCGTCCCAAGAGAAAATAAAACAATGCTTATGTAAAATTTGGGGGGGCAAATAAGGTGCATTATGGGATATGTGCAAGTGGCACATCAAAGATCTATTGAATGTCAAATGAAAAAAAGTTTTTGCAATGAATTTGATCTTGTTGGTGTCAGAGACCTGACTGCATCTGCCTGACCCATGATAGTATTTATCCAGTCAACACAGAGCCCAATTATCGTAACCCTCAAAATACAGGATTTGTATGGTGGAAAATAATCTTTTTTGCATCCTACGAAAATGAAAGGATTTAGATAAAATCGCCCAATCTAACTCAGTTAGGTTGTGTATTTCCTCTTTCTTGTGTGGTCCTGAGCCTATTTATGGCCATGTTATGGGTTGTATTAGACTACGAGTAGTCCCCCATTTTTCCTCAGGGATAGTAGAGCGAGCGAAACGCGAGCGGGCGTGAAAATCACCCCACGCGAGAAAAGGAGACACGCGGCGGGGAGAGAGAAAAATGAGGGACTACTCGTAGTCTAGGGTTGTATTGTAACCGGTTTGTTGTCTCTAATCCATGCAATTAAACCCATAAAATGGGCACAAATCGTCTCGGAAACGTCGAGAACTACTCAATGCAGAAGAAACACACAACGAAAGTTAAAGAGCTCAGCCGATTTTTGATTAACTTCCATCATATAATCGTAGGTTACAAAAACGATTAATTTTTTTCTTATACTAAAAGAGAATATAAATTATCCGTACAAATCCATATATTTGAAGGTTGCTCGATAGTGCTGATGGTCATATTTCAAATACGACACCTGTGTTTAACGCAGGTAAAACATTAAGTGCAATCTGGCACTAGCTTGACAGCCTGCTAACCACCTTATTGGTACTAAATTTCGCAAGTACTTGATTTCGCCATATCTTGGGGGATTATATTTTCGCGATTGCAATAGGCATATATAAAAAAAGGGCATTAAATTTCGCGATTCAATCGTTCTGAGCTTCATTTTATTTGCCAAAAAATTTGAGCTTTTCAAATTTCTGGATAAACTGGTAAAAGAAAAACACAATAGTATTAACCTTTAAGCAAAAGAGGAGTTCTCGGAAACATTTCTGAACATCGTCTGATTATTGCAAATCTTCGAATGGATCTTTAGGTGTCTGTTGTAATATTAAACATGTTAATCAAGTTTTTTCTGTGATTTGAATTTTCTTTATGGATAAAATTTTGTGTGTTCAAATTTCACGAGGATTTTCATACCCGGGTTTTTAATTTCGGTATTTTTTACTGCAATCGAGAAAAACGCGAATTTAAAGACCCTTGAAATGAAGTACCAATAAGATATTAACTCGTTGCCAAAGAGGCAACCGAGCTAAGAAGCGAGGTTGCCTCGGCGGCAGATTCATAATCCCGTACAATGTAGGCAAAAACTCTCAAATTCTGCGTAACCCTCTAAAATTTGCATTTTGACCATACTTGGGTGTAAGTAAGACCGCATATTTAAGCAGTGGTCTCATGATCTCATTTGTATTTACAACTCGTGGTTCGAAATTGGGTGATCCCGTATTCAGCTGTTCGCTTTCTGTTCAAGAGCCCCTAACAGGTGTAACTAAGACCCCATATTAAAGCAGTGGCGTCATGATCTCATTTGTATTTACAACTCGTGGTTCGAAATTGGGTGATCCCGTGTTCAGCAGTTCGCTTTCTGTTCAAGAGCCCCTAACAGGTGAGCAAACTTTAATACGATTTCGAGTTTGAATTGGCTATTAGTGCTCTTGTTTGCTTTATAAATTGCGTTTAAAGCAGCAGCTGATCAAGGAATAGGGTTTTACGCTCCAATTGTTTTCATAACCAACTTGTTCTTCGCAGCTCGATTTACATTGAGGTAGCGTGTTCGCTTCTCGACTCAGAAACGGGGTTTTCAGTGTTATCTTTTCCTTTGCAAATTGAATTTTATGCGGTGGGTAATCAAGGAATACGGTTGTATTCTCAAAACGTTAATCAGAACCAGCTTGTTCTTCTCAGTTCGATTTACATGGAGCCGGTCCTCAGCTCCTGTGAGGAATGCAACGCATTTGAGGACCTTTTGTTTTTTAGAAGTTATTTTTGCCTTTTGGGGAGATTTTTGTCCCTCACCAGCGAGTTCTTTTGCAGCTCGATTTACATTGAAGTCAGCCCTAAACTCCCATGACAAATGCAACGAATTTGCGGACCTTTCGTTTTTAAGGCCGTCATTATAAATCATTTTGCATTTCGAGAGACTCTCGCTTAAACGGAGAAGAGTTTTCCGATTAAACGGAATTGGAAAGAATTTTTCCGCCTTGTTAGCGAATTAGATGAAAAGTTGTGTTTGATTCAATTTCCACAACACAATTGCAGTCGTTATTCATGGTTTGAAAGTAGATTTGAGTTTTTAGCATCACGAATACGCATGGTGGAATGCAAACTAATTTTTTGTATATATAATCTGCTTCAAACCAAACAAAGCTACCAATTGTAGCAGCATTAGAAAAAACTCTGGTAGTAGAATTTTATCAATAATGCTAAGTACTCAAGAGATCATAGCACGTGTGTGGCAGAGTATACGGAATAATGCTTCTACAGCGGAGGTGGTGGTCTCTTAAGAGCACTTCCTGGTGGTCTGGATTTCATGGTAAAATATTGTTAAAAGCCAGCGAAAAAATAAACGTAAATGAACAAGCCTGAATTTTTTGGCATGGTTTTCAAACGCCTCAGGTTGATATTCAACTGTGAAGATTGAATACACTGTCATCAATTGTTGTTTATCATTTTTATTGCAAGAACAAGGAAACTATAAACGAATCGGAGCATAAAGCAAGTTCTAAAAGCCAAGGGAATTTAGGCTGATTTCGCGGTGAAAATGGATACCATTTTTTAACGTTTATTCATTCGTTATTGTAAAAACCCTTCTCATCAGGGGCACCCAACGGCAATTTTCGGGAAAATATCTGTTCGGAAGACGATTTGAGAACTAGAATTTTCGGAACATTTGTTGTACAATTTCTTGCTTGCCTGCCTCTCCTAGGATTTTCGAACATCTACAAAATGGTATAATTACCCATTTTAAACGGACATTTACCCTAAAAAAGGCCACCTAGAATTTTCAGGAGCCTTTTTTCTGGCTGAAATTTTCGAAAAGGTAAGTTTTGATCCCTATAATTTTCGGATCACTAGACTTTCAGCTAGGAAATCCGAACAGATGAAAAGTTTTTATGGGATAAAAATATGCCTATATCTACCGTTTAAATACTAAAATACGTTCAACAATGCTATGTTAAGTGGTTTTGAACTATAGCCTCGTTGGGTGCCCCTGTCTCATGGCAACTTGCCAAAGCCACTAAGTAAAAAAATTATACAAAGTTAGCAAGTGAAAAGAAAATTGAGGATATCTTCCGTTTCCTTATTGGCAAGACTTTGTGAAAGCTGTTTTCCTTTCCACCTCAAAAAAATTCACCACTGAAACATCGCACATGTTTTGTTGCACGTTCTATGTGCGTCAGTTGATTGTTTCCCTTTAAGACTAGTTTCACAACCCCTGCGTTTTGCACTCACCATACTGAATTTTTGTTCCTTTTAAAAACTTTGGTAACTGTATGTGGACTGACTGCCTTCATAAATGTCGTTGATTTTCGCGCAAATTAACGTGAAACTCTGAACAAATGCGATTTATATCGTGCCGGACACAAAAAGCTAAGACAGGAACCTGGCTTAGACTGAAACGCTCCAGACTAGAAACATAAGATCAAGTGGTTTGATATTTTTAAAGATAGTTTGTGCATTCTGTTTTCTGACAACTTATGCAATTTCTGAGGGCGCTCACTTCTGAAATGCGCTCGTAGATTTACGTCAAACTAAAAGAGTTAGTTTTGACTTGGTGTGCATTTTACATCATCTTGACTGAGCGGAAAAGAGTGTTCCGCTAAATCGGAACACTCTATTAGATATTTGTATTTTATTCGAGTTTATATTTTTATACCTCTGATACATTCCTTCGCATTCTTGCGCTTTTTTCATATGTATATTACTATGGGGAATATGTTTCTTACACGGTCTTATCCTTGATGAAACTGTTGATCGGCGAAAGCTCGGAATTTAGTTTTTAATTTCAATTTTAGCAGTCAAGGGCCTCACTTGAACTATGTTTTACTTTCTAACGTTTATGGTTTTGATTTCCATAAAATATAAGTGCTTTCCTAACTTGCTCCAATTTACCAACAAAGCTTCAAGCCATACTGTCATTTTTTAACAGAATTGAAAGCCTATATGATGTACCAAGTTTTTTTTCTAAAGATGAGTGCCATCCTTTTCTATAGGGGAATCAATTGCAAACCTCTAAAATTATGTAACAAATCGCGAAGATCTTATATTTAATAGGCACGTTCCATAAAAGATAAATGAATTCGCCTCATTGGTACCCCTAGTTCTTTTATTTTATATATGATACAGAATGTGTGATCAATGCCATGCGATCGTATTTTTCAAATCGTGAATCTGCCGTTGGGTTATACTCTAAAGGAATTGGTTCGGATTTAAGCAATTTGATCACAGAGTAAAAAAAAACCTCACATGCCTGCATTTACTAGGAACTGAAAAAACAATTGAAAACGTGAGCATTTTGAGGGCGATCTAACAGGCGGAAGTCGGAACTCGGAAATCAGAAATTGAGTGGAATTCGGACGTGCGAATTCGGATTCGAAAGTCGGAAAATAGAGACTGAGCTAAGTTACCACATTTGTCCTTTAATAAATTTCCGCATTGACACCATGACATCCATTCGTCTAACAGCTAGTTATATACAGGGCTTTGTTCGTCCATCAGGTCATTGGAGAAGTTGTCTTCTTGGATAAAGATCTCCCCAGAAATTCATGGGCATCGGCACGAAAACTCTTCATGATCGTATGATGAAATCATCACTAGCAGTAGTTCTTTTTGGATTTTTCATCTCTGTATTATGGTAAGTGCTAACATAGCTGCTACATTTAAAAACTAAAGGTACCCGAATATATCTGCTCTACTTTTCTTCTTTTTTTATCTCTCCCACCGTAGGTCTGGAAGTAGCTCCGCTCCTAAGACGTCCCTCGAATACAACTGGGAACACGAGAGATTTACGGATCATTCTATTAAGATCCGGCGAAACGTGTTTAAAAGGGAATCAGGTAATTTTTAAAACCCGTGTAAGAGGGTTCCGAGTAAGGGGGGATGTCCTACACACATTTCACAGACATAACGAGAAATAACGCATCGTGGTGATTAAAATTCTGTGTTCACGTTTCACGGTACAACGTTTGACTGCAAAGTGAGAGGGCCACACAAATACTTCATAGGGTCTGAAAAATAACTAAGAAATGAAAGTTATTCCTTTACCTTGTAAACGGCTAGATCTTCGCGTGGCTTGGATGACCACGTTACAAAATGGCAGTCCCGTCTGCGGTTGGAGACGTAAAAATAATGTCCCCAATTAATACTTCCTTGGTAAATACTTTGGACCGGTTATTTAAACTAAGTTTAGACAGCGTTTATGAAAGTCATCGTCTAACCCAGGTTTAAACCATGAAAACTGATTATTTAAACGCTGTTCTTCCATAACCTTGTTTATACCGTGTCTAAGCACCGACTTAGGAACAATAGAAAGTTAAACCTGCTCACAGGTAGGTTTAAACCTTGTTTAACGTAACGGTTTTTTTCATGGCCATCCATTTTGAAATGACCTAAAATCGGACGGACTACTGCGCAACAGAGAGTTAAGAGAAAGAGACTACTCCAATCGACGTAGTATGCATGTTCATCAAATTCCGCACCATAGGGACGGATTTTACCCTTTAGAGGAATATGATGACGAAGATTTTCGATTGCGCTTCGCCCTAGAAAGGACTTAGTCATTGACCTCTTAAAAATTTTCGATAAAGATCTTTCAACAAGGAGACCGAGAGGTCTGCCGCTTACACCGTTGCTGCATTAAGTTTTTATTGCTTTGATATTTTATACAACAGGGGTAAACTTTCGAGCAGGTTTTGGCGATATATTTGGTGTTTCTGCATTTCCTGCATTCACAAGGTTTCATGGGCTATCGCGAAACGAAATAAACGTTCCCTGAGAACTTCACATATATCAAGCGGTACTTCTGACTATCCTTTTTTGTCCTTTTACCTGAAATTTGCCTCCTTCCTGCGATTAACTAAGAGCCTTTCCTCCACTAGTTTTTCTTGCTTCGCGACTTTTTAAAATCATGTTCTTTCTTGGATCGGAGTTTCAGCCGCCTCCAGCATCCTTAGATCTGATTCATTTCTCGTTCGATACCGTTTGGATTTTGAAAGTTGAATTTTTGCAACGTTTTATTGTCGTATCCTTTATTTTTTGCTTCTGGAAATACTCTTCCCAGTGCCGCCATTAAAGTTTTTTCTTCTTTGCTAAAATTGGTTGTTCGACCGGATGTAGAGACCATGTTGAGTCACAACTTCCAACTGGGAATTAATAACCCCTACAGACAATGCATTTCCTTTTGAGACATTGTTTAGCCATTGACTGGAAAAAACAGGGCTCAGTCACGTTTTAATAAGGCATTTCAAACATGGTTTAACCGTTGTTTATCGAGACAACGTCTAAACCGCAGCATAGCCTTAAACACCGGTTAACTCTTAGACTTCGTTTAAATAATCGGCCCATTGACACTCAAATAAAGTGCATTTTTTATAAGAGGAGGATTAGTGGATTCCGAATTCCAGGTACTGGATTCCAGATTACTTGTCAGTGGAACTTGGATTGTGGATTCCAAAGCCTAGCGACTCCGGATTCCACGGGCAAAAATTCTCAGATTCGCAGTCCTGATAACCCTACATGGAGCGAATGAAAGAACGCTTATTGAGTGTTTCCTAAATACAAGTTTGTCTCTCTTAGATCCTGACTACCTGGCCATCACAGATGACGGGCCTGCTGGAATGACCAACGTGAAGAAACCTGGAGGAACCTTAAGCAGAGCTATCGGAGATGGAAAAACTGACGATTCCTCTGCCATTGAGGCCATCATCAACCAAAAAGCAGGATCCACGATTAACAAGGTTTTCTTTCCTCCTGGCGAATACCTGGTGGGCAGTAACATCATCATCAGACACTCAGTGGAACTTCATGGAACAAAACTTGGTATTGCCGTTATAAAAGCGCCAAGAAATCGTAGCATGAAGATATATATCGATGCTACCTCGGTGAAATCGGTTGCACTAAATAATTTGTATCTTGACGGAGTTCTTGTAGAATTCAATGGCCGCCAAAAAACGAATGATGTTAAATTGTTTAACTGCCTGTTCTTTTCAGTCTTTTCAAGACTAAGTCCAAAACCAGCCAACCCGCAGCTGAAGATGAAAGAACTGTCAAATGCTGATGTGAACAGGTGCATATTTCTAAAAGACTCAGAGGCATTTGGAGTAGCCACCCAATTCACCAGAACATCTAATGTGACAGTACACTACAATGTCTTTGGCCTTGATTTGAGTAAGATAAATTGGTTGTCCACTGAGCTTAAACCAGCAAAGCACTGGCAAGATCAAACAGAGAAATTAAGATTCCTTAAGACTCGCTACAATCTTACTTCTGACCAAGGCTTCTTCAAAAGTTGTCTTTATGACGAGTGTGATAAGGAAATGAAAATACGGAAAAACGTTTTCAACGGAAGTCCCAATACTGGCGCACGGAAAAAAGACCACGTGGTGTACTTGAAAGGGTTTAATGGCATGATATTTGAACAGAACTATGCAAGAGGCTGGTCGGCGGATCCTACGGGCGGCATCAAAGCTCGAAATGGGAAAAGTATCACCATTGCTTGCAATTATATCGACGACACGGGCATTCTGTTGTATTCTCACAAGAAAACGAAGGACTGCCTTCATGATGGTCTTAAAGACGTAGTCGTCTATGGAAATCATATCATACAGCGAAGCAATCCAGGCCATCGTTGTAGTGGTATAAGTTATTACGAACCCCATTTTACTGGAAGAGACGAGAACATAACGTACTTGGGTAATACATTTGAGATTATTAATCGCAGTGACCCCACAAATTATAGATGCATCTGGCTAACCAATGGTGATGTCACTCACCATCACGTCTACGAAGACAACGTGTACTATAATACCACTACAAAAGTCAAACTGGAAGCGCGCAAAGGTACTCCACGGTATGAAAAAGAAAACATTGCATTTGGTACTGCTGTTCGAAACACGTACAATTTTCCACCTTACAAACTGAACATTCCAACCTATTAGCATTCAGCCGGCGGGGCCATTGAACAAACAAGAGGAAAACTGGGACGAGTTAACTTTCGCAAGGACTTGTGGGACTTACGTGGGACATGGAAAAATAGTGTATTTCTAGTTTGATTCAATACTGTAATTGTAGTTTGATTCAAAATGGTAGACTTAGTAGGTCTGGAACACTTTTACCTCCTGTTAGGTCGTTTTCTTTTTTCTAGTAGGTATATTATGCTTTGAAGGATTCTTTATTTGAATTGTTGAAAATAAACGAAGTTGTTCTTCGCCGAGTCTCATTTTGAGAAGTCATCAACCTGGTCTGTGTCATTGATATAGATTTCCGCTGGATTTTGTGTCTGACAAAACTCTACCTCTGAAACAGTGTAGCATTATCTTTGTCCTCTTTTAAGGCGTTAAGCTTTTTCTTGCGAGTAAATAACCTTTTCTTTAGTTTTCTCCAAAGTGCATTGATCTGAGGCACAGTCGAAGCTCTCCTCAACAGTCACCTTTAATAGGAACAGAAGAAAGTGGCAGTTGGGGAGAAGTTGCCATCATGGGTAGCCTGTGAACAGGCCTTTGGTCGAGCGGGAAACTAGGGAGAGGGAATCCTCGCTATTTTTTCCCCAAACAGAGAGCCTGTTCACAGGCTACGTTATGGGTAGCCTGCGTGGCAGACGTTCGAAAGGGAATAGGAAGCCAATTAGAGCTCGAGACCACGCGCGAGGGAGGAGGGAGGAGGGGCGCGCCCCTCGCGCGCCCCACGCACTCTAGGGCGTCCAAATTCCCCCTTCCCCGAGTCACCTTTTAACGCCTGCCACGCAGGCTACGTTATTAGGAGCTAGGGGTGTTATATGAAAATTTATTTTTAGGGAGTACAACTTGTTTTTTGTCAAAAAGTTAAAGCTCAATGTGGCCAATAATAATCATGGTATAATCCAATCATACATAATGTATAGAGATGAAATAAACAGAAAGCTTGAATTATGTCTTGAATCAAAATGTTAACGTGACAAAACGAGCAAGGCTTGCAACATTCGCTATAAGTATCGTAGATATTTTTGGCTTACTGCAGCCAGTCTGTACTGCAGCAGTATAATTAGTTAGTTAGTAGAGCTGTCTGTCGACGCGACAATGACTGTTTCATGAAGAGTTCAAGCTTTAATCAGGCTCCTCCAGGTCGTTCTGTCGTTTACTCGCTGCCTCCAAGTATCTACTAAAATGTTCTTCCACTTCATGTTTCTTTTCACGATGTTCTTGAATCTCAGCCTAGGCCGTCCTTGATTTCTCTTTCCTTTATCGCGACACCCGATGATGTTTCGTTTAAATTTCACGTGCCGCGATTGTTAGTTTTTGGCAGCACATTTCTTTTTAAACATAAAAACTGCCCTCGGTAAAGCTTAAATCTCGTTAAGTTGCAGATATCAGGAATATTGTTAACGCAGTAGCAGTTTAGGATGCTAAGAGGAAAGCTTAAGACTGTGAAAAGACAAAATGTGAATAGACCCACCAGTCTAAGGACATGACGACCGTGTTAAAACCGGCACCAAACAAACAATCAACTAGACCGTTCAGACCTTTAAAGTATATGTTAAACGAGACGATTTGCGACGACGATTTTTATGGCAGCAATGTTGTAACAATTTTGTGACAGTTCGAGATATATAATGCCTTTCTAGTAAGAGCAGTTGCCCTGAAAAAATATGTATCTTGACGGAATTCTATTAGAATTTAATGTTAGCCCCCAAAGACCATCATCTACTAGCAACATCACATTGTGTAGCTGTACTTTCTTTTCATCAACGAGGCCAACCGTGATTAAATTTAACAATAAGCCAGCATTGACCGCATTACATTCCGCCGATTGAAACCACATTGATAAGGTAGATGCATAAATAGAAATTGACTAAGTTGGGATAGCGAAAATTACATTTTCCAAAAAGTGACTAAGATGGGGTCTATAATTGGCCAAAAAATAGACTATAATGGGGTAGGGGCACTGAGAGGCCAGCAACACATACCCAGCAAACATTAACCCAAGTACCCCCCCCACCCCCGAGGGCACAACTCTCTGTAATCCCCACTGAATATCCCACCTCATTAAACAGTGTGCCTGCGAGCGTCTTTGCAGTGGTGGAAAAGGGCGTATAAGAAAATAAATAAAAACTATGTTAGGAAAGAGGCAGTGTAATTTCTCCTAAAGATATCATGGGAGGTATGATACTGAAATTCAATTACATATTGTTATTTAGGTATTTTTTTTTAGGTATTTTTATTTATTTGCCACACAATTACATTACTTAAAGATGCCAAAAGAAAAAAAAAAATGTAGGAAGAGATGGCGAGGAGGCCTAAAAGAAACTATAGAGCTTATGTTAATTAGGCCTCCTCAATTACAATTTTTCGAAGATGGCATAAAAATTACGACGACGGGTACAGTATAATATCAGGTGAAAAATTAAACTAATCAATATTACGGAAGTTTACATGTACAAATGTTGAATATTAAAAGGCTTTTTCCCAAGATTTTTGTTGAAGTATACTAATAATTGTTACAAATAAATGCCTTAAGTGCTCTTTTAAAGGAGAAAGGTGAGGAAGCGTTGATGATGTTGGTGTTTAAGGTGTTGTAAAATTTAGGTCCTTGATAAAAAACGGAAAATTGCTTGGTTCGAGTACGACAGAAAGGCAGACGAAATTTACACGAGTTTCTTGTATTATACGAATGAATTTGACTTTGTAAGGTAAATTTACAATGAAATTTTAAAGGTAGAGTATGGTTTTGATAGGAGTACATGAATAAGCCTAGTTGTATTAAGTATATATCATGAAATTTTAAGATACCAAGATTTTGAAAGATTGGATCAGTATGTGCATCGAAAGTGGTTTTAGCTATAGTTCTGATCACTCGTTTCTGTAAAATCTCAAGACGAATAAGGTTAGTTCTGTAAGTAGAGGCCCAAACTAAGTTGCAGTAAAAAAGGTATGGATAGACTAGAGAAAAATATAGTGTTCGTAAGGTTTTCGTGGATAAATAGAAACTGGATTTACGAATAATTCCTGTGCATTTAGAAACTTTATTGGCGACATGTGAGATTTCAGATTTCCAATTTAAATTTTCGTCCATGATTACTCCCAGGAAAACTGTTTCTTTTACTTGATCAATTTTTTGACTATTAATTAAAAGTTGAATAGTTTGATTTGTACGCTTTTGGGATGGTTTAAATGGATGGTTTAAGCTTGTCCTTCGCACCAGTTAGGTTTACGACTCCATAGTTCCCCTAGCCACAAGTTTTTGTTTTGTTGTTTGTTAGGGCGTGTCAGGAGTCAACGCTTGAAATCGATCTCCTTAGTCACAATAGGCAGAGTAACATCTTTAAATCAGGCAAATCGTATCGCTGATGAGTTCTAATGAGGACAAGAAAGCTCTCTATAGGTGCTACCTTGTTCTTTTGTTTATTTTTGTCATATTCAAGGGGTGCCTTGCAAAGCTTAAGTTTATATTTGGACAAAACGAATTTCACCAGGAGCCCAGATGGGCTCCTGATTTCACTCGTCACCATTTGATTACTCTACGAGCATAGGTTTAGAAGCGGTGCCTCGCAGAGGGTAGATAGTGTGATAAAAAATTGGTGGAGCAAGGACAAACGGATTTACTTACCTCTTAACTCATTCTCTGCTCAATGGTGACAAAGTCCAAAATCCGAAATCCAATGATCCGGACCCTGTTCTAACTTTATCGTCCATAGCCCAGTTCCCACGGCCTTCTGGGATAGTTTCAACATGGCCGCTTTCGAGGAAGAAATTTCCGATGGAATATGTATTGATTGTCACGCTCATATATCGGCGAAAGAATTCCAAAAGGTAAAACCCTCCTTCAGTGAAAGCATTCTAGTCAAAGTTGAAAATTTTAATGAGAAGTTAAGACGTTTTCTGCTGCTTTTTAAAGGATATCGATGCGGTGATTCAAGCGGCCAAAGTGGTAAGTTTATATATTTGTAAGCTTTTCAAAACCTCTTAAACTAACTGGACTTACGTTTATTATTATTGTTTTTTGTCAAAAACTGCAAAAACTGATGTTTTGATTAAAAGAATTGCCTCGACATAACTAAGCAGTGATTCCTGTGCTTTGTTCTATGAGTGTGCTCGCTTCTGCTCCTAGCCTTCTGAATGCGCTACTAATTTGTGTTTGCACCCTTAACCCTTATTTAACATAGGAAATTAGTGCTTCGTGAAGTTAAATTCGCGTTAACTTTTGTAAACGTTAATTTCCGCTTGAGTGGAGCGTTATAATTCACAGTCCTCGACCTTATACTCCTGTATACTTCTGAATTTCTCGACACCAAAGGGACGGACCATTAGAAACACTTGTGGGGGTAGGGGGAGGTCGGGTGAAGTACAAAAAAATATTTATTGGCGCCAGGAAAAATGAAATGAAAAGAAATCATGCACGACAAGTAACCTTTATTCATGTACTGACGTGAAAAAATTCATACAAGGGAGATGTTGAGGAAAAACAAATCATGCGGCTCACAGTAGGTCGCCTTTTCTCTCTCCTAAACCATTGTTTTTCCGATCAAAGGTGATTGTAAATTCCCTGATGGTTCGAAAAAGAGCCTAGCAAACCCTGTTAGAGACAAATTCGCGACTAAGTAAGAAAGCATTCAAGTCCATCCCAATACTCAAGCCACAAATAAGTGTACTCTGTGAAAAGAGGTTCCTTTCTGGAATGGCTTTTAGCATTTACGAGGTTGTTTGCATCGCTTGTCAGACGTGTAGTTGGTTTGTTTACACCCTCGGTGCATAAACATACCAACTACTGTATGCAAAACAAACAGAATAGAGCTATTTATTTTATTTTTTCAGGGTTATTAGTCTAAAACTTTCTCTTAATAAATTGTGCAAAAAAGACCAAATGGTAAGGTACGAACGGGACCAGAAGTCCCGTGGAGGGCATCTCCCAAGTAGAGCAGAAAAAATCACCCTTGAAAAGAGAATCTTAAGCAATGCTTAAGAAACTGATGTTGCCAGTGGCAACCACAATTACGCGTTAGACCCCATAAACAAGGTCTATCGAGGTCAAAAACATTTGCTAGCTTATCATATTACAGTGTTCCTTTTTCAACCTCGATGAAATGAGGACAGATGATACATCCGTAGTTTGTGAGCACTGGTATGTGCGGGTTAAAGCATTTGTACCATTCTTCTCTAGGCAATTAAAATTGGCTTGGTAAGGATGTTTAACCTTGAATTTGTAAAGGAAAAAGACATTCACTGCAAAGCTGCAAATTAGAAGAGACGATGTAATATGAAGCAGAACACCTTAGAAGGTTTCGTAGACAACATCACAAGCCAAACTCAGACCTTACATGTGCACGCGTAGCTTTCGATTCGGGGAGTTTCCTGATTTAGGACGTAAGGCAAACGCAGGTTTGGTAGTGGCGAAATCGGCATCGAAGCAATAAACTTTTTTAACAAAAACTAAATGTTAAAAGCCATGCCAGAAAGAAACCTCAGCTCGAGTAAAGCACATGCCTGGTTTAGCCAGCGTTTCAATGGTCAGCTGTGTTGATGAACTGCTCGATAGCGAGGCAAAATGTTCTAATTATATCTGTCGAGATATAAAAACCTCTGTTTGAGTGAAATATGCAACGTAAATTTCCGAGAAGTCATTGGAGCGTCGCTGAGCGTAGCTGAGCGTAAATCCGTAACCCCTTCAAAATTCCGATGTGAAATTATTTTGGAATTTCGATGATGACTATATTGATATTTCCCAAATTACCGCTGCTCTAAAAACATACAAATAGAACTTGACTAACTTGAGTTGCTTCATTCAACCTCATTTAGGCCTAGGCCAAACTTTTCAGTTCATGAAATGTTTGACGTCTAGCTCAGTTAATCTGAATCGGTTTGGATCGTCCAACACGTTCTATCCGTCTTCTTCAGACGGATACTGAGAACGTGTGAAGATCCCCACCGGAACAAACGTCGATATTCACATGCGACGGACTCAACTAAAAACATTAAAAATTTGTATGATAATGTGTACTAGTTTAGCGCCTCGTTCGGGAAAAAGGTTGTTAAAACTGGTTTTTGTTCTGATTCTGTTGATTGGCTCGATACGTCCTAGGTTCGACGTCTGACCCAACAGACGATCTTAACTTAATTTAGGTCGACCCAAATTAGACTTTAGCTCGTCTCTTGAAAAGTTTAACGTTTGGCCTACGCCTAAATCAAACTTTTGTTAAAGAACTTGTAACGTTATGTTAAATTATGTATATTAACAAAAATTGCGGAAATAATTATGCAAGTCTCTTCAAGTTTTTGTAAATTTAGTAAATATTAATTGTTTTTGTTGTAGAGCGGTTTTCATTTGAGTGTCGAAAAGTAATTGGTTTTGCACTTTCTACACGATGCGATTGGCTTAAAAGATTCGCGCCACCTTTTCATCCAATCAGAAGTAAAACCAAAGCCAATTGTGACGCGCTCGCATGCATTTTCCCGCGCTTTGCGTCAGCCACATGTAATTACTTCGAGTTTTGATTGGTTCAATGTATTGTCTGTGTCCTATGTGATTGGCCAGAGTAATTACTTTGGTTTTGGTTTTACGACACTCAAACGAAAACCACTCTAATATTTTAGTGTGGCTGTTCCGCGCCCAGAAAAACAAATGCCATTTGCGGACCAGTCTCTCTGTGTCATGTATTTACAAATGTTCTTTCAAATAAAATTGAAGTAAAATGGTTAGTTGAAACTGAATTGAAGTTGAAGTTCGACAACGAATTGCACAGTGAGATAGAAGTAGCCACCCGTTCGGATTTCCGGGAGAAGTAATTTTAGAGCCTGCTTATTTAGATCTGCTGAATTGTATAGCGCGAAATTCGCAAACAACTTAAGCGGGAACTAGCTATGCGTGACTCCTGTACAACTGAGATCCCCCAGTTCGAACAATTCTGCATCCCTTAGAAATGTTCAAAACAACCGTGTCACATCATTGTCTCTACTTTTTTGTCACTCCAGTTCAAATTCAGTGTCCATATCAGTATATTAATCAAGCTTCGTTGGTTAATTCCTTTCTCAAAATATGAATCTATATCTCTGGCTGCCCCTTGAAGTAAAGTGCGCACGATAACTGTATCCCCCCGTATCCATTTGCTTATTTCCCTATTTTCGAGAAAAGCTTGTAAATCACCAGGCATTAGCTACGGGTTTTACCCAGTTTAATAAACCATGGGTTTTTTGACCAGTCATAACGCACGTATGTACTATCTTAAGTCACTTTTCACATAAAGAGCAATAGCTAAATTGACAATGATTTATTAAACTCAGCTCAGTTTTACATGACATAAAGGTTAAATTTACATAGGCAACTCAACACAGTACCACTGAGGAATAAAAGAAAAATTGTAACAACAGAATAGAGAGCGAGTTGGGATCATCCAAATAGCAAGGGCTAATCTAGTGGATGACCTCTGCAATAAAATACAATTACAGAAAGAATTAAGAATATATTATTTTGCTTAAAAAGTATTTCTTCATGCGCTAAAGCATATGATTAATTAGAATAACAAATGAGGATATAGTTCATATACGGATTTAGGGAAATTTGAAATTATAATTTTTTGTTAAACTAAGTTTATTGCTTCGTGGCATATTTCACCAAGCGTCACTCATTCCACCAAAACTATGTTGGGATAACCTGCGAGTATCTTGGACCCGCACTTCATGTTTGCCTTTCGTCCTAGATGAATCTCCTCCAATCGAAAGCTAAGCTTGCTTAGTAAGGACTGACTTTGGCTTATCATGTCTCGGAAAACTTGTAAGGTGGTTTTCTACGTATATATACCGTCTCTTCTAATTTGCTGCTTTGCATTCAATGTCTATTTCCTTTACAAGTTCCATGTTAAACATCCTAACCAAGCCAATTGCAATTGCCTAGATAATAACGTTACAAATGCTTTCACCGGTACATACCAGTGCTTACAAACTATGGATGTATCACCTCATTTCATCGAGGTTGAAAGGGGAACATTGCTCTACTCTGCGTGGTTTGATGATCGAAGTACTGAAAACTATATCCAGATTTTGTTAATGACTTCACGCAGAAAACAACCGCCGTCTCTTCTATGTCGTTACCAAAAGGAGAAGAATTGTACTATTTCCACAAGAGCTGTCACCCCGTATCATGAAATCAACGGACGATATAGTAACAAACGTTATGGCCTCTTCGTGGCGTCTTGCGTTCTCCCGAAAGATTTGGCCAAGATACCAAATTTTGTGGACGTCTCGATCAACTTGTTCCCTGAAGCAGCTAGTAATTGTATTGTTTTGCCTGTGGGTAACACAAGAAAGAAGAAATCGGGCAAGAGAGATTACGGAATTTGCATCGCGCCGTTATTTGGAAATATTCGAGTCGACGATTTAGTAGAGTTTTTAGAACTTTCCCAATTATTAGGGGCATCATATTTTACATTTTATGACTTTGAAATCGCTGACAATGTGCGCAAAGTACTTAAATATTACGAAAGCAAAGGATTAGTAGAAGTTCTTTCTTGGAAATTACCCTCGTATATCACTGGCGAAGACGTTCATTACTTTGGGCAAATTTTTGCCATGCAAGACTGCTTGTTCCGATCAATAAATCATCTCAACTTCGTGGCTTTCAATGATTTAGACGAGTTTATTGTTCCGCTTCAGCACGAAAACATGCCTTCTTTACTTCACAGTATTCACAAATTAAACTATTGCGGGCATTGTTTTCGAAGCGCAAAATTTCCTCTTGTAGAAAGCGAGAATGAACCTTCGTTGCGGCTTTCCACTCAAACCGTTTTTCATCGTTTATCAAAAGCTGATATGACACACACTAAATGCGTTGACGATCCACGAAGAGTTTTTGAACACGGAGTACATTTGATCATGGAGCCACTAAAAGGCTACAAACCTAACGACGTGAGCTGGAACGAAGCGAGAGTTTTCCACTACAGAAACTGCCGAGCACCATGTAACTTGGCCGCCGACATGGAAGTAGACATGACCATGCAGAAATATGGCGAGCGATTGATAAAAAATGTGATTTTGGGCGTCGTTGATTCTAAGGTTTTTCACTGAGTCTTCCTTTTGTAATTTAGGGTAAGTTCACACTAAACCGAATTACTTTTGTCCCGCCACGAAAATCATACCGAAAAGGACTTTTCTTCACACCCAAAAACGGTTGTGGCAGGAATGGAAGTTGCAGCGCGCCGATCTCTAAAGTGGAAAGTCACAGGTCAGATAGGTGTTCATACCATACCAGATACTGTGACAAAAGCTAGCCGGTACAATGTGAACATAGCCTTGAGATTTTAGATAATGGTGAATGTGTAGTTCCAGAAAATATCCACCCCCCCTCCCCCCCCACGGAGGGCACTTTTGCTTTAGGCCTTTATATTTGTGTGAAAAATGCGAAAGATGATTTCTCCTGTTAGGGACGGACCATTAGAAAACTTAAGGCGGGGGGCGGGCGAAGTAAAAAAAAAAAATGTGCGCAAGGGAAAATTAAATGAAAAAAATTCTTGCACGCCAATGAATCCTAAAAAAATATTCATGCTATAGCATAAAAAAATTCATACAAGGAATTTGATGACGAAAAAAATTCCTGCGGCTCGAAAATTCCCCTCCCCCCCCATAACTTTTGTAATGGTCCGTCCCTTAATACGGTGTCTAATAATCTCAAGGACGTTCTTAGTTAATAATTAACCATAGAGGCGCTACCTTATACCACTGACTACACGAATAATGTCATCTGCAAAAGAACCAGTTACATTCAAACTATAAACACCACGTGAACCCTCATTACTTCATATCAGTTAGAACATGTTACAAGAAGACTTAGAACACGACTAAATTGCGTTGAATCAGGTGAAATAAAGCAACAGCCAGATAGCCGGAAGTTTATTCATGAGCCGAAGAAAACTATCGCGTAAGCCGTGGAAAACGCATTTAGCCGACCGTAGTTAAAAGATGATCAATGCAAACAATAATACTTGTTTTGAAACACCGATATATTACAGTAAAATAACTGATAGCTTGCTCAACAGAGAAGCTGTTATTTATAAATAACTTACCAATCTTACCAAGACCCCCTGAAAAAAAAAGCTCTGTAAGCGACCCCCCACCCCCTCGGAAATTGCCTCTTTTTGGACCCTTCTCCCCTCGAAATTCCGTTGCCCTCCGTGGGGTAGGAGAGGTGGGGGGATATGGATATTTTCTGGAACTACACAGTGGTGGAAAATAAATCGTGTTTGATGCTATCGCTGGTTTGCACGTGACATCACGGCGACAATATTGGTTGTCAAGAAGAAAACCACCTCTCTCATTTTCGTGTAAATTCTTCGAGAAAGCTTCCTATTGTCCTGACCACCAATATGACCGCCTTGTCACGCGGTTGCAAACTATGAATTCAAAATCGTCCAATTTTGTGAATCCTGTTGCGGTTGAATAATAATTTAGGCCTCGTCCACAGAGAGTGTTTTTTTTAAGACGCAGAGAGACTAGCCCCCGAGCTGAATTAGCCACCCTGTTGAAATAAAGTTTTCCTTTACTTTCCTTTAATTTTTTTCCTCACTTACTTTCCGTCTACGCATATGCGATAAAAAAAGACACCGAAAACAGAAGTGGCCACCCGTTCGAATTTCCGGGACAAGTAATTCTAATGCCTGCTCAGCCGAGCGCCAATCGCGCTATTTTTAGATCTGCTGAATTTTATAGCGCGAAATTCGCAAACAACTTCAGCGGGAACTAGCTATGCGTGACTGCTGTACAACTGAGATCCCCCAGTTCAAACAATTCTGCACCCCTGAGAAATGTTTAAAACAACCGTGTCTGCTATTAATATTAACCCTTCCATTTGAAAAATTTATTTCTCAAAATGGAAATTACACAGGTCTATCAAACAAGAGCTGGGCTTTCAGAAAATTGATTTTTCACACCTAAGGTGTGTTTTCCGATTTATATCGCAGGCTCAAAAATTGAATAATTCTGGCTTCGCCTCGATAGCTAGGAATAGAAAAAAAATTGGAACTGACTTATACTTAGATTGTTCATTTACTTTTAAATTCCCGGCAGTTGCAAACAATTTTTCCCGAGATATAGTGGTGGAATTTTTTATTAATGCCCTGCGACTTGCCGACTTCTGGCTACCGCCGAAAATTCCAAAATATTCCCTTTTTGCCGGGAATTTGATTCGTTTTCCTTAACATTTTGTGAATAAACCTGGCACGTTTCAGCGCGATATTTGAAATCCTCATGTTTTTACATCGAACTGTTTTTCAGTGCGGTCTAACGCAGTCGCCCAATCGCCCTTAATTTTTGTCGCACCCACTAGGGGCCCATCTTGAATTCTTACGAGTAAACCGCTGTTCTGAATGTTAAGCGAAAATTTTCGTCTAAACTCGCTGTGACGTCATCAAACTATAAGGTCAAAATAGCGAGGTTTTATGAATTCTTATTTACACTAGGTTGAAGAAAAACAAAAAACAAATCTTTGTTTAAATTTCCATTCCCGTTTCCCATTTCCCACTCCCATTTTGAAAATACAACAATTTTCACAGTGCGTGACACCAAAATAGAAATGCTGTCTCGTTGAAAAAGTCTCTCCTCTTGATTTTCAGCAGTATAACCATCTCAAGTACTAGAAGATATGTTTATGCGTACGTATGCTAGTTTTCGAGTGAAAAGAAAGAGAAAAAGCGAACTCCAGATGTTTTTGTTGATTTCGGGCGGCAAAATGGCGTCCCCCACACGGCTACAAAGGTGCGCGAAACGTTTCCGCAAAAAACTCAGAAACTGTGGGCCACAAAGACCGGAGACCTGGACAAATTGTTTATATATTAGTATTTTATAACATTTCATTTTCTTGGCTTCTTCCACGGGACGATTTCCAATTTATTTGTTTGTTGCGTGACTGTTGAAGACTCAGCAACACGGTAATTTGCATATGCGGCCTTACCTGTCATGTCTCTAGAAGGCTTTTTTGAGCCATAGAAATGTTTACGAAAGATCAAAACCATCGTACTTTATTTAGGGAAGCAGAATGTAAGCGAATTTTGCTACAATTTGCCTTAGGTTACTTAAAACTCATTAGCCTGCGAGGTCCCCAGCGGCGAGGAGCGTGGAGAAACGGTTGTTTTTTCTGTCAACAAGGGAAAGTATCGCGTTGGATTTAATATTTCCAAACAAAATAGCGCTCTTAAGATCTTTAGCCTTCATTTTCTCGGCTTCTGTTTAACGAAAATGCTAAATTATGAGTTTATTTCAAAGAAGCGATTAGAACTTAATTATAATATGTAAATCTGTATGAAGTGTGCATGACCAATCAGAACCGAGAACGCACGTGCTATCTTAAGTCACTTTTCTCATAAAAAACAATAGCCACATTCCATATGCGGATTTAGGGAAATTTTGAAATTACAAAATAATTTTAGTTTTGTTTACTTATTCCACCAAAACTATGTTGGGATAGCCTGCGAGTATCTTGGACCCGCACTTGTTTGCCTTGCGTTCGATTGCGTCCTACATGAATTTAGTCTGTTACAAAGCCGCTTTTAGTGTCGTCACGCAACGCTCCTCCCCCTAACGTTCCTCCCAAGCTGTATGCGTAGCAGACGGTCGGCATTATATTCTTCAGGTGGAATGCTAAAATCCATGCCGTAAAGAAACCTCTTCTTGCAGGGAGGGAATATAAAGCTCGCTGTAATTTACACCTAGCTACCCTGGTTCCAGAGCTTGTTATTGATTTTTCTCCGCATGAGAAACTGAACGAGCACTTATATACCTGCCAACTTTTTCTGAGATGTAGGCGTGAGATTTTTATCCTGGGAGTGCTGGGATTTTTGAAAACGACACGATCATTTCCGAAGATTCCCGAAGAAGTCCGAAGTCTTCCGAAGACGTCCGAAGTCTGCCGAAGGTGAAGTTATCGAGAAAACGCTTATCCACAAAATCAGAGATCGCGAGGGAGGTATTGTCATTTATTCATTTTACACATGGTTTTCGTTCCTTACATGGGTCTGAGTTAACATATTTTTGGAAATTGTGTCAAGCAAGACGGCAACAACTCACATTTTTCAATCAGGCGTGAGAAATTGGTCCGCAGGCGTGAGCGGGCGTGAGATCGAAGTTTTCAACCCGCAGGCGTGAGACTCACGCCTAAGGCGTGAGAGTTGGCAGGTATACACTTACCAGCGAGCTTCGCGATTCGTTCTCGCCGCTTTTCTCGTTTCCAACATCTTACTAACATCTCAGTCATTATGTATAAAACTGTATTCCCCTGATATATTTCCTGCACCCCCACAACTGTGAAATGAACGCAGCCTTTCTCGAGCCTTTCTCTTTCTTTTAGCTCCCAGTACAGAAGTGTAGTACACCCTGTTGGTATAGTAGCCTGCGTGGCAGGCTAATTCCCTTCCCCTTCCCTTTCGAACGCCTGCCACGCAGGCTACTGGTATAGTAGAATTCCGACTTCACTAACGCTAGAGCCCTGGTGGTTCAGTGGCTAGAGCGTCCGATCTTGTATTCGGATGTTCGGTTGTTCGTGCATATCATCCGTACATTTTCCGAGAATCTTCGGTGACGACTTTTAAGTTATTCAAAATTCAATCTCAGTCCCTCTCGATCGAGGTGGTTTTGGTGGGTAGAATATGATGCCGAGCAGACAGCAGATGAATCTCCTCGAATCGAAACAGCTAAGCTTGCTTAGTAAGGACTGACTTTGGCTTATGATGTTGCCTCGGAAAACTTGTAAGGTGCTTGGCTACCTATATATATCGTCTCTTCTAATTTGCGGCTTCGCATTCAATGTCTATTTCCTTTACAATTTCAAAGTTAAAGCTGAGGTTAAACATCCTAACCAAGCGGTAATGAACTACACTAACCAAGCCAATTTTCATTGCCCAGAGAATAATGTTACAAATGCTTTTACCGGTACATACCAGTGCTTACAAACTATGGATGTATCACCTCGTTTCATCGAGGTTAAAAAGGGAACATTACTCTACTCTGCGTGGTTTGATGATCGAAGTGCTCAAAACTATATCCAGATTTTGTTAATGACTTCACGGAGAAAACAACCGCCGTCTCTTCTATGTCGTTACCTAAATGAGGAGAATTGTACTACTTCCACAAGAGCTGTCACCCCGTATCATGAAATCAACGGACGATACAGTGACAAACGTTATGGCCTCTTCGTGGCGTCTTGCGTTCTCCCGAAAGATTTGGTGAGGATACCAAATTTTGTGGACGTCTCGATCAACTTGTTCCCTGAAGCAGCTGATAATTGTATTGTTTTGCCGGTGGGTAACACAAGAAAGAAGAAATCGGGCAAGAGAGATTACGGAATTTGCATCGCCCCGTTATTTGGAAATATTCGAGTCGACGATTTAGTCGAATTTTTAGAACTTTCCCAATTATTAGGGGCATCATATTTTACATTTTATGACTTTGAAATCGCTGACAATGTTCGCAAAGTACTTAAATATTACGAAAGCAAAGGATTAGTAGAAGTTCTTTCTTGGAAATTACCCTCGTACATCACTGGCGAAGACGTTCATTACTTTGGGCAAATTTTTGCCATGCAAGACTGCTTGTTCCGATCAATAAATCAACTCAACTTTGTGGCTTTCAATGATTTAGACGAGTTTATTGTTCCGCTTCAGCACGAAAACATGCCTTCTTTACTTCACAGCATTCACAAATTAAACTATTGCGGGCATTGTTTTCAAAGCGCAAAATTTCCTCTTGTAGAAAGCGAGAATGAGGCTTCGTTTCGGCTTTCCACTCAAACTGTTCTTCATCGTTTATCTAAAGCTGATATGACACACACTAAATGCGTTGACGATCCACAAAGAGTTTTTGAACACGGAGTACATCTGATCATGGAGCCACTAAAAGGCTACAAACCTAACGACGTGAGCTGGAACGAAGCGAGAGTTTTCCATTACCAAAGATGCCAAGCACCATGTAACGCGGCCGCTGACATGGAAGTAGATACGACCATGCAGAAATATGGCGAGCGATTGATAAAAAACTGTGATTTCTAGCGTCGGTCACATTAAGGTTACTTTTCACTAAGTCTTCCCCTCGTCATCTTGGCTAAGTTCACACTAGGCTTAGATATATTATGCCGACATTATTTTGGGCATAATACTGTAGACCTGGTGGAGGGGGGGAGGGGGGGACTTCGTATATTAAGGGGTGTGAATGGTCGTCGGAAATTTTGAATAAAAAAGTTCGTGGCCCAAGATTTTTTTGACCCCTAAAAGAGGCCATGTTAAAACACAGACAATATATACATTTTTATATTTTTTCGCGTCCAACCCTAAACGAGACCTTCACGGCTGAATATGATGGCATTTTGCCCAGGACACCCTAAGTGAGACCAAAATCAGAAATTTATACCCCTAAGCGAGACAACGAGCATCCCCAACCCTTTCATATGTGGAGTTCCCCCCAGGGGCTGTAGATTGTTTTCACAGTCACGCAACCAAAAAATAAATTGGAAACTGTCCAGTGAAGAAGCCAAGAAAATGAAATGTTATAAAAGACTAATATGTAAACAATTATTTGTCCAAGTCTTAGGTCTTTGTGGCCAACAGTTTGTGAGTTGTTTTATAAATGGTACAAAACCTCTGTAGTGGAGTCTGAGTCACATGTCGGATAGGTGTTCATACTATACCTGATACTGTGCAAAAAGCTATGGAGTATAATGTGAACATAGCCTTGAGCTTTGAGATAATTGTGAATAGTGGAAAAGTAATCATCTTTGATGTTATCGCTGGTGTGCATGTGATGTCAGGGTGACAATATTGGTAGTCAAGAAGAAAACCATAAATTTTATCTCATTTTCATGTAAATCCTTCGAGAAAGCCTATAGAGTACTAAAGTAATGACGTCATAAAAATTAAGTTTCTGAAATTATGGGATTTGTCAGGATATTCTGAAAGAACAATGTCCAAGAGGCCTACTTGCCAAAAATGAGCATTTCAAGGCAAATTGACTCTGAGGTGTTAGCTGATTATACTCAGAAAACTCCATACAAACCATTCTAATATTTTTTGGGTCGACCCAAAAAAATTTAGAAGGGTTTGTATGGAATTTTCTAAGCATAACTGGGCTACGATCTCGGAGACAATTTGCCCCAAAATTCTCATTTTTGGCGAGTAGGCCTCTTGGACATTGTTCTTTGAGAATATCCTGACAAATCCCATGATTTCAGAAATTTCATTGTTATGATGTCACACTTTAGTACTCTGTTGTACTGACCACCAACATGACCACTTTGTCACCTGGTTGCAAACTAAGAATGATAATTGTCCAATTTTTTTAACCCTGTTGCGGTGGAATGAATCAGAATATGATAAAATCTGTACTTTTATCTTATGCATTTCTAAGTTAAGTCTAGCGTTGTAATTTTTTAATTTTTATAATTTCATGTATAAATAAAAAAAAGTTGTTGACAGAAGTTAAAAATGTTTAAAACTGTTTTTTTATTAACGGTTACATATAGGCTTAATTAAGGACATGGAAATTAAGAATATTATTTCAGGTAAATCGAAAGGTGTAAAGTCCTGAAACTACAGAAAGGGTGTACAAAATTTAAAGATTCATGCTATGTTTCTAGGCTGGTGTGAGGGTCATTGTTGGTGTAACAGAATTTAAGGCAGAGTTCAGTGGAATGCTTGATCTTCATAAAAGGTTTGTATGCAAGGAGTTTACAGTCAAACCAGTTCAAGCGTTCCCGTCGCTAACGAACTAATCAATTCATTAACGGAAGAATGATTTCGTTCGTTGATTCAATAATCCATTCATAAAATGAACAATCCAATATTCATATTTAGCCTCGCTTCCATAATCGAATGTTGATTCGATTACCGTTTTTTGAAAACCTTTCCACAAGTAGACCTCAGAATTTTGTTTTTTCTTCTTTTTTTTCTAAGGGTCGAGTGCGGGCGAGTTTTGAAGTTCAAACCCAAACAAACTGTTACATGTACGCCATTTTGCTGCCAGTAATCAGTGCAACAGACCTGACCTCTTAGAAAACAGGATGGTCAAACTAAGGTCAGTGTATGTGCGGTGATTGGTGGATTTCGATCCCCGGCCTTTGTCAGTTTCTTTGCGTTTGTGGTCTGTCTATTCTAGCTGTTATTTTGATTAAAGGCAATGAAAAACCCAATCGTATACGGCAGGAAAAGGGAAGCAAATACAGGTAGATTTTGTTCATAAACCAAATCAACATTTAATTATCGAGTCGAGGTCCAATTTGACTGTTGGATTATTCATTTTATGAATGGATTATTGAATTAACAAACGAAATCATTTTTTCATTAATGAATTCATTAGTTTGTTAGCGACGGGAACGCTTGACCTGGTTTGACTGTAATATAGCTGCACATATTCTAAATCTAAATGATTATTCAAAAAGTGGATTATCCATCACTGTGGTGAAAATGAATTTTGCGCTGAATGGAAAGCGCAGCCCTCAGGTACCAGAATTAGGATTAGCCATTATTAAAAAAAAGACAGCTCAACCTTTTGCGTTGTCCTTAATGAATTGTTGATTGTAACTAGTCAGAATTTTTGTATCAAATTTCAGGTACCCAGATTTCATTGCTCCATGCCTAGGTGTTCATCCAGTCCAAAGCCTGACCCCTGATCGTAGTGCTACTCTACAAGTATGTTGACAGTGGACTTGTTGGTACAGTGGAACCCTCCTTATTTCCTCCTTGAGGCCCTGCCAGGGGAGGGGGGGTCCCATGTCGCCCTGAATTTTAAAACGTCTCCTGTCGGTGTTTAATATATAGATTTAGCCAGGGCTAAAAGCGAAGCTCCCGTTAATAAATTCATAATTTAAATCAAACAATAAACTTGTAATGCACAGATCAGGGCACATTCATGTGACTTTTGAGGCAGAGGCTAAGTGATTTTAGCGAAAAATAATTTCACAGTCCAAGAGTGAAACAAATTTTATATCGAGTTAATGGTCTTCTTTGTACACCCAAAAATAGCGATCATGTTCGATCACAGTAGATTAGGCTTAGAAAGTGTATTGTATTTGCATTGGTCCTATGTGATATACAGGGTAATAATTATGGGCTTTTAGGGAAAACGATAAAAAAATTCCCAAAACCACCTTTTCGGCCAGCCGGACGGGTTCTCACTTTTGACAGACACCAAATTTGCACCGCGATTAAAAGAGTTACCATTTACGCTTCAACATGATAGAGAATTTGTTATGGTTAGGTTTTATTTCCCTTTATTTATAAAACTGTTTATGGTTTTGTTATGTGTAATCTTTAACTGTTTAAAAGCGAGTGATAATTTACGCGCGGCGTTTTGAGTATTCCTGCATGCGATGTTTATGTTCGACTGGAAACAACCGGTGCAGCGATAAAAATTGCGAGAGGGACTACTAACAATCAATAAAATAAATGTAATTCGGTGAAACATGTACAGAGACAATAATTTTCATTCACGAAGACAAGTATTGAGAGTAAAGTGTCTCTGAAAATCATGAGTCAAGTAAGCATAAGCTTATTTATGTTTTAAGCCGGCTTCCCGGTGTTTGCTCTTTTTCAAGATGAACTCGAGGCAAGAAAATCGCTCAGAGCTTTCTGTTCACAGCCAAAATCATAATTGAATATTCTTCGAAACCTTTTCTTTGAATTTGCGGTCAAAAAGCGTCTAAAGGCTTTTTAAACTTGATACTATTGTAGGCCTAGATCATTGCTCGTGTATAAACTTACGATAAACTTAAGCCGCATAAACCATACGCTCGACTTCAGGAAACCGAAAAAAAAAAACATCAAAGACAGTAAGTGCTCAGGCTTACCAGTCGAGATGCTGCTTCTGAAGGTCATCAAGTGTTCCAGAATCGCTTGAGACTTTTCAACCCTCTTACGCCTCAAGCAAGGGCAAGTGAGTAAGCTCAGTTTTGAAAACGATGCCATCCGAAAAGGGGTGCATTTGTCAACAAAAAGCGCAATAAACAAACCAGCCATGAATTACAGAACAATCTTGATAGCAGCTGTATTTCATTTTGTACATCAAGTGGAAAAAGGCAGTTTAAAACATCACAAGATGAAACAAAACTCTGTCAGCTTCAGCTATCAGTAAGCAATTTTCCAGACGCTGCATAAATTTTCCGCATGAACTCACCTGTCAATCTTTGACCAATCAGAACATAAAAATTGGACGTAGAGCGTGATCAACGCGTGACAGTGAGAAAAGTCAAAAGTGATTGCCTTCCCTGCATGTATTAAAAAGCCGGTTGAATTTTCGCGTCCGAGGTCAGTTCGAAATCAAAATTTTACAATGTCACGCAACGAGGAGCGTTGCGTGACGACACTAAAAACGGCTGTGTAGCAGACTACTCATAAACACGACTTATTTCATATGCATTTCAAAAAAATTGAACTTGAGCCTGTGATCATTTGAAAAGTAGCAACTTGTCAGCAGATAACTTCAAAAAACACTTGAACTCGGTGGGTCGATACCTGAGCCGGCGAAACGGTCAGGCAATACTGGTCAGCAGAAACACTATTTTGACAGCTGTCAATTAATCAAAACATGGATGTACAATATCAGGTTGCAGGCTCCCAAACTAGCTAGAAAGTGTGGGATTAAACATTGGCATGCCTGTGGTGCGGACGCACGGAAGGTCGGGTGGTCGGTGTACGGTCACGTGATTGCCGAATTTTCTAGGATGGATAGATTTTCCAAGCTATGGGGCTTCGAATTGAGCCCGTGATCAAATAAAATGTAAGCGGAAAACTTTAAAAACTACGTGACCTCAGTGGATAGAAAAGTGAGCCCGCGATACAGTCAGGTGACGATGGTCAACGTATACTCTAGTTTGACAGCTGTTAATTAACCTTCATTGGCAGGGCAGAAAAACCGCTGATTGGTTAAAAAAAATTCCACTGAGAGCATGCGCTTGCGCCTTCCGCTGACCATATGCAGATGCAGTTGGTTCAAAAGAATGAGCGATCCGAAGGAGCTACAATCGAGCGATCATGAATGTGAGATATTTGGCCGAAATTTGAAGAGCACTGTGTTGAAATACATCACTGAAAGGTCTTGTATATAATGGTATCATTTTGTTTTGCTTCGCTTTGGAGGTAATCTTTGTGATTGTATTACGTTAAACGGACGGAGTCGTGCCAAGCAAACCATGTGCTTTTTTTTCGATCAACTTTCTTCTACGCGATTGTTTGGTTTTCCTGCAACAAGTCTCGGTGATCCGATAGTTACACAACTGAGTTTAAAGGTAAGACATTTTTCGTCTTTGACATAGTGAACGTTTTCAGAGTTAATGAGTTAACCGAAATTTGCATTGAATGCTATTTATCCTCCACGAGATTGCGGCGGTGCAGCGTGCGCTGCGTGCAGGCGTATAATGCGGCACCTAACAGTTGGCGAAGCCATTGCTAAAAGTAACCAAACTTTCAAACAAAATAGCACTTCATAGCACCCTGAGTTACAAGTTTAATGGGCTTTTGATTCTAGGTTATATATATCCACACTGTTCAATGAATTCCTTGGTGTGAATTGTTTACATTGTTCCGCTAGAAGCGAAATTATTTTTTTGTACGCGTTGTCCAATTTGTAATTTCTTTAGATCAATTTATACCAACTGATTTATACAGTTAATAACTTTGTTTTTGGACTGATTTAGATTTGGAATGATTTTACTGTACAAAATTAGGTTGTTTTAAGAAAGGTGAAATTTTAAGGATGAATTTTTAAGCTTACATGTATCCAGAATTAGCAGAGTTATACACAATCCTTGCCCATATACAATGTGGTATTTTGAAGTGAAAATCTTATTATATTTACATGTTCAAAATAACATCGAATATTTTGAAGACACTATCTTACTCCTGTACATCACATTGTCTCTTATTAGTATTCTCGACAGGACTATCACTATATTTTTCTCACTGGCATAGTACTTGGGCTGAGTTAATCTTTTATAATGCAAAGATCTCATATAATATTGTATGGACCAAATTCCAAATGCAAGCACAAGATCACTTATTTGTTATCTAGCTAGTTGCATTGTTTTGAGATACCTATAGCAAGACAAAGGCAACAACAAAGGCATTGTTTAAGGTTTCTCTCCTGTGTTATCATGCCTATTCCTATTCAAGGTATTTTACATGAAACAAAGGGCTTGTATTATTTGTTTGGATTTGCTTCTAAAAAAGGAAATGATTATTGTTTTGTTATTCTCATTTCAGGGAAACACTTAACTATTTACCCCTTTGTGGGTGTTCTGATGCTGAGTCAAGCCCCCTTTGCTCTTACAGACCCTGCCACATGTGACACACACCATACTAGTATTAACAATTACTGCTTCTCCAGTAGAGTCGGTGGAGTTTACATTCTTGGAAGTTTTGTTGCTGTACTTAAATAAAGCACTTTGTGGAAGATGCAAAAGGGATTGTTTTGCTTTAATGAGTATCTTATTTGCTAGTGTATCAGGTTTGCTATCATCATCATCACTGTCATCATCATCTGAGTTGTCACTTCCATCATCATCGTCGTCGTCATCATGATTATCACTGCTTCCATCAGTTTCATCATTTCCTGCCAGTAAACCTTTGTTGAAACTGTCTGCAAGTTCTTGGATTCTTAAAGGAAGTTGCTCAGAGCAAATGGGGCACTTGACACCATACAGTATTGAGTAGTTATGATCGTTACAGTTTGAGGAACTACCAAGACAACTTTTGTGAAATGTGTGGCCACAGTTGAAGCGCTGAACTGCAAGTAGGAGATTGTCATTTGCTCTGCAATCTGCTGCATCACAAGCCAACAGTGCGTCTGGTTCTTGACCCTTCCAGGCATACCCTAAGGGAAGCTTCTTTGGTCCACAGTTGCATCAAGAGAGGGTAGATAATAAGGCTGCATTGGAAAAAGATAAAGGTTTTTTTTGGTATATCTTGTATAGGAAATGCTTTGTTTTGTTATGGAATGGGTTGTTACAGCCATATTGGATTCTACCTGATATTTCCTATGTCCTCTGGGTATTTTTGCAGAGTTTCCAAGGTTTTGCCTCACAGAGATGAACAAGTCAAGAAGAAACTCAGCTGCTTTGTTTAACAGGTCCCTTAGGTTCCGGACACCCTTGCCTCTTGGATTATTGGTAAGGAACCAGGTACAAAAATCTTCTGCACATCTGTTTGCACTTATGGCCTTTGCAGCTGCCTGAACTTGGCTGGCTGTGGCATTTGGAGGAAATGATCTGACAATTCAAGGAAAATGAAATGTCTTAGTGACTTAGCTGAAATTAATGTAACACTTTTGGCTTATCTGAATTTTTCAAAAGTTTATTTTCCTTGACATTCCAGGGTGCAAAGAAAGTCAGTTTTACAGCTGCCTGCCATTTGGGCAAGCTGCAGCTAACATGTACTAGTCCACAAATCATTTCAACTAGCCGTAAAACGCTTTTTGATTAGCAGGATTGATTCCAATCTTTCCGTAATTTGAATTTGCCTAGAAAACAGCACTTGCCTGTTGGGCAAGTTGAGAACAAGAATCACTAGCCCAATAGCAAAATCCACTAGCCGTGAGCTATCGGACACAACTGTCTTTGCATGCTGACATTGTCTGTCATTGACAGTCATATCAAGCAAGGGTTGTGGCCTCGACTAATTTCATTTAAAACAACAGCACACAGATGAAAAATAGTTTTATTCAAACCACGTTTAGGAACTTTGCATTCCTTACCTTTAAAAATAATGATGAATCATAACTTTGTTGAAGTAGTGGTCTGCTTGTTTTAAGAGGAATTGATTGGTTTACCACTAAATTTTTCAGGTAAAAAAAATATGTGGCATTGTTAAAAAACATGTTGCCCCTGGGGCAATATTGCACATTATTAGGATCTGTCTGTTATACTGGGTAATGTTTGACAAACCGTTTATGCACTTGAATTTCCTAGGTACATTTATGTTACCTTCGAAGAAGTGAATGGAAAACTTCCACTTTCTTTTCTGTTAGCTCATTGAGCCATTGCTCCAGTAGCTCCTGGAAGGTGGGAATGGCCTCTTGCTGGTGTACAAGGTCGCTCAACTGACACAGGGTGGCCTTGTCATAGTGACGCCGCCTTTGGATGATAAACATGAGGGCTAACCGTATCATGGCATCAACCCACTTCCTTTGGTCACCACCTCGAAAGATAACTGAATAAAAGTAAAACACAAGTGGAACCAATTCATCCAGGAGAAACACAAGAAGGACATATTCTGGGTCTTTACATTGTCCAAATGCAGGTAGAACAGCGGTTTTTACAGTCAGCCATCCACCAAATGCTGTAGTGATGAGAGTCGAAATTCTGTGTGGTTTAGGCTTGGAAGGCAACACTTTTCTTTGACCAAACAAGTGTTTGTACAGCTTTTCAAAAAAACAGCGGAAATTTGCCACAACATCTTCGTGTGAGTTCAGACAGATATGGAAGGGCCCCTGCCATGGCACCACTGACAATACTCTGTCTGGGTCAACATCGGGTTTCCACTGTAGAGTAAGCAACTTTTTTTTAGCTAATGTTCATAATCAAACTTTGAAAGTATAAAATAATTATTCTTACTTTAAAATTTTATGTACTATTAATTACTATTAAGTAATTAAGAATAACAGACATGTAAATGTTTTCTGTTTAACTAGAGTGGACTCTCTCAGTGTGTATTTGTTTACGTACCTGTAGTTTCTTTTTGTTGCTCCTGAAATGCAGTTCTCTTAGTGGGACTGCCCAAGTTTTGAATAATATTTACCCTTGAGTATGTGTTGTGGCTCATTTTTATCTTTGGTTGAAACTTTTTTTTCCTTTGTAATGTGTTACAGTCAAGTCAAGCATAACCCCCAAGATTACATTAATGAATTCATTATTTGAAAGTTGAATCCGTTGGTAGTTGTAGATTTCAGATTCATCTCTGCATTCTTGCATGCGTAATGAGCCGTGAAGTCACACGCAAAGCAGTTACGAAATTTCTACCAGCTCAGTTTCCCTGAATTTTATGTAAATGTCTTCTATGAAATTTAACCTGTTCAAAGATTTTCAATCTGACCAAGTACAGAGAAGTTGTTGTAAAATATTCACTGCCCATTACGCATGAAATATTTCACTTCAGAAATATACTGTGAATATTATATTAAATATATATTGATTCAGAGGTAGCACATCCACAAAGTGGTCCTTGTGTACCTAATTCTCAGTCGAATTGTAATTTGGCAGCGTTAGTTTTTGAGGAGAGGGGAAAACCGGAGTGCACAGCGAAAAAAAAAACCCTCGGAGCAAAGGAGAGAACCAACAACAAACTCAACCCACATATGGCGTCGATGCTGGGATTTGAACCCAGGCCACATTGGTGGGAGGCGAGTGCTCTCACCATTGTGCCATCCCTTGCTCATTATTGTTCCTTATGCTAAAAGTGTTTTAAAAATGTTAAGCCAAACCTGGCATATAATCTTCTTGTTGTAGTACCATGTTGGCCAATCACCAGCTAAGAGCAGTAGGTTCTTTTCCATGTATTTGCTTAGTGATGGGCAAACTTCATTGAGGTGCTGCATTGCTTGTCTATAATTTGCCATGCTCTTAAGGGACTGTTCAAATTCATCAACTAGCCAAGTGTTGGACAGCAAATCCAAGTCATGTCTGGCCTCATCTGTATACACTCTACAAGGTATTTGTTATTGTTTGTATCATGAAACATTGTACATGCTCTTTTTTGGCACCCTTATGCAACATTTGTTGAAAGTCAATTATCCATTCAATCTTAAATTTTCCCTTTCAAATTCCTACATTGTGAGACAATGCAAAGTGGTATGTGGAAAAAATTTATGATGGGCTGTATGTAAAACTAGTTATTGACATTTGGAGTTGACAATTTCATTTTTGAGGAGGAATTTATAATAAAGATATTTATGGTGCCAGTTAATTGTAAAATTTCTGTGGCATTGATTTATGCCAAAGTGTTAAATGGCATGAAAAGTTTGGATGAAATACATTACTAAAATCTATTACTTAAAAGTGTTATATTATTCTTTTTGTACCAGCTTGTGGCACCCAATAACTATTAGACCACTACCTTGACTTTTAGGTTTCTGATTTGTTGTAAATCATACCTTAATTCAACTAAACTTTTGTTTACATTTGTCAGGTCAAACTGGCTGAAATCAGCAGGTAGAGAGTCTAAATAACTGAATGTAAAATAATTTGACAAATGCTCTTGAAACAACTCGTTCACTTTGTTGGCATCAATTCCTCCCCGGCAGTTAACAATTGCACCCCCAGCAATTCGGACAGGTACAACCCGGTGGACATTTCTTGTTGTTGGCATTGCCGGTATAGATTCTTGGTGATCCACTACTCCAGTACACATGTGAAGGCACTTGCTCAGCTGGCTCTGTTTGGGGTCTTTTATAGACTGGACACAATGAAAATCATCTATAATGAGCAGGAGGAAGTTGTTGTTCTGTTGGGGAGGAAATTTTTAACTGGATCAGTGTACATCTATGGACTGATAAATTAAAGTCATTTTACTTAAACCGTGAAACAAGTAGAAGAATACTACGCACTATTATGTATTAATTCCATTGTCTTCTTTTGTTTACCTCTCGCTATTTTGCACTGTTTGTTAATATCTGTTTCACGGTTCAAATAAAATCACTCTATTTTTGTTGTTTTTGTCTCCTTGTTACAAGGTCCTTGTGCCTTCTATTTAGCCCCTTCTTCTTTACATCCAGCCACCTTACCTTTTGTCAACTTATTGTTTTGGCCAGGGTGTTGTGCGGTGGCAGATGTTTAATAATGAATTGTTTCAGTATGTAAATACATGTACCTTTATGGCACTCTCAACGATCGCTTGTGTCTTGTGAATGCTTTTTCCAGACAATCCTTTTTTATGATTTAGCACACTTCTCGGGTGAGTGCTAAATCCTAGAAGTGAGCCAGCTGTCAAAGCATCATCACTGGCACCATGAAAGGACAAGTGCAACCCACAGTCTTGTTGTAAGGGATTGTTTTTCTGTTGAAAACAAACAAGCAACACTTGTGTCTATTACACACCATGGTGTTTAATTTAATTTAAGTGTCTTTCTAAAGTATGGTTCCTGTTATTATTATTATTACTATTATTATTATTATCATTATCATTACCATTATCATTATTAGTATTATTATTTATTTTATTTTTTATTATTATTATACACACTTGGTTTCTAAAGTAAGACAGCTGATGAAGCAGTGCCACAACTCGCAGTCTCAGTATTTCATGTCTTTTCTTAGAAAGCTGTTGTTTTTCATCATTCTTGACTAGACACAAGGCACGGTCGAACAATCCAGGGGTGCACTTGTTGGCAAATTTTTCCATGTCTGCAGGTTCGTATAGCCGCTGCCCTCCATCCTTGTAATGTTTAGTGAGACACTTGTGGAACGTTTTGAACTGCTCATCAAAAGTTGGCTCTGAAAATTAATTAAAAAATGTTTCTAATAAAGGTTGAAACTAGTCGTCTTTGTTTTGAATGTGTGGAAATTAAGAGTACGTCAATACAATACCTTCTAGCTTGTTGCATCTTTCTTTTAATGCTGCATTTTCGCGCTGTAATTTGGTGATTAATTGTTTTGCCTCTGCTAGCTCATTAACACTCTGCAAAGGGGCGGTCTGAGAGGTTCCATCCGTCCAAGTTATTTTCTTTTCTGGGGTAGTACATAGGACTGAAGTAGTACATTTTGTCTACAAATGTATAGGGCAAAATTTAATGCAAAATATGAATATTTTCTAAAACAAAACTAAGAATGTATGATCTGTTTCTCTACATTTTGACTGTTGTTTGAGTGTAAAAGAAACATACCTTTCTCGTAGTAGGGGGGTTTGTAGAGAGCGTGGTTGGTAAATATGGGAGCTTCGTCCACGAGATTTAGGTGGCCTTGGCAAAGAAATGCACCTCCTTGGTAGTTTTCAAGGTTTGCTGCTACGGTGAGAATCCTCTGCGGACATGGCAGTAAATTGTTCCTTTGCGTGCAAGCATTTTCACTCGGAAAACAGCACCTCCTTTGACTTTCCACTTGCAATTTTTTTGCATGACCAAAACATAGCCAAACCGGCCTAGAGTAGCCACGTAAAACAGCCTCTTTTCCCGAATAGTAATTAGTGGCACCCCAACACTTTTCTGACACGCTTCTTAATCTGGAGCCACGTTCACAAACATTTCCCATTATTTAATCAACTTTGGACTGAAGTTTCCGCCGGAAACGCACGCAAAAAAAGACCGGAACTTGACAGTGAAGCGGTCGGTAACTATTTTTTGACATTTTTGAAGCTTTTGAAGCGGGAAAAAGCGAGCGGCGTCTCCAGTTTCATTCATAATTTCCCGCGTAAAGCATGAGGCCGGGAAGCTGGCGCCTACCAGTCAGTAAGTGGACACAAGCCGTAGGCGAAGAGTTTGATGTTTACAAATCTTTTCCTTTTTTTACTTGTCCAAGGAAATATATTTTAGCGCTGCTATCTACCTTCTAAGTGCAAGAGGATCGATCCTCTTAGAGGTAAGATTGGCTGTACATTTGTGGAAGCTTCTCACCGGCGATTACGTTCGAGTGTTTTCACCGCGAGGGGGATGCAAAAACAAAAAACAGCAAGCCACAGAAAAACGTACTGTTCGATTTTTTTACGTATTTCTTATTTTGCTTCTTGGCTTTTAGCCTTTTGGTTGGTCGAATTTTGAACCTTAAATACTCCACCTGTTTCTTATTTTTGCAAATTGTTTAAGAGCTATTGGTCGTATAATGTCTCTATGAACTACACACTGTCCCGCGCATTTTCAGCAAGCACCCTAAAGTGTATTCCTAATCTGATTTCGCTACAACTCTTGACATCGCCTGTCAATGAGTTCTAGTTTGGGGATATCAGATCATAATCACCGAACTAGTCATGGTTAACTATGTATTTGGCTTCAAACTTTGCTCTTTTTTGTAGACTACTTGATTCGTTGTAAGATGGTCAGCGGAGACCACAAACTGCCGCGAAAACGGCAACCAATCAGCGGTTTTTCTGCCCTGCCACCTTCATTACAATGGCGAATATTCGAATTAACAGTTTGAGTAAGACATATCCGTCCGGGTTGTAGTGGAAAATGCCAGATCGTGTACCTGAGCGAACCTGAGCCCACACGTTATTAGTTTTCTGATAGTGGTCTGCACATATTCCATTTTGACAGCTGTCAATTGACTTTAACTTGGCTTGCCAATATAAATTTAAACGACTGTCAGCCTACTGACAGCCCTGCCCGGGGTAGTTTCGTTTTTATGTTGAATTGGTAAGTGTGACATATTATATCAGCTTATATGTAGGGGCAAAACGACTGGTCTTTCATCTGAGCCTGCGAGATGGTCATGTGATTATTGTCAGCGGATGTCTGATTTTGACAGCTGTCAATCTACTCGTACTCATACGGATGGCTTACAAAACTGAAAGGCTAGTCAAGTTGTGCAAGATCTATTGTGACATTTGACATCGGCTTACATGAAGGGTGTGTACGGGTGGGCGTACTCTACGTCATAACCAAATTTTCTTGGATGGATAGTTTACCAAATTTTGTTACTCATGGTGCTCCGCTGCGCGCGCTTCGCGCGCGGGAGCTCCGCTATAAATGCTTGTCCCGTATTGTCGGCTTTGCCGTCACTGTCACAATTTGGCCAAGGGAGGTTGTCTCTTGTCGCGATTTCATTTTTCATTTTTTGTCGCTACTTTTTCGGCCATGTTGCTTGTCAGAATTTACCCTGGCAGGGCCTCCTCCTTGGCCACTTTTTTGGCCCAGCAAAATGGCCATACATTTTCTTATCAAAAAACCCCTGATCATTAATACGGTCACCTATCAATACGGCCAACAGCCACATTTCAAAATCCCAAACAGTAGAATCTTTAGCAATTACACCCCTCTAATAAGGCCACTTGTGCAAAATTTCAAAAATTAATATGACTGTGATGTGTCATTGACTTAGTAAGCTGAGCTTGTTTTTGTACTGTTGTTAGACTATACTCACTTACAATGCATTTGTGGCGGTCTAAAAGCGGATTTTTAAAAGTGTTTTATTTCCTGAAGGAGAGGTGATGAATGGTCCATTAAAATTTTTAACTGCTCGCAAAATTTTACCTTCGCTCAATTTGCTCGCAAAATTGAAACGAGTGCTCGCTTGCTCGTGCTCCCGAAATTTTTGCCATTGCTCGCAAGCTCGCAAAGCAAGTTTTTTATTTCTGCTCGTGCTCACGAAAAAATCGCAGTGCTCGGCATGCTCGCAAAGACCATTCGTCACCCCTTGAAGGTCAGAGCTAGTTTCAAGAAGTAACAGAAACAATGGTGTAGAGGAGCTTAATTCCTTGGGAAGTCTTGTGAACATATACAAACATATTTTATAAATAATACATAGAGGATATTACACGGTGGCGCGAAGATATGAATTTTATTTTCAAGTGGCAAAACAATATTTTACGAACGAGTGCAGCGAGTGAGTAAAATATTGTTTTTGCCACTATATATTATATAGACAAAAAGACATCGATAAAATAATAGAGGGAAATGACCGAAATTACGTCATCGATAAACTCACGTGTGAGATTATGGAAAATAAACTACTCGGGTCCCGGATGTGGTTGTATGAACTTTTCGAGTGGTATATTTTCCTGTAAAACACTCGTGTCTATATAATAAAATGTATTTTCCACATCAATTTTTGTACAAAAACGTTCTATATTTTATTATACATATAAGATGAACAGATTTGTTCCTCTTTCAGGATTCAGTTTCAAGAGAATTTTTCAAGAATTTTCTCAAATTTAACAAGCTGGAAAGATATCTGGATGAAGTTTAATCATAATAATAATAATAATAATTTATGAACTTATTGTGCACAGCTTAACATGAAAATGATCAGCTGCGCATTACAACTGCATTACTTTAAAAGAAACAAATAAAAGATAATGCATTAAAAAATAAAAAATAAAAAGAATATAAGAACTGAATATAAAATTGCTCACAAAATATATATATAAATTTACCTTATCTCGGAAATTTCTCAGTATTGTAGCTGTCAATATTAGTTTTACAAGAAAATTATTTATAGACCTCTGGTCCCCACTAATTTTCTTGTAAAACTAATATTGCTTCTGTTAAACTAAAATGATAGGATCTTGAAGGTGTTGAAGAGTTCATCAGAAAGAATCATGAGGAGCTGGTTGCTATTGGAGAGGTAAGAATAGTTGAAGATTGAGTTTAAAGGACTGTAAAGAAATATTTTCTTACTTAGAGCAAAGATATTTTTTAAGCTAGATTTTAAAGCACTTGATCTCAAGGCTTGACTATTTTATCCCTTTAAGTCCCATTATATCCACATAAAAATTCTCCAAACTGATCATTATATATTTCCTTAAAGAATGAGTTGAGAGAATTTGATAAAAGATCAAAGCAAAGCAGTAGGTGTTCATTTTTTTAATTCTCATAACCAAATGTCTTAACAATGTATGGATATTGTTAAGAGAAAATTGGTCTTGGTCACTATTGGGACTTAAAGGGTTAATGTGCTGTATATAGGTCACCTGATTTGGCTAGGAGGCAGGGTGGCTGAGTGGTAAGAGCGCCGGACTTGCAATTCGGAGGCCCTGAGTTCAAGTCTTGCTCTGACTGCTAGCTGGATTTGTTCATGGTAGTCCCGAGTTCAAACCTCAACCATGATTGTAAATAGCCAGCTGGGATTCGTAAACCCTGTTATGTTCAATTTTAATTATTTCTTTTAGGCATTTGTTCGGCCCCCTAGCATTATTGCTCAGCTGAGGGTAAATAATGAAATTATTATTATTATTATTATTATTATTATTAGGATATCATCATGTGACTGAAAGTAGAGTCCAACATTTGACCATTGAAGATGCTGATATCTTGGTTAATACTAGATTTTGATTTTGTTTCCGGGGATAAGGAAAAGTCCCTTTTTTCCTACAAGAAAATGTAACTTGTATTTGACCTCACCTATTACAGGATTTTAAGCTATTATGACAGCCACACTCATGCCATTTGGTGCTTATTAAAGAAGCTCTGCAAGCAGTAGCTGAGCATCATTGAACATCATGATTTATGATTTATTTTGGCTGTTTTGAATAATTCTTTCTCTATCACAAGGTTGGCTTAGATTTTACTCCAAGATTTATTCAGAAGGAAGAAGATAAGGAAATTCAAAGGGAGGTCTTCAGCAAGCAGGTGTGCAATTGCTTTTTAATAGGCTGTTTGTTGGCTGTAAATAATTTGTTAGGTTCTTTTACAACTCCTGACTATTATGTTTAGCTTCCATATTAATTTGACTATGAGTATCACATGCAAAATCTGTTCATTCATATTTTTTGTTTAATTTAATTTTATTTAATTTTTCTAAGACAGTATTAAAATCTTTACCTAGTTATGTAGCATTATTTTAAATCAATATTGACATTAACATCTGTTATTTACAGATTAAACTGGCTCTGGAACTTGACCTTCCATTGTAAGTTTGCATCTAAAAGATATTATTCATTGTGTATAGAACTACCCAAACATGTATAATAATAATATATTTAAACATTTACATTAATGACTTCATGAGGTGCATGATTTGGTTTTCTGTGCTCCAATGATCTAAAGATTGTGTCATGATGTGGTAGTATTAATAAAATAATAGTTAATTAGTATGGTGGTGGCAGAGGGTGGGGAGGTGGTGTCCTGGCCCGACTCTTGTAAGAAAAATTAATAAGAACAGGGCTTCTTTTAGGAAAATTAAAGCCCTTTAATACTAGCTGGCTTTTTATTTTATAGTTGAGGTGCGGCAAGATGTTATAGTTTAAGTTTTATGCGGGATATTCTTTTTGTGTCATTCTACCTAAATTCCAGGGTTTTGAATTTGATAATTTTGATTTCGGATCAGTTGTTCCAACACATCATCCTATAACATGATTTTGACCTGTTTTATAATTGCTGCTCAACACTTTAATTACTTCTTGTAATTGGTTTACTGATGTCGATACTGGTAGAAATGTCCACTCCAGATCAGCAGGAAGGCATGTCATTGAAATGCTGCAGCAACATGGTATGAACTGACATTTCCTTTCATTTTTCATTGAAGTGGAATGATAAAAAAATATTGAAGAAAAAAATTTTATGTTAAGTAAACTTAAATGATTGTCAAGGTTTCACATATCACTCAGATGCTTCGTTCTGTCGGAGTAGGTAAGAACTTCTCTGAGATTACCCAGGGGCACCCTACTTCAAAGCAGTTTAACCGGATTTTTGTATGTTTGATCTCAGTTCATTTACCTGCAAGACTGGTACCAATATCTAAAAGAACAACTTAATTATTGTCGTAACTGTTCATTAGTAGGATTTGACATTTTTTTTAGCTTGATACCCAGGGGAACTTAATAGCTCCCATTTGAAAAGGATGGACATGCTTGTTAACTATCTGTCTGTCATCTGTCGTCCTGTGTGTCTGTCTGTCATCAGTCATCTGCTATCTCATCTATCCAATCTATATTTCTATCTGTCTGTCTGTATAATTATCTATCTTCCTTAAAAGGTAATGATAAGCAGCTCCATCATTTTTATTGAGGGAGTTTACCCTGCAGGCTTTAGAACTGGAGCCTCAAAAAAATTTAACCCCTAATTCATCCTTAAAGCGTCCATTTCAAGATAATGAAATTTCCATGAAAATAAGTTCATGGGATTTTCATGACATTTTGAAAAACCCATTAATTCAATGGCAAGTTTTTTCATGGTGTGTCAATTCATGGTTTTTTAATGGCTTGCAAAATATATCACCCATGAAGATTCCAGGGATGTGAACATATTCATGGCCCATGAAAAAAAAAAAAAAAACACAACCTTTCATGGTATTTTAATGACTTGAGAAAGTAAACTCAGAGCACAGTGATCTCAATTAGTTACTAGAAACTTTAAACTGCATTTTATGGTTTTCTTATCCTGCTATTGTTCTTTATATCGCAATGTTTGAGTTTCAAACACTTTTGAAGAATTCTCTTCAAACAAAGAATGGTCGTCATTTTGAGGTTTTGATCAAAGTTTTAAGATTCAAAGCATGTAGAGAACAAGTTTCGGACTCAGTAAGTTCTTTGTGGTCTTCTACAAATTCTAGTTATATATTTTCTCAAAAATTCTCTTGCTTGCCTTTTTCTTGTTGAAGTCCAGTGGAATTTTGGTACTGCTGTAACATGGTAATTTCTCCCATTTTTTTGCTACTGTAATTGAGTCTGAGTCAGTCCAGACTCGTTGTCATTAATTCCAAGACTCAATTATTTACTGGCTTAATTTATTTGGAATTAGTCCTAGGAATTCTTAGTTGCTGTATGAAGCCATTCCCAGAAATTCCAAGCTTTTATATTGTTCCTAATTTGAATGGCTTAATTTATCTGGAGTTGGTCCTAGGAATTCTTAGGTACTGTATGAAGCCATTCCCAGAAATTCCAAGCTTTTAAATTGTTCTTAATTTGAATGGCTTAATTTATCTGGAGTTGGTCCTTGGAATTCTTAGTTAATGTATGAAGCCATTCTCAGAAATTCCAAGCTTTTAAATTGTTCCTAATTTGAATGTTTTGAAATTACTGGGAATTCCTAAGTCCCCAGGACTTTTCCCTTAAAAAAACGAGGTTGTGTTAAACCATTCCCAGAAATTCCAAGTTTTTAATTTCTTCCTAATTTGCTGAGGATTTAACTTTATTTCTCCACTGATAATTCATGGGAATTTCATGGCCCGTGAATATAAAATTTGGAATGTTTATGAATTTAATGGACCAAGAAACATACGAAATACATCTTTTTTGATGACCAAAAATTTTCATGGCCATGGAAAACGTTTTTCATGGGTTGTGTAAAAGACAGTTCTATAACTCATGGAAAATTTATGGCGCTGAACCAAGGCCATGAAATTGACAATTGCAAAGTTCTTGACCCTGAAAAAAGATTCATGGGTTTTTCCTGAACATTTCATGGGATTTTCATTAAACTCATGTTGGTAGTAGGAGAAGTTGTCGAAAAATATTACTGCTCATTACGCATGCAGGAATGCCGATTTGAATTTCACACTAGTTATGGGAACGACTAACGGATTCATTTTTCAAATAACCAATCATTAATAGAATCTTGTGGGGTACGCCTGACCTGCCTTGACTGCAACCGACCTGATTTAAATAGTGTTGCCTAGCAGATTTATTGAAATTCGTATAATTCATCCAGCATTTTATCACTTCATAATTCTTTTATTTTGCACCCACTTTAATAGGAGCCAAGAATGTTCTGTTGCATGCGTTTGATGGAAAGCCCTCTAATGCTCTCAAGGGAGTTGAAGCAGGATATTATTTCTCTATCCCACCTTCTATAGTCCGATCACCTCAGGTAAGATTTTTTATTCATGTTGATGTATTCTTTTGTGTGCATCTATATGATACCTGGATCTGTGAAAACGTTTCTCTAAAGTATACGTTATAAAAACTAAAAATACAAGCTCCATTTTTTTCTTGTCCTTCACCTCTCTTTCTGTCTTTTTTCCCTCTCCTTTTCCTTCTTTGGTTTGATTTTCTGGCTCGTCAAACCTCCAAAACCCGTGTTTAGTTCTATTCTAGTTTTATTTTAGCCTTATTCTGGTCAATTTTTTTTTCCAGTGTTTTCAAATTTTTAGCAAGTAGATATACAATCTACACATAGAAACCCTTTAGCCTGGGTCCCCATATGATAGGAGCAGGACCCTCTTTTTGTCACTTTTAATTTAGAAGAGTGTGAATTGCAGACGTTGGTTTCCAGGTTGGAACATCATTATTGTCACCCATGCAGGTATTGGTTGGGGCTATGCAAAATGCAATTGGTTGTCTGAAACACACATAACATTGATGACAACATTATCTTACAATAAAAATCTTTCTTGCTCTTTTAATGGCTCTCTGTATTAGAAATTGAAACCTTGTGGAGTCTTATTAATATTTAGCCACAGCCAGATTGGAGTCTTTTAGAGGTTAAGTTCCTATTTTCCAATGAGCCCCACTCCCCTCCCCCACTGTCACACAGGACCCTGCCCCTTGCCTCCTGGTCCGTTAACTGCTACGGTATGCCGTATCCTTAGTAATGATGTTTTTATGTTTTGTTTTAGAAAGAGAAACTTGTGAAAAACGTCCCTCTTTCAAATCTTCTTCTGGAAACAGATTCACCCGCCTTAGCTGCTGAGAAACAGGTTATAACTGGCTGAAGAATTAATAACTGCAATCATACAAATCTCCTGGAGGTACTCCTGAGAATTCTTGGTGGTGTGTATTGCCCGGTTCTCCAAATTCTGACTCTATTTCAGACCAAAAAATGTCATTTTTTAGACCTATTTTCAGACCTGGCCTCTAAGAAATTATGTCATCATTACTTAGATTAGAAAAGCGACAAAAAGAGATTTCTTAAAATCCATTTCAAATTCGCGTATTTTTCTTTCTTTCTTTCTTTCTTTCTCATTTCGTTCATACGCTCCCGTAGTTCCCTCAAAAACCATGCCCGATTCCAGACCAAAATGGGCAAAGTGTATACCTGTTTTCGAACCAAAACGGCCCCAAAACCACAGCCTTTTGGGCGGTACGTACCTATATCGCTTATGTAAGGGAGTACCAACCCCCGCGACAAATCTTGGCATGTTCCACGTTGATAGGAGATTGGAGTGTCTTGTATTAGATGAGATCCGATCCTTCAGTTCTGGCGGAAGGATATAATAATAATCTCGCTATTTCTTATGGATTTTGAACTACAGAATGCGACGATAGTTCTAAGTAAATATTTTGGAAGCTATATAGAACACGTTTGCCTTTAGTGATCGTTTATTCCGTCGGCTCCACCTTTCCTTGTAACCATAATCGTTTTTATTTCCTTTTCTTTATAGACAAGAAATGAACCCAAGAATATCCACATCTCCTGTGAGGCAATTGCTAGAATCAAAGGAACTTCAGTACAGACAGTTTATGACGAGACTACAAGAAATGCATTGAAGCTTTTCCCAAAACTTCAGAGATTTCTTAGAAAGTGATTTCACTTTTGTACACCAAGATTTATCTTATTTATGAATACACCGGAACCCCGCTATACGGCCATAACTGTAAAGACCACAGCACTTTTTCTGGTTTGATCAAAGCTCGAAAACCCATACATTTCGATGCGTTTAGGCCTTACGTCCTAAACACTAATACGCTGAGCGTTTTCATCAAAAACGCATCGATTTGAAAACGCTCTTGAAAGTGGATCAAAACGAAAACGCATACATATCGTATTAGTGGACGGTCGAAAAAGCATCAAAATGAAAACGATGACCGACAATATCGCAGGCGCGTGTATTTGTAGCATGTCCGTGGCACACAACGTGCGTCACAACGTGCAATTCTATGGTTTTCGAACGTTTTAGTGTGGACAGTCAAAAACGCATCTAAACGGTAGTGTAGACGCGATCGATCGATGCGTTTTCGATGACAACGAAAACGCATACGGCTATTACGCTTTCCCGCCAATGCGCGCGTACTACTCAGTATTGAGAAAATCTCGTCCTCGTCGGTCATCCTTGTCTTAGAATCTAAAAGTCTCTATTACGGCCTACTACCAGCTGTTGGAACCCCCAATTGTTTCCTTATGGAGATATTAATGCACCTTTCTATTGTTTTGAATAGCGCCGAAATCCTTGTTCTGCACCCGCACCTGTGTACCAGGATTTGAGTACGCGCCTTGATTGGCCGTTAAGTGTAGATTTGCCAATCAAGATGAAAGGACAATTAAAACTCTCTTTCGGTACCTCGTTGAGTCTGTTGGTTCCCAGAACACGAATCTCGGCGCTGCTTCGCAGACGTTACTAACCGACGTTAAATTACGTCTGCGAAGCAGGCTACTTTGCTCCTCGGCCTCGCTCTACGCGCTCGGTCATTATTTTCAAGTAGGCCTCGCAGGTCGTGCTCAGGCATTATTCTATGTATACAATCAGACGGATGCATTGTATGACCCACTGTCAGGGAGAAAAACTTTAACTTTACCGTAACTTTAATAAATTTTCAGTTATAGAGATACAAGGAAATAATTGTGTTTAAGAAAACTGGGGAAAACCTCAAACAGAATTTAGCAATCCCTTACTAGGAGGTCACCATAACTAAAGGAAACCTCTCACAGTTTTAAATGAAATAATTAAGGGACTGTTTTTACAAATGTATAATTGAATAATAGAAAAATATTATTAAAAAATAAAATAATTACTTAAATAAAGTTCTCCTGACTGTACAAAAAGGATTTAAGCGCTGATTTGAATTTACCTGAAGAATCAATCAATCGCAAGTTCAGAGGCAGGCTGTTCCATTCCTTCACAATCAATATGAAAAACTGTGAATGACCAATAGTGTTTGTTGAAAGTTGTTGTAGTGATTGCAGCTCAACATCGCCGCAAATGGCTATTGTTCTCGCGACATTTACGTACAGTCAGCGAAAGTTGCTAGGATCGGGTACTGGGTCGCCGTTTGTCGTTAGTCGAACCCATTCAGGCCCTCTAAAATAGTTTGGTCCGGGAGTTACAGTGCGTATCTCGAACTCGGTTATGAGAAATTTATATTTTCAAGTGTTTGATATAGTTATCATATATAATCATGTTCCGATCCTTTTTTGCCAGCGATAAATTATTTGTCACATACGAATCAAATTAAATTTTGTTGAGACTTAAGAATAAAGTTCAGCGAATAGAGAAAACAACGTTTCCATGTCGCCTGGACATCATTAATTATCAAGTGACAAGACAAAAAACAAGGCAAGACTTAAAATTTAAGGTTTGAAGTGTCAACTGATGAACTAGAGAAAAAAAAAACATGTTTGCACGTGTACGAAAAAAAGAAAATATGTTAAATAGACAGTTTTGCCCGGATGGGATAATTTGATTGTGTGTTTAATGCCCAATTCACACTGAGGCTTGAATATGTTAAAAAGTTGTTTAGATAAAAACAAGGTTAATATTCTTATATTCTTCATAGAAGAACCCAATCATTTTTTTCAAAGACAAATATAGCGCAAATGGAAAAATAAGTCAAAATTTACTTGAAATCTCGTAAAAATCCAGTCCTTTATTTTTCTTTCACTGATTATCAGTTTGTTCAACTTGGTTTAATTAAACTTGTTTTATTGGCGTGAGTGAGGCTCAAACTTGGTTTCTTCTCCTTTCTTAAAAGCATTTGTATCGTAAATCAGACAGTCTGATTTTCCACTGCACTTCTTGAGTACGGAGAAGTTGCTGGTGAGGTTGCTAAAAACCGTAGGCAACCTTGGGGGAGCACCCTGGGGACTAAGGGTGGACCCCTCCTTGGATTGGTGACCGGTCTCTTAACGAGATGGTTTAAACCTGAGAAGAACCAAACGAGGATTAAAACGAGCCTTTTTGATTATTTATTTTGAAACCATCCTCAGCGTTTTAAAATTTAAGCGTTCCACGCAGACGTCGTCAGTGGGATTCTCCACGCGTTCTTTCTCATAGTAAAAAGCTGAGAAAGAGAGATTGTGTGATTGGCCAAATAAATGTCTATGGGAGGCTAGGTCTGTTTTTATTATAGTTCTCAATCAGTCTTATCTCGTTTTTACCTTGATGGGGGTGTTTTTACAGTCCGTAATGTTTTATTTCTATTCCGTGTTTTTGACCGAGTCCGTAGTTTTTAGCTCGTGTTTTGTACCCACCCAATCCGATTAGTCCACAGTCCACAGTCCGCAGTCCGCAGTCCGCAGTCCGCAGTCCGCAGTCCGCAGTCCGCGTTTTATGTTTTCTTACTGGGACGTAAGTCTCCCTAATAATAATAATAATAACGTCTTTATTAAAAAGCATCCGATAAAATTACATATCTGATGTTACAGTAAAAATATATATTGACAGAAAAAAAAATTACAATGATCAAGATGAATAAAAAAAGATTAAATTGATTAAAAATACATATGGGGTATTTACACAGCTGATTATATTTAAAAATCAATCTGATAAAAAAGCTATCTTTGAAACGCCTGAATATCCTGCATGTGATGTCAGGGTGACAATATTGGTAGTGAAGAAGAAAACCATAAATTTTATCTCATTTTCATGTAAATCCTTCGAGAAAGCCTATAGAGTACTAAAGTGATGATGTCATAAAAATTAAGTTTCTGAAATTATGGGATTTGTCGGGATATTCTGACAGAACAATGTCCAAGAGGCCTACTTGCCAAAAATGAGCATTTCGGGGCAAATTGACTCTGAGATGTTAGCTGGTTATACTCAGAAAACTCCATACAAACCCTTCTAATATTTTTGGGGTCGACCCAAAATAATTTAGAAGGGTTTGTGTGGAATTTTCTAAGCATAACTGGGCTACGATCTTGGAGACAATTTGCCCCGAAATTCTCATTTTTGGCGAGTAGGTCTCTTGGACATTGTTCTTTGAGAATATCCTGACAAATCCCATGATTTCAGAAATTTCATCTTTATGATGTCACACTTTAGTACTCTATTGTACTGACCACCAACATGACCACTTTGTCACCCTGTTGCAAACTAAGAATACTACTGTACTTTTATCTTATGCATTTCTAACTTAAGTCTAGCGTTGTAATTTTTTAATTTTTATAATTTCATGTATAAATAAAAAAAAGTTGTTGACAGAAGTTAAAAATGTTTAAAACTGTTTTTTTATTAACGGTTACATATAGGCTTAATTAAGGACATGGAAATTAAGAATATTATTTCAGGTAAATCGAAAGGTGTAAAGTCCTGAAACTACAGAAAGGGTGTACAAAATTGAAAGATTCATGCTATGTTTCTAGGCTGGTGTGAGGGTCATTGTTGGTGTAACAGAATTTAAGGCAGAGTTCAGTGGAATGCTTGATCTTCATAAAAGGTTTGTATGCAAGGAGTTTACAGTCAAACCAGTTCAAGCGTTCCCGTCGCTAACGAACTAACCAATTCATTAACAGAAGAATGATTTCGTTTGTTGATTCAATAATCCATTCATAAAATGAACAATCCAATATTCATATTTAGCCTCGCTTCCATAATCGAATGTTGATTCGATTACCGTTTTTTGAAAAACTACACTTTCCACAAGTCGACCTCAGAATTTTGTTTTTTCTTCTTTTTTTTCTAAGAGTCGAGTGCGGGCGAGTTCTGAAGTTCAAACCCAAACAAACTGTTACATGTACGCCATTTTGCTGCCAGTAATCAGTGCAACAGACCTGACCTCTTAGAAAACAGGATGGTCAAACTAAGGTCAGTGTATGTGCGATGATAGGTGGATTTCGATCCCCGGCCTTTGTCAGTTTCTTTGCGTTTGTGGTCTGTCTATTCTAGCTGTTATTTTGATTAAAGGCAATGAAAAACCCAATCGTATACAGCAGGAAAAGGGAAGCAAATACAGGTAGATTTTGTTCATAAACTAAATCAACATTTAATTATCGAGTCGAGGTCCAATTTGACTGTTGGATTATTCATTTTATGAATGAATTATTGAATCAACAAACGAAATCATTTTGCCATTAATGAATTCATTACTTTGTTAGCGACGGGAACGCTTGACCTGGTTTGACTGTAATATAGCTGCACATATTCTAAATCTAAATGATTATTCAAAAAGTGGATTATCCATCACTGTGGTGAAAATGAATTTTGGGCTGAATGGAAAGCGCGGCCCTCAGGTACCAGAATTAGGATTAGCCATTATTAAAAAAAACACAGCTCAACCTTTTGCGTTGTCCTTAATAAATTGTTGATTGTAACTAGTCAGAATTTTTGTATCAAATTTCAGGTACCCAGATTTCATTGCTCCATGCCTTGGTGTTCATCCAGTCCAAAGCCTGACCCCTGATCGTAGTGCTACTCTACAAGTATGTTGACAGTGGACTTTTTGGTACAGTGGAACCCCTCGTTATATCTTCCTTGAGGCCCTGCCAAAGTGGGGGAGGGGGGGGGTCCCTTGTCGCCGTCTGAATTTTAAAACGTTTCCTGTCGGTGTTTATAAATGCGTGTCGCTTATTGTCGGCTTTGTTGTCACTGTCACAATTTGGCCGAGGGAGGTTGTTTCTTGTCGCGATTTCATTTTACTCGCTGTCGCTACTTTTTGGGCCATGTCGCTTGTCGGAATTTACCCTGGCAGGGCCTCCTCCTTGGCCACTTTTTTGGCCCAGCAAAATGGCCATACATTTTCTTATCAAAAAACCCCTGATCGCTAATACAGTCACCTATCAATACAGCCAACAGCCACATTTCAAAATCCCAAACAGTAGAATCTTTAGCAATTACACCCCTTTAATAAGGCCACTTGTGCAAAATTTCAAAAATTAATATGACTGTGATGTGTCATTGACTTAGTAAGCTGAGCTTGTTTTTGTACTGTTGTTAGACTATACTCACTTACAATGCATTTGTGGCGGTCTAAAAGCGGATTTTTAAAAGTGTTTTATTTCCTGAAGGTCAGAGCCAGTTTCAAGAAGTAACAGAAACAATGGTGTAGAGGAGCTTAATTCTTTTGGAAGTCTTGTGAACATTAACAAACATATTTTATAAATAATACAATGTATTATCCACATCAATTTTTGTACAAAAATGTCTTATATTTTATTATACATATAAGATGAACAGATTTGTTCCTCTTTCAGGATTCAGTTCCAAGAGAATTTTTCAAGAATTTTCTCAAATTTAACAAGTTGGAAAGATGCCTGGATGAAGTTTAATAATAATAATAATAATAATAATAATAATAATAATAATAATAATAATAATAATAATAATTTATGAACTTATTGTGCACAGCTTAACATGAAAATGATCAGCTGCGCATTACAACTGCATTACTTTAAAAGAAACAAATAAAAGATAATGCATTAAAAAATAAAAATAAAAAGAATATAAGAACTGAATATAAAATTGCTCACAAAATATATATATAAATTTACCTTATCTCGGAGATTTCTCAGTATTGTAGCTGTTAATATTAGTTTTACAAGAAAATTATTTATAGGGCTCCGGTCCCCACTAATTTTCTTGTAAAACTAATATTGCTTCTGTTAAACTAAAATGATAGGATCTTGAAGGTGTTGAAGAGTTCATCAGAAAGAATCATGAGGAGCTGGTTGCTATTGGAGAGGTAAGAATCGTTGAAGATTGAGTTTACAGGACTGCAAAAAAAAATTTTCTTACTTAGAGTAAGGATATCACTTGATCTCAAGGCTTGATTATTTTTAATGTGCTGTATATAGGTCACCTGATTTGGCTAGGAGGCAGGGTGGCTGAGTGGTAAGAGCGCCGGACTTGCAATTCGGAGGCCCTGAGTTCAAGTCTTGCTCTGACTGCTAGCTGGATTTGTTCATGGTAGTCCCGCGTTCAAATCCTCAGCCATGATTGTAAATAGCTAGCTGGGATTCTCAATCCCTGTTAAGTTGAATTTGAATTATTTCTTTCAGGCATTTGTTCGGCCCCCTAGTATTAGTGCTGAGGGTAAATAATGAAATTATTATTATTATTATTATTATTATTTTTAGGATCATCATGGGACTGAAAGTAGAGTCCAACATTTGACCATTGAAGATGCTGATATCTTGGTTAACACTACATTTTGATTTTGTTTCCAGGGATAAGGAAAAGTCCCTTTTTTCCTACAAGAAAATGTAACTTGTATTTGACCTCACCTATTACAGGATTTTAAGCTATTATGACAGCCACACTCATGCCGTTTGGTGCTAAGAAGCTCTGCAAGCAGTAGCTGAGCATCATTGAACATCATGATTTATGATTTATTTTGGCTGTTTTAAATAATTCTTTCTCTATCACAAGGTTGGCTTAGATTTTACTCCAAGATTTATTCAGAAGGAAGAAGATAAGGAAATTCAAAGGGAGGTCTTCAGCAAGCAGGTGTGCAATTGCTTTTTAATAGGCTGTTTGTTGGCTGTAAATAATTTGTTAGGTTCTTTTACAACTCCTGACTATTATGTTTAGCTTCCATATTAATTTGACTATGAGTATCACATGCAAAATCTGTTCATTCATATTTTTTGTTTAATTTTGTTTTACTTAATTTTTCTAAGACAGTATTAAAATCTTTACCTAGTTATGTAGCATTATTTTAAATCAATATTGACATTAACATCTGTTATTTACAGATTAAACTGGCTCTGGAACTTGACCTTCCATTGTAAGTTTGCATCTAAAAGATATTATTCATTGTGTATAGAACTACCCAAACATGTATAATAATAATATATTTAAACATTTACATTAATGACTTCATGAGGTGCATGATTTGGTTTTCTGTGCTCCAATGATCTAAAGATTGTGTCATGATGTGGTAGTATTAATAAAATAATAGTTAATTAGTATGGTGGTGGCAGAGGGTGGGGAGGTGGTGTCCTGGCCCAACTCTTGTAAGAAAAATTAATAAGAACAGGGCTTCTTTTAGGAAAATTAAAGCCCTTTAATACTAGCTGGCTTTTTATTTTATAGTTGAGGTGCGGCAAGATGTTATAGTTTAAGTTTTATGCGGGATATTCTTTTTGTGTCATTCTACCTAAATTCCAGGGTTTTGAATTTGATAATTTTGATTTCGGATCAGTTGTTCCAACACATCATCCTATAACATGATTTTGACCTGTTTTATAATTGCTGCTCAACACTTTAATTACTTCTTGTAATTGGTTTACTGATGTCGATACTGGTAGAAATGTCCACTCCAGATCAGCAGGAAGGCATGTCATTGAAATGCTGCAGCAACATGGTATGAACTGACATTTCCTTTCATTTTTCATTGAAGTGGAATTATAAAAAAACATTGAAGAAAAAAATTTTATGTTAAGTAAACTTAAATGATTGTCAAGGTTTCACATATCACTCAGATGCTTCGTTCTGTCGGAGTAGGTAAGAACTTCTCTGAGATTACCCAGGGGCACCCTACTTCAAAGCAGTTTAACCGGATTTTTGTATGTTTGATCTCAGTTCATTTACCTGCAAGACTGGTACCAATATCTAAAAGAACAACTTAATGATTGTAGTAACTGTTCATTAGTAGGATTTGACATTTTTTTTAGCTTGATACCCAGGGGAACTTAATAGCTCCCATTTGAAAAGGATGGACCTGCTTGTTAACTATCTGTCTGTCATCTGTCGTCCTGTGTGTCTGTCTGTCATCAGTCATCTGCTATCTCATCTATCCAATCTATATTTCTATCTGTCTGTCTGTATAATTATCTATCTTCCTTAAAAGGTAATGATAAGCAGCTCCATCATTTTTATTGAGGGAGTTTACCCTGCAGGCTTTAGAACTGGAGCCTCAAAAAAATTTAACCCCTAATTCATCCTTAAAGTGTCCATTTCAAGGTAATGAAATTTCCATGAAAATAAGTTCATGGGATTTTAATAACATTTTGAAAAACCCATTAATTCAATGGCAAGTTTTTTCATGGTGTGTCAATTCATGGTTTTTTAATGGCTTGCAAAATATATCACCCATGAAGATTCCAGGGATGTGAACATATTCATGGCCTATGAAAAAAAAAAAAACCACAACCTTTCATGGTATTTTAATGACTTGAGAAAGTAAACTCAGAGCACAGTGATCTCAATTAGTTACAAGAAACTTTAAACTGCATTTTATGGTTTTCTTATCCTGCTATTGTTCTTTATATCGCAATGTTTGAGTTTCAAACACTTTTGAAGAATTCTCTTCAAACAAAGAATGGTCGTCATTTTGAGGTTTTGATCAAAGTTTTAAGATTCAAAGCATGTAGAGAACAAGTTTCGGACTCAGTAAGTTCTTTGTGGTCTTCTACAAATTCTAGTTATATATTTTCTCAAAAATTCCCTTGCTTGCCTTTTTCTTGTTGAAGTCCAGTGGAATTTTGCTACTGCTGTAACATGATAATTTCTCCCATTTTTTTGCTACTGTAATTGAGTCTGAGTCAGTCCAGACTCGTTGTCATTAATTCCAAGACTCAATTATTTACTGGCTTAATTTATTTGGAATTAGTCCTAGGAATTCTTAGTTGCTGTATGAAGCCATTCCCAGAAATTCCAAGCTTTTATATTGTTCCTAATTTGAATGGCTTAATTTATCTGGAGTTGGTCCTAGGAATTCTTAGGTACTGTATGAAGCCATTCCCAGAAATTCCAAGCTTTTAAATTGTTCTTAATTTGAATGGCTTAATTTATCTGGAGTTGGTCCTTGGAATTCTTAGTTAATGTATGAAGCCATGCAGAAATTCCAAGCTTTTAAATTGTTCCTAATTTGAATGTTTTGAAATTACTGGGAATTCCCAAGTCCCCAGAACTTTTCCCTTAAAAAAACGAGGTTGTGTTAAACCATTCCCAGAAATTCCAAGTTTTTAATTTCTTCCTAATTTGCTGAGGATTTAACTTTATTTCTCCACTGATAATTCATGGGAATTTCATGGCCCATGAATATAAAATTTGGAATGTTTATGAATTTAATGGACCAAGAAACATACGAAATACATCTTTTTTGATGACCAAAAATTTTCATGGCCATGGAAAACGTTTTTCATGGGTTGTGTAAAAGACAGTTCTATAACTCATGGAAAATTTATGGCACTGAACCAAGGCTATGAAATTGACAATTGCAAAGTTCTTGACCCTGAAAAAAGATTCATGGGTTTTTCCTGAACATTTCATGGGATTTTCATTAAACTCATGTTGGTAGTAGGAGAAGTTGTCGAAAAATATTACTGCTCATTACGCATGCAGGAATGCCGATTTGAATTTCACACTAGTTATGGGAACGACTAACGGATTCATTTTTCAAATAACCAATCATTAATAGAATCTTGTGGGGTACGCCTGACCTGCCTTGACTGCAACCGACCTGATTTAAATAGTGTTGCCTAGCAGATTTATTGAAATTCGTATAATTCATCCAGCATTTTATCACTTCATAATTCTTTTATTTTGCACCCACTTTAATAGGAGCCAAGAATGTTCTGTTGCATGCGTTTGATGGAAAGCCCTCTAATGCTCTCAAGGGAGTTGAAGCAGGATATTATTTCTCTATCCCACCTTCTATAGTCCGATCACCTCAGGTAAGATTTTTTATTCATGTTGATGTATTCTTTTGTGTGCATCTATATGATACCTGGATCTGTGAAAACGTTTCTCTAAAGTATACGTTATAAAAACTAAGAATACAAGCTCCATTTTTTTCTTGTCCTTCACCTCTCTTTCTGTCTTTTTTCCCTCTCCTTTTCCTTCTTTGGTTTGATTTTCTGGCTCGTCAAACCTCCAAAACCCGTGTTTAGTTCTATTCTAGTTTTATTTTAGCCTTATTCTGGTCAGTTTTTTTCCAGTGTTTTCAAATTTCTAGCTAGTAGATATACAATCCATACATAGAAACCCTTTAGCCTGGGTCCCCATATGATAGGAGCAGGACCCTCTTTTTGTCACTTTTAATTTAGAAGAGTGTGAATTGTAGACGTTGGTTTCCAGGTTGGAACATCATTATTGTTACCCATGCAGGTATTGGTTGGGGCTATGCAAAATGCAATTGGTTGTCTGAAACACACATAACATTGATGACAACATTATCTTACAATAAAAATCTTTCATGCTCTTTTAATGGCTCTCTGTATTAGAAATTGAAACCTTGTGGAGTCTTATTAATATTTAGCCACAGCCAGATTGGAGTCTTTTAGAGGTTAAGTTCCTATTTTCCAATGAGCCCCACTCCCCCACTGTCACACAGGACCCTGCCCCTTGCCTCCTGGTCCATATACCTGCTACGGTATGCCGTATCCTTAGTAATGATGTTTTTACGTTTTGTTTTAGAAAGAGAAACTTGTGAAAAACGTCCCTCTCTCAAATCTTCTTCTGGAAACAGATTCACCCGCTTTAGCTGCTGAGAAACAGGTTATAACTGGCTGAAGAATTAATAACTGCAATCATACAAATCTCCTGGAGGTACTCCTGAGAATTCTTGGTGGGGGTGCACTGCCCGGTTCTCTAAATTCTGACTCTATTTCAGACCAAAAATGTCATTTTTTAGACCCATTTTCAGACCTGGCCTCTAAGAAATTATGTCATCATTACTTAGATTAGAAAAGCGACAAAAAGAGATTTCTTAAAATCCATTTCAAATTCGCGTATTTCTCTTTCTTTCTTTCTCATTTCGTTCATACGCTCCCGTAGTTCCCTCAAAAACCATGCCCGATTCCAGACCAAAATGGGCAAAGTGTATACCTGTTTTCGAACCAAAACGGCCCCAAAACCACAGCCTTTTGGGCGGTACGTACCTATATCGCTTATGTAAGGGAGTACCAACCCCCGCGACAAATCTTAGCATGTTCCGCGTTGATAGGAGATTGGAGTGTCTTGTATTAGATGAGATCCGATCCTTCAGGTCTGGCGGAAGTATATAATAATAATCTCGCCATTTCTTATGGATTTTGAACTACAGAATGCGACGATAGTTCTAAGTAAATATTTTGGAAGCTATATAGAACACGTTTGCCTTTAGTGATCGTTTATTCCGTCGGCTCCACCTTTCCTTGTAACCATAATCGTTTTTATTTCCTTTTCTTTATAGACAAGAAATGAACCCAAGAATATCCACATCTCCTGTGAAGCAATTGCTAGAATCAAAGGAACGTCAGTACAGACAGTTTATGACGAGACTACAAAAAATGCATTGAAGCTTTTCCCAAAACTTCACAGATTTCTTAGAAAGTGATTTCAATTTTGTACACCAAGATTTATCTTATTTATGAATACACCGGAACCCGCTATACGGCCATAACTGTAAAGACCACAGCACTTTTTCTGGTTTGATCAAAGCTCGAAAACCATACATTTCGATGCGTTTAGGCCTTACGTCCACACTGATACGCTGAGCGTTTTCATCAAAAACGCATCGATTTGAAAACGCTCTTGAAAGTGGATCAAAACGAAAACGCATTCGTATCGTATTAGTGGACGGTCGAAAAAGCATCAAAATGAAAACGATGACCGACAATATCGCAGGCGCGTGTATTTGTAGCATGTCCGTGGCACACAACGTGCGTCACAACGTGCAATTCTATGGTTTTCGAACGTTTTAGTGTGGACAGTCAAAAACGCATCTAAACGGTAGTGTAGACGCGATCGATCGATGCGTTTTCGATGACAACGAAAACGCATACGGCTATTAAGCTTTCCCGCCAATGCGCGCGTACTACTCAGTATTGAGAAAATCTCGTCCTCGTCTAGCCTGTGAACAGGCTCTCTGTCTGGGGAAAAAAATAGCAAGGAAAGGGAAGGGAAGGGGGGAGAGAGCCTGTAGACACACGTTTGAGGCCGCTATTCCGCCCTCTTGTAATTATCTTGCCGAACATCTGTCAGCAAGATCGTTATCTGTCAATCAATTTCGCGCGTGAGTAACTCCTGGGAAAATTAAAGGGAAAACATCCGTGTTTTGCTTCGTCTCAAAACAAAGTGAAATGGACCGCGAGCCTAATTGTCGATTTTGAAAAAAATCGTTGATCTCCGGTAAGAGAATTAATACGGTGCCGGTCGTTGGCGTTTCAAGAAATAAGACCTTGCTGGTTGACAGTGGCCAAGACAGCGTTGTACTAGCGCAAGCATTTGATTGCTCAAGATTTCCTCTTGTGCAAGGAGAAAGCTTTTCCGATTTAAGCTGCTTAACTTGTGCTCATCGCGCCGTTCGTCTTGCTAGTTCAGTTTCTAATTTAACAAGCCCCTGCAATGAGCAAACTTGGAATGTGAAAGGTACAGATACTATCATGACTTCTCCAGAACGTGAACCTCCAAAGACAAGTACAAAGAAATCAACAGCGCTTCGATCGCCGACAGGAATTACACCTTTGGGTATTTATCCCGCATTTACAGCAATAAAAGAGGGCGGTAGGCCGACACGGCGTTTACCTCACGCCAAAATGCTGCCTGTTCCTGTAAGTTTTTTCCTCTGCTCGGTAGATTATGCTCTGGAAGGTTCTACATTTTCACTGAGCAAATATGGTTTTAGCCGCTGGTTTCACACTGAGAGGTCATGGCATACATATCGATTTACTGTGGTTTTTGTCTCTGGTTGGCAGGATTTGCCCTCTCTGATGCAAGAGCATTTTCTTTGACCTCTTGAAGCGTAAAGCTTTTTATTGCGGCTGAATAAGGGTCGTACTTTTCTCCAAAGTGCCCTCTGGATCTGAATAACTAAGCGATTTTCTTTAGTCCGTAAATGTAATGTTTTTCTGAAATGTTGTATCACGCTGGGCCCAGGTCGTTAGTTTCTGTTAGTTTTCTTGGCAGAATGTTTAAAATGATCACGGATAGTAATTTACAGATCCAAAGTTATAAGATTCAAGTGCAGCTTAAACCGAAGCTACATCAACTATGGAGAATTGCATTTTGACTCGGTAAACTCCAGCCTAATGTTTTTCTATCCATTAGATAGTGTGAGTAGTTCCTCCCTTGGTAATAGCTTTTGAACAAGCTTAACAGTCTTTGGAGTGTTTTGTTATTTCCAAACGCGTGTTACGTGCCGACCGAAAAGCCTATGTCAATCAGACCTTTCAACAGTCAGTGTTCTCGCCAATAAGAACTTGCATCAGGATCTGATGCACAGCGGGTGCCGTGGAACGGCGGTCCCAAAGGCTTGTCCACAGGCCTTTTCGCTTTTCCCTCTCCCTAATTCCCCGCTCGACCAAAGGCCTGTTCACAGGCTAGTCCTCGTCGATCATCCTTGTCTTAGAATCTAAAAGTCTCTATTACGGCCTACTACCAGCTGTTGGAACCCCCAATTGCTTCCTTATGTAGATATTAATGCACCTTTCTATTGTTTTGAATAGCGCCGAAATCCTTGTTCTGCACCCGCACCTGTGTACCAGGATTTGAGTACGCGCCTTGATTGGCCGTTAAGTGTAGATTTGCCAATCAAGATGAAAGGACAATTAAAACCCTCTTTCGGTACCTCGTTGAGTCTGTTGGTTCCCAGAACACGAATCTCGGCGCTGCTTCGCAGGCGTTACTAACCGACGTTAAATTAAGTCTGCGAAGCAGGCTACTTTGCTCCTCTGCCTCGCTCTACGCGCTTGGTCATTATTTTCAAGTAGGCCTCGCAGGTCGTGCTCAGGCATTATTCTATATATACAATCAGACGGATGCATTTTATGACCCACTGTCAGTGAGAAAAACTTTAACTTTACCGTAACTTTAATAAATTTTCAGTTATAAAGATACAAGGAAATAATTGTGTTTAAGAAAACTGGGGAAAACCTCAAACAGAATTTAGCAATCCCTTACTAGGAGGTCACCATAAGTAAAGGAAACCTCTCACAGTTTTCAATGAAATAATTAAGAGACTGTTTTTACAAATGTATAATTGAATAACAGAAAAATATTAATAAAAAATAAAATAATTACTTAAATAAAGTTCTCCTGACTGTACAAACAAGATTTAAGCGCTGATTTGAATTTACCTGAAGAATCAATCAATCGCAAGTTCAGAGGCAGGCTGTTCCATTCCTTCACAATCAATATGAAAAACTGTGAATGACCAATAGTGTTTGTTGAAAGTTGTTGTAGTGATTGCAGCTCAACATCGCCGCAAATGGCTATTGTTCTCGCGACATTTACGTACAGTCAGCGAAAGTTGCTAGGATCGGGTACTGGGTCGCCGTTTGTCGTTAGTCGAACCCATTCAGGCCCTCTAAAATAGTTTGGTCCGGGAGTTACAGTGCGTATCTCGAACTCGGTTATGAGAAATTTATATTTTCAAGTGTTTGATATAGTTATAATATATAATCATGTTCCGATACTTTTTTGCCAGCGATAAATTATTTGTCACATACGAATCAAATTAAATTTTGTTGAGACTTAAGAATAAAGTTCAGCGAATAGAGAAAACAACGTTTCCATGTCGCCTGGACATCATTAATTATCAAGTGACAAGACAAAAAACAAGGCAAGACTTAAAATTTAAGGTTTGAAGTGTCAACTGATAAACTAGAGAAAAAAAAAACAACATGTTTGCACGTGTACGAAAAAAAGAAAATATGTTAAATAGACAGTTTTTCCCGGATGGGATAATTTGATTGTGTGTTTAATGCCCAATTCACACTGAGGCTTGAACATATTAAAAAGTTGTTTAGATAAAAACAAGGTTAATATTCTTATTTTCTTCATAGAAGAACCCAATCATTTTTTTCAAAGACAAATATGGCGCAAATGGAAAAATAAGTCAAAATTTACTTGAAATCTCGTAAAAATCCAGTCCTTTATTGTTCTTTCACTGATTATCAGTTTGTTCAACTTGGTTTAATTAAACTTGTTTTATTGGCGTGAGTGAGGCTCAAACTTGGTTTCTTCTCCTTTCTTAAAAGCATTTCTATCGTAAATCAGACAGTCTGATTTTCCACTGCACTTCTTGAGTACGGAGAAGTTGCTGGTGAGGTTGCTAAAAACCATAGGCAACCTTGGGGGAGCACCCTGGGGACTAAGGGTGGACCCCTCCTTGGATTGGTGACCGGTCTCTTAACGAGATGGTTTAAACCTGAGAAGAACCAAACGAGGATTAAAACGAGCCTTTTTGATTATTTATTTTGAAACCATCCTCAGCGTTTTAAAATTTAAGCGTTCCACGCAGACGTCGTCAGCGGGATTCTCCACGAGTTCTTTCTCATATTAAAAAGCTGAGAAAGAGAGATTGTGTGATTGGCCAAATAAATGTCTATGGGAGGCTAGGTCTGTTTTTATTATAGTTCTCAATCAGTCTTATCTCGTTTTTACCTTGAGGGGGGCGTTTTTACAGTCCGTAATGTTTTATTTCTATTCCGTGTTTTTGACCGAGTCCGTAGTTTTTAGCTCGTGTTTTGTACCCACACAGTCCTATTCGTCCACAGTCCACAGTCCGCAGTCCGCAGTCCGCAGTCTGCAGCTTATGTTTTCTTGCTAGGACGTAAGTCTCCCTAGTCCACCCGCAACAACTACTCGGAAAGGGCCTGTGAAGGAGTCTACATTATGGAACGCCTTGCAGAAATAGTTATTTTCCCGGTCCAGTGTTACAGAAACACGTGTTTAGCGCAAAAATGGCAATCGAAATTGTTCGTTTCACTCTGACAGGTACTAGTAATTCTGATTGAACTTAAAAACAAGAGGTTTTTGGTAAATTAGAGCCTATGAGATGTTCGGAATGGCTAGAGATCTGAGCCGCAAGAAGAAGGACAGGCGAGTGAGTGCCAACAGACTTCCAAAGGGAGCCTACCATTTGGACAAAAGGCTTGTTCCACGGATTAAAGAGGTGGGTAGGTAGGCAGGTAAACGTGATTTAAACATGGTGTCATTAATTCACACAAGTGCTCCTCCATCGGGTAGTGTTTTTATACAACAGATGACGTACTAAGTAACTTAAATTACTTGTCTAAAAAATTCTAAATTGTTATTATCAAAGCATAAGGGCATAATAGTTTTTCGATATTTTGATGTTTATGTGTTGAACTCAGTAAAGATGCCCAGATATTTAATGCAGTTCAGTTCCTCAATGGTGTGTAAATCAAGTTTAAGTTTATTTGCCTTGGGGGTGAGGAACGTATTCCTGGTATATTCTATCAAACAAAACCAAACAAAAAATTAAACCCAATCGTTCAATTGTTGTTTGATTGGTTGGGTAATCGCACATAAACAGACTGAAACTTCTTGGGCAGTTTGATTAGTTCCATTTCTTAACTCAATTGAACCAATCAAACAAAGTCAACGCGATTACTTCAATTTTGTCCGGCAGAAAGACAAAATATTCACAGCCATCGTCAGTTACCTAGAGCTGGGTCCCTATCACCCCTTTTCACCGACACCATTAAATAAAGAAAATTATTAAAAAGAATTATTATTATTATTGACTCCTTACTTATTTACACGATTGTTTCAACAGTACTTAAACCAGTTTAGAAGAGGCCATCAGCCAGATATTGAAGAACTCGTAAGCCACTTGCAGACGAGATACAGGTGAGTTGACTCTGTTTGAGTTATATTACCAGTATGTGGAACTTCATACATTCTTATTTTTGTGTGTCTGGATGTCAATAAAACTGGTAAAATTTACCCTTTTCTCCTGTGCAGGGTGGCAAGAGATGTCTAGATTTGTGAGATAAGATGCATTCTCTTCCCATCCGGAGAGTGTTATTAGTTATGTAACAGAACAGTGGCAAATCTAGGGGAGGGACCCTTCAGAGTTATCACTGAGGAAAATTTTGAAGGTCAAGAGTCATTGTTGAGACAAGTTGACGTGAGTGCTGATGGTACAGGCTTGTGGGAACTTTTTTTCACATCAAGAAAAATTTAACAGCACCACTGGGGACCTTTTCATTCAGAATTTACTGTTGACAAGAAATTAAGTGTCTGTCTCCAAGCTCTAGCTGTATTTCATGCAGGCTTTTAGCCAGACATTGAAAACTGGCCATCCAGAAGGCATGCATGTTTTCCCATAAAATTGTAAGAGATTAAGTGAATTTTCCTTGTATTTCTTCCAAAAATGGGATTCCAAAGGACACTGGACACCCCTCCCCCTCTAGCTTAAACCTTTAACTCCTGTCTTAGTATTGCTAAAAAATAATTTAATTTAATTTTTTTCTCAAAGTGAGTATTCCAGGAGAAAGAGAAAAGCATTTAAGTCATCTGTGGAGAAAGGTAAATAAAATTTGAACAAGAAATTGAACAAGCAAAAAAAAACAGACTGAAGTAACTAAAAAAAACATACATTTTATGGTTTTGCCTCATTTAATGTTATCTATTTACCTGAGTTATTGACTTAAATACTTAAATTATTACTCCTGCACTCTCAAGTTGATTCACAAGTTTATTGTATCGACTTATTGGCACAATAGAAGTGAAAATTATTATTTATTACCATTATTTAAATTATTTATTTATTTCTTATTTCAAGTCTAAATGATTTCATTTTCAAAAAGTATATTTGTTTTCAAGGTCTGATTCTCTAACTTTATTCTCTTCACTGTAACTTTTATAATAATTATTAATTTATTACTGTTTTATTTCTGTCAGTTGTGGATGCAATTTGTAAGGAGGAAGAGGAAGAAAAACACTTGCAGGAACTGGAGGAAAGATTTCTTCAAAAAAGAAAATCTTCACCTGCGTTCAGGTACAAAAATAATTGACTGTGCTAATAATAATTATATTATTATTGTCCTGAACAGGGAGGGGAATTGACCAGGGTATGAATTCAGTTTTTGGGTCTTAAACAGGGTATACAACTACAGGGTTGTCATTAAGAGCCGGGGGCCGGGGATTTTTCCCGGCTACTAAGAGAGTGGCCCCTGGCTACTTTTATTGGAAAATAGAAGAAAAATAGAACTAAAAGAAATCCCTAGCCGTTTGATTCCCCGCCTACTTGTTGTGTTTACCCGGCAACTTGAAATCTTAGTGACAACCCTGCAACTATTATTCACTATTTAGCATCTTAAATGGGGTCTGTACTGCACTTATTATAACTAATCCATTTGACAAGGTTTTCGGTGCGTGCGTGAGTGTGTTTATAAAATAAATGAAATGGTCAGTGACTTTAAGGAAATAAGTTTTTTTTTTCAAAATAATTTTATAATTTCACTGGTTATTCCAAAGTGCAAAATATTCCTTGTGTAAAGCAGGTGTGATGGATTGGTTATCTTGGCTTTTAAATGGGGTTAAGGCATCTTATCTTAAGACAAGGTAGCCAACTGGAGAGATTCTGTCGTAAACAGGATCAAGGTTTGTAGGCCTTACCTGAACCAACCTATTGTAGCTGCTATTTAAGCTTTTATTACAGCGTTTATTTATTTTAAACAATATTTAGTCAGGGGTACCCAGTTCAGTGAGGCTGGTTTGAATTGGGCCCTGATGCAAAAGAAAAAACAACACTCAAGACAAATATAGATAAAACAGAATGGTGCAACTAAGTACAACAAAAAGTAGCAGAGGCTCAATTTGGCTTGGATCTAAAGTGCCTTTTTAGGCCAAATGCAAACTTATTAATATTATGCTCACTCCTCAGGTCCCAGAGGAAGCGTGTTCCAGATCTTGGCTCCACTGGACCTGAAGGAGCCCCGTTACTTAGTTGATATTTTGATATTTTGTGACAAATTCTTTTCCAGAGATCTTAAAGGAAGTGATAATGAAAATAACTCTGATGTTGACAAGGGAAGCAACAGCAAAAGTTTGGAGATATCGAGTGATAGCGAGCTGTCTCTCGAAGATGAACCATTGATGGAGGTGCAGGTGAGTAAGGCTAGCTAAATATTTTAATACGCCCCTTTTTATGGAGACTTACAGTGTGACTATTATAACTGGGGCCACCTAGATAAAGTTGACCAATCAGATTACAGGAAAATAACAATACATTCCGAGAAAGTTAGTTGTCAATCATAAATTACCATGAAACGAAAAAAACAACATGGATTGAAATCAACCAATCACAACCTACAGACATGACCTTTTGAACCTGCTGAAGAAAGCCAGTGTTTCCTGAGAGGTCCCTTAAAGGAGGGTGAGTGTCGCATGTTACCTCAAAGCACGGCAATGCAATGGTAGCAAAGAAATTGCTGGTAGATGACAAAATACCAGCATGTGTCAAAGAAATAATGTCTCCTGGGTGTTATATGTAAAGTTTCGAATACATAAACATTGTCTTCTTGAAAAAAGTTTGTTATCATTATTTATACATTTTGTACTTTGAGTAACTTTTTGTTTTTTTATGAGCTGCTGATTGGCCCACAACCAACTTTCTGATTATTGGAATGTTTTGTTATTTTCCTGTAATCTGATTGGTCAACTTTGTCTAAGTGGCCCTGGCTACAGTAATCGCACTGTAAGTGGTCCTGCATAGAAGGGTCACTCCTCTACTGTACCTGAGCTACCCTGGGCAAACCAACTTTTCACACATTTCCTTACAAAACATAGAAAGCCGGTTACATATGAGGGTGACTGGCACCCTTTTTCCATTGTAGGGTTATCTTCTTAGCTGGGTCAATTTTTTAACCTTGACACAAACTTTGAACTAGTCCTCAAGAAATGCTGTGGGAAACATGCTTATATTTGAAATTTTAATTATCAGAGATAATAATTTAATAGACTGACACTCAACTCTCAAGAAATCTCCATCTGAGCAAACCTTAACCACAAATCATGTGCATTTCTTAGCTTTTGATTATGATGACATGCAGTCATCGAAACGTCAAGTTTCTTTTTATCATTACTTTTTGTTGTAAAATGTATAACATTCTTTAGTAATTGCATTGTGCAGGTAATTCTTTTTTTTCTTTTGTTGTCTTTTTGTTGCTAAGTTAAAGAAAGGGTGACTGTATGTATAAGATCTGGGGCCTGTTTCCCGAAAAGCTATTTTATGTTTGCTGACTGTTTTGTCAAAGTTTCAATAATTTTGAAAATGATACAAAAATGAAAGTATCAGTTAATGAAGCAAAATCAACCATGTTGTGAGCTAGGAACTGTGCTACTATACTGTTCAACAGGTTTAGATTACAAATTTGCCGTTGAACCTAAAGAGTTATTGGGCCTTTTGAGAAATGGGCCCGGGGTGTGTTTCTTGAGTGATTTGTTGAAGATTAATCCTTAATAATCATTGCAACTTTGTTATGTAGGACACTAATCTGATGAATCAATCAATGCAAACCCTTTACAAGGCTACAAATTCATGTCCAACGTCTGAAGATGAAAGAGCTTTGGACTTGGTTAAAGATCCTACTACACCACAACATGATAAAAAAGGTAACAAATAATGGATATACCATGGCAGTGCAGAAACATAAAATTTCTCTTTGACTGTTTAAAAATATTTCATGAGTGAGCACAGCACCCACATGAAATATTTTTCAACACAAGAAGGGAAATTTTATATCTCGATCCAGAAAGGTCTTCTTTATTGTATAAACACCAATGAAATACCAAACCATTTTTCTATGGTGAAAGGTACAATTTATCATGTTGCCAATAGCAACTGTGATCTATTCATGTGTGAAGTTAACATGTTATTTTCACATGTGCTGAGATATCGTTCATTTGATATAATTATATGGTTATATAATTGATGCACTTTTTGTGTTTTAGGCTGGTTATAACTCCCACTGGTTAACTTAAAAAAAATACAGGGAATTGCTTTTATAAAATAACTTGAAAGAACAAAGTATCTCTTTTTCTATAAAAGTCCACAAAATGAGGCCTTTTTATGTGTTAATGTGAAGGATGTAGATATGCAAATGGTATATGCTTATTTTCTAGGTGATCTGAAACTCTGTGTTAATTTTGTTTTCAACTTTAAAGTTCTCCATAATTTTCCTTCACAGGTGTGATTTCACAAGGTGATGGCTTAGTGCTTGTGAAACAAAGCCAACCAGTCAACTTAAGTCAAAATCTGGAGATCACATCAAATTTGCATACCCCACATGGACCTCAACTAACTCCACAGGAGAGTATGCCACTTACTGACACAAGCGTCAAAAGAAAAAGAGTTTTCAGTGAAGAAGGGAAAAGGACATCTTCATCTACGCCTAAGAGACCCAAAAAAGGTTTAGGCAAGAATATGAAGGAGAAACAGAGTGAAGAAACTGGTAAAAATTACAAAGTTTTCATTTCTTAAAACCTTGGCTAAGAATTTGCTTTTTAGGTTTAGAGTTTATTACCAGTTATCGTGGAGTTGGCTGCCCTGTGCACTGAATTTTGTTTCTTGTTAGAGAAAAAAACAGAGCTGTAGTCTGACCTTAAAATAATTAACTATGAATATTCATTCTTGAAATTTGTACCATCGTCATCCAAAGTGTGTCGTGGTTTTGTATTTGCTTGCAATATCTGGCTTTTCTTGCATAGACAAGTCTAAATTCAAAAGTCCCTTTACCAGCAGGGAAGTTTTCATCACCTCTCACAGTTGCATTCTCAGTCAATGAATTCACCTAGATGATTGGATGGTCATTGTTGTCATATAAATTCACTTTGGTCTCAAGACAAAAGGTGAGCGTATATGGCGGGAGGTTTATAGCCCTTATGTCTATTCAGGGTACAACTTATGCAGCCCATTGTTGTCATGTGACTAAATTAAGGTTGTGTGATGACACAACCTCCAATTTCCTTTTCTGGCTAAAGACTGTGAGACTTGAATCACCGCTGAAAGAAATCCAGCTTGCAAGATGTGGAATATACTAACTTTTTTATTGTTCATTTTTTATCATTACTTTTGGTAGATTTTGAGCCAGCACAGTCATCAGTCAAGTTTTCAGATATTGGAGGCTGTGAAGAGACTGTGGAACAAGTCTGCAAACTGCTGGTTCATATGAAGCACCCAGAGGTGTTCCGTACCCTTGGAGTGACCCCGCCTAGGGGCTTTCTCCTTCATGGCCCCCCTGGATGTGGCAAGACCCTTCTAGCTCATGCTATTGCTGGGGTAGGCAAAGTTACACTGCTGAAACAAATAATTCAAATGAAACTTAACAGGGTTAAAAACCCAGACTGGCCAGAGGCAAACCATCTGGCTATCTAAAAGCATGGCCAAGGATTTGAACTCGGGACTACCGTGAACAAATTCATCTTGTGGTCAGAGCGGGACTTGATCTCGGGGCCTCTGAATTGCAAGTCCGGCGCTCTAACCACTCAGCCACCCTGCCTCTTTAAATAAATAGTATCTAATAGGTAGAGCTTGCAAGTTGCCTGAGTTAGTGTGAGTCCTTCTGGGTCAACCCTGTTCGCTGTAAAACTCTAGCAGACAGACACTGCAAGTTTGTAGTCACCAGCTAGGGTCTGGTGGGTGTCCTCCTAATTCAGTTTTCACTGGACCTCTACCATTGAGTGAGCTGTGAATTGAACAACAGTGTCTCAATGTCTTTATGTTATCACTGTGAAATAAAAAGGGTTCTAGAATTACTAAACAACTTCCCAACATAAAAAGAAGTGATTGTATTTCATATTAAGATGCAAGTCTGAAACAATGTGGTACAAACTCAACAGATTGACTCTATCAAAATGAGATGAGATGGAGAGTCATATTTCTACTGATGTAAATCGTTTGTCTGTAGGAGTTAGAAATGCCATTCATCAAACTTGCTGCCACAGAGATTGTTTCAGGAGTATCTGGAGAATCAGAGGAGAAAGTCAGAGAGCTGTTTTCACGAGCTGAGGTAAGAAATCAGAGTTAAGGCTAAGATATTTGAGCCTGTGGCATTTGTAAAGCTCACACAACGTTTCCATGTTGTGCTGGGTACCGATAGATGCCAACAGTAATACTCATTCTTCTGTATCCAGTTACTGACAGTTTAATCTGCTGGTTTTGTGGAGAGTGAGATAAATATGCTTTGAGAAGCTTTGTGGAAGATATTGCAGTAGTTAGGCTCAGTTATTGGGAGATTTTAAGAATATTTCGATTTCTGCCTCTTGGTTAGTTTGGATAATTTTTTGGTACCCCTTAAAAAATACATTTTTGCTCAGAAAAACATTTTTTCAGCTAGAGATCTTCCATGGCAGGGCTTGTCGGTGGCAGAAATGTTATTAACACCATAAATAACCTTATAAACGCCTGCAGCGTCTTTCTAATTTTAGGGTCCAAGCGGGGGCGTTTAACGCATAGGAAGCGTTTAAAAGGCAGAGGCGTTTCTTCTCATAACTAAAGCAAGCTCAGCAAAACCAATATGCTTTCGGCGAAACTCGACAAAGTTTAAAATTAGCGCAATATCCACTCCATCAATTGTCCATCTAGGTCAAGGCCGTCTAGAGATCCTTATCGCTTTCTGAAATCCCAACATCGATATCAGAATCCTCGGTCAGGGTTATTGTGTTGCCATCGTTAGTCTATCCTTACTTTGAAATACGAAAAGCCTTGTCGATCAAGCAAGAAACTGAATGAATTAAATGATGTTTGCTCTTTTTTGCTGATTTCTAGTATTGTGGGGAAATTCTCTCCAGGAGGACGCCTATTGAGCAGGGGGCGTTTATTAGAGAGGGGCGTTTAATACAATTTTAACAGCGTATAGGGGGTTTTTATTAGATGACAAGCGTTTTTTTGGAAGTGGTCTCCTATTAGGTCATTTACTGTATTTGCAGTGGTCTCTTTTTTGAAAATGTCTTTTTTAGACCCATGCACCTTGTGTGTTGTTTCTTGATGAAATTGATTCCATCACACCTAAGAGGGAAACAGCATCTAAAGACATGGAACGCAGAATTGTCTCACAGCTCCTTTCCTGCATGGATGGTAAGTTTGCTTTAGGGTAGCGATTTAGCGACGCCATTACTGGTTTCCCTGCCAAATGAAGTCTGAGGAACGACTGCGCATGCACAACTTCTGTGCTGATGACGTGTCACTACCCAGATCTGGCTAATGCTGCTGATTGGTTGAAGCAAATTTGCCACTTGGCACGACCAATCAGAAGCACTCCTAGATCTGGGTAGTGACACGTCATAAGTGTGGAATTTCTGCGCATTTTCCTCCGACGTCATTTCAAGGGGAAACCAGTGGTAGTGTCGCGAAATATTGGTTGTTTTCTCAGGCTAGTCTTAGGGACGAATAAAATCTTTTGTCATCCACTGATATCCATAAAAGACCCTTCCCACAATCCACTCAGCTCAATAAGCGCACAAAGCGAAAGAGGTCAAGACTTGGGTGGACAGTTTCACCATACAAGTCATCGTGTTGAATTATGGTCGTTGCGCTGTAAAGTCGTTTCGCTGCATCATAAAGTCGATTCGCCACAATCAACTTTTTGTATTAAACAGTTTAAAACAATTTAGAATGAACTACAAGCAGGTAATAACGAGTTAAGTTGGCGAAAGGGCTTTAGAACTTTGCAGCGAATCGACATCATTATGCAGCGAAACGACTTGTAGCGAGACGACTTTGTAGCGAAACGACCATACTCCATTAGGTTTTGCCACGCCAGCCTTCGGGTTGGTGCTTTTTCGTGGCAATGCGGCAATGGTCTATAAGGTTCTTTTCTAATTTTCTTCTCAGACCTGAACAGTAACCCAGATGCGCATGTGCTGGTGATAGGAGCCACCAACCGGCCTGATTCACTTGATCCTGCTCTACGACGTGCTGGTCGCTTTGATCGGGAAATTGCAATGGGTATACCAGATGAGAAGGCTAGAGAAAGGTCAGAGAACTTGCGTGTTTCAGCCTGTGGCCTTCTGTACATTTTTCCCCATTTCTGGATTCACCTCGCTTTGTGAACACCGCACTTTTACTGGTAGTCCGCATTCTATCTTGTACTCCGCTAAAACGGACAGCAGCTAAATCCTCGGGAAATGTTGTAGAGGTTTCACTGAAAAGCCCGTTACCACTGACCCCCGCTGGTACAGAAGTAAGGACACTTCAGTCCCGACAGCTTGATTTTATTGTACTAGCTTTCGTGTAAATTGGGATCGAGAACATCTTTGAATTTCCTCCTTCTTGTTGGTTAGATATACGCTTCTTTTGCCACCTTTATATACATGTAAAAAAACCCTCTCTTCACCTCAAGGCCAGTTTGTAGACACGGCTCCTTGGATCGTCCAAAAAATGTATGTGTTTCCTCCCGTCATGCTCGCGTGCATGACAGCGTATATGAAGTATGGGGCTTGCATGAGATAATTCGAGCTAGCTTTTTCGCTCCTCACACAAGACAGCCCTGATTTGCGCTCTAAATTTTTCATGCGCGTCCTACACAGGCTACTCTAAAGTGATTGTATTACGGACTTTTACTGCTACGGCTGCTCACTCGCAGTTTCGCGCGGTTCCGAGGGTGTCCTCAGTCACTAGAGAGATTAAGATTCACGTTAACGCCAAACAGCAAACGTGAATTTGTACCACGTGACCAAGTTTTCCCCTTAATTGGCGTCTACTGTTTATTACTTCTACACAAAAATAAGTAGTTTCTCGCCAGTTTTATCCACAAGAATTGTTCTGGACAGTTTTTATCTACGTATTTTCTATTCTGAGGAATTCTCAACTTGAATCTGACGTTTGCCGTTTGTCGTAAACGTGACTCACTATTAATAACTGGAGTTTGACTGTTAGCTGAACAATGCGTGAATTGTTTTTGTTGTTTTGCTTTATGTGATTAACATCCCTCATATTGTTGAATCTAAATCGCTAACTGTTCTTCTGTAGAATTCTACGAGTCTTATCTGAAAAGCTGAAACTCGAACAAGACTTCAGTTTTGCTGTGTTAGCCCGCCTTACTCCCGGGTTTGTTGGAGCAGATCTCATGTCCCTCACAAGAGAGGCTGCGTTAATAGCTGTCAACAGGTATCAAATTGCTCTTCGCCATACAATGATGTAACATGAGGTGAAGTTTAACTAGTCCCCAGTGCTTTATCCGCCATTTTGAATGTAGAGAAACGAACATAAACCAAAAAGCACTGAGGACAAGGCTGAGAATCATGTCATTGAGGTCACTTAGTTTTTTTGAAGTTGTCCGCTGACTAGGTAGCAATTTCACTATTTACTACGAAGGTAACGGTTAAAAGTTCATTGTTTTAAGTAAATGGCAAAGTAAATTGTCAATATTTAATAGAAGCTTCGCTTTTACGCGTGGTGGCTAAATTTATAGATAAGTGGCGTTTTTAAAACCCGTGTGTATTAGTTTTTCTTTAAGGCGTACCCCGTGAAAGGTTCTAGTATTCTAGTTTGTTATAGTTTTCGCTTTTTACTAATTTAACCGGCATTGAAGTAGTTGAGTTGATCGTAGTTCGTTTGAAGCCGTCAAGTTATTTGATGAAGTTTGAGGCGACTCAGCTGTAGCGGTGCCTCATGCTTTGAGTAATGTTATAATTAATTGATTAATTAATTCAATTTGACGTAACATTTAAAATGACGTAGGATATTTCAAGGACTACAATTTCAGAGGGGCCAAGTAAAGTGCACAAGTGAACCGGAAGAGAAGCAAACAGTTCTCAGCCCTGATGTTGCAGAGGAAAACTTGAACAAAACAACGCAAATATTTAGTGGTAAGAGTTATATTTGTTAACGTACGGTTGTTAACTGAAGGCAGTAGGGCCCTCTGGGCCTTGAAAGGTAGCTGCCTCGTACCAAGCCGCTTCTTGGGATTTTCTGAGATAGTCGCGGCGCAAGGGGTCATGGTCTTGTGCCAAAAGCTTTCCCATGATCTTTGTGCCGCGACCACCTCAGAAAATCCCAAGAAGCGGCTGGTTACGAGGAAGGGAAGGTAGCTTAAAACGTTTGTCAGGATCTAAGAAAGTGAATCATGTTATTGTTTTTCCAGCGTGGGATCTTCATGTTCCTTTAATCTTAAATGCTTGATGATCTGTCTTCTTATCTAAAAGGGACTGTGCCACGGGATTGCGGTCAATTTTGTTTGGTCGCAGTGAAAGATAACATTCCAAACAAACTAGAAACGCTGTTAGACTAAATAATTTTTAAACATCCCAACTGACACTTTCAAATGATCTGTTTTTCGATTTTTCAATGTTGCCCATTTGTGCCTTCTCTTGTATTTGTACTGTTGAAACCTTTCTCCAATGTTTGAAGTGGTTGTTTATATGTTTAACTCAAATTTCACGTTACAGCAAAAATTCGTCACAGCTCCTTTAAGGGTGATTCCACTGTCGCGTAATTTACGTGCGCATGCTCGTACCAGTTACGCGCGTAAATGAAATAGAGGCAATGTATGAAAGGCGGCGCGTAAACGTACAAGTTGAGCGCGGTTCACCTTTTACAAGTACGCGTGAGCTTCCATACAATGCCTCTATTTTATTTACGCGCGAACGCTAGTGAAAATTACACGACAGTGGAAATCTACCTTAAGGGAAAAAAATAATACGAAAAAAGGTTTTGTAACACCTTTCTAGACTGAAACGATTTCAACAGTGGCAATACTGTTAAACGTTGCTGTGCCATAGCCTTCCATTTAAACTTTCAGTCACCGCGTTTCTACTCCCACACAATTACAGTAAATACGTTACTTGATTTTAATTGTTGCTCAGGTTTTCCGTCACTTTCTTACTGCAGTTACGGACTGGTTAAGGGAACAGTCACCGCTAACAGAAGAGGAGTTACAGAAGCTTTGTATTAACATGGATGATTTCAAAGTACGGTCTTATATTTTTATTGTTCTTCCTTTATTAGCTATTACATTGCTTGCTGTCATACACTTTCAGTCATTTTGTGAGCTTGATTTTTGATCAACCAACCGGCCGAAAAAAAGAAAATGGCAACAATACAATAGAAAAAAGCCGCTCCATCGGTTTTGCTTTTACAGTTTCCATTTGTTGTAGCCTACCCGTAGTGCTGACTTTTTAGGGGGTGGGAGTGGTGGTAAGCATGCGTTCACTGTTTAATATGTTTAGTCGCCATCTTTGATTTTGAAAGCAGAGGGCAAGGATTGCATGGTTGGTTTATGTGCGGCCTTCGGTGCGCGAGGTCCCGAGTTCGATCCTCCGTGAAATCACATCCTTGTTTCGACTTCTCTTCTTTCTGTGTAGCTTCAACTGCAATACTTCATATACCCTTAAAACGGAGCATTGACGGTTGGAGAGAGAGGGTTAAAATGAGCGCACTGTCGTCCTCAAGTTTATCAGTTGAATTACTATCATGAGTTATCGACGAAAAATGTTGTTGCTTTATCTTTTGACCTTCAGAGAGACTATAATACGAGCGCATTCTTGTGCCCTTTTGTCCCCAGAAAACATCTGTATCGCAGCCTACATTGTGTTAATCCGAGAGCAACCCTGTTGCTTTTTACGTTCGCGTTTGAATCATTGCATTTCTCTACTTTACAGGCGGCTCTATTGATTGTTCAACCATCAGCCAAAAGGGAGGGATTTGCTACTATCCCGGATGTAACTTGGGAGGATGTCGGCGCACTCAAAGACGTTAGAGAGGAGCTCACCATGGCGATATTGGTAATAAAATAATGTGGTGTTTTGAATTCTTCCTCCTTTAGACTCAGTGTAGATGAGTAGAAGATAATCAATCCTGTCTCCAACTATGTGGGGGGGGGGTCATCAAGACCTTGAGATAAGGGCGGGCGGTCTCCAAAAAAATTTTTTTCGGCCCTTTGGGCCTCATTTTGGTCGAAAAATAACGGGGGGCCCCTCCCGGCCCCTTCCCTGGATCCGCTACAGCACATCGGATAGGTGTTTATACCATACCCGATAGCTTTTCGTGTCGGCCCGAAAAGCTACTCGGTATAGAGTGAACATACTCTAAGATGTTATGACAACAACGGCGACGAAAAGTTCAAAAAGGCGAAAGGTTTGATTCGCAAAACAACAATTCAGCACGTGCAGCACTCTTTTTGGTGCGTTTCTTTGCCGTCACTGAACGACTACGACATGAGATTGGTCTCACAGGGATTGTAAACAAACGGCAATTACTTTTTCTTTCTCGTTCTGAACATGGATATGATTCCTAGGAATTAATCTTCAGGGGAGTTGCTTACGTTTGACAAAATAAGTGAGGTGGAATAATTGCGTTTAGTATCAAAGGATGCCAAGTCACTTTTAAAGTGACGTTTTCGCTCCCGTCACCGCACCGTCGAGTAATCTTAAAATCTCCATTAATTTTTTTCCAGCGGTCAAAATCCTCTCTCTGTCAACGTCCGCAGGCTACAGTCACCTCAACTCTTTCTATGGCCGATACCTTAGGACTAGCGATAAGTACTTTGGTAGAGAGGTGTCTCCTTTATCAAGATACTCAATGAAAAAGATTGAACAATAGCAGGGGCAACTGTAGGTGTTTTTTTGGGGAGTGTTCGAAATATAGTCTGTTTTTAGAAAGTTGACTTTATTTGCACGCCAAAGAAGGTGATTTCGATGGATTAATTAAATATTTAACAATTATTCTTTGAAATCGAGGTAAATATTCCTGAAGCCACTATTCACCGAGATTGAAAAGAATAATTGTTTTAGTATATACACACGAAGTGATCTCAACAAAATCAGAGAGGAAACCATTAAAACGTATGATTTGATTGACAGATCAGGTCAGCTAGACACGCGACAGTTTAAAAATAGATCTTTGTAGAATTTTCAAACATGGCAATTCACAAGCTTATCACTTCGCAAACAACAGCGTAATGACTTCAATGGAACCTCTAAAAGTTTGAATTGTTTCCTTACCTGAGAAGAAAAGAAGAGCTTTGTTGTTTTCTGTTGACTCGCCAAGTTTATAGCCGAATAGGTTTGTTGTGTCGTTCTTCGAATGAAGTGCTAACAAAAATGGCGATTCGGTTCCTCGAGGTAAGACGTCGTCTTCATGTAGCATTCTTTTTCCTGTTTACTTGAAACGTAGAATTTCTGCAAACATTTGCTTTCAAATTTGTTTGTCACAAATAAACTTCGTTGTTGGGCCAAATTTTTCTTGTTAGGAAACGCTGAGTTCACAAAACGGCCTCTTCTAGGCGAATAAACGAGAGTTGTAAGCAATGCATCGACCACAAAACTCAACAACAGTAAGTGGAAAAACGCCGTTTTGAATCCTTCGAAGTCTTTTCTTGGCTGAAAAAAAGTCAACCCTAGGATTTTGTCGACTTTTAAAAGATCTTTCTCTAAGAAAATGGGAAAAAAAACGAACTCACACATTATCCACTCGCCAGGAGGTGAATATTGTTGAACAGTCCGAGATAGCGAACCAATCAGATTGCTTAAATCACCAAGATCACTGAGTGTGTATATACTAAATAACAATTATTCACCGAAGTGGAGGTGGCTAGTGGCGAATATATCTACCGCCAGTAAATATCACACCACTAGCCACCGACACTGAGGTGAACAATTTTTTAGTATATACTAAAACAGTGAGATAATTTAGCAAAAAAATGATATTTTTAACTCATTTGCTGTTGCCAACGATTATAATTTAGGCGCGCAATGACCGAACGGCCGTCGCATTTTCTTGCCGACAAATAAAACTTTTCAAGGCATTTGTTTAGCTCTTGCGAGGAAATTTCTTCAAAAGGAGTTGTGAATTATTTTAGTATTTAAAACCATTCTTTAAAAATAAAACTTTTAAATTTAGTTTTAAGCTTATTTATGAACATGTCAGCTAAATAATGTAACAAAAAACTTAATTTGCCTTTGTAAACAAAAAACTTTTTCACCGGGTCAATCCATAAATTCAAGTCAAACAGACAAAGCCTTACCTGTCAAAACTTCCAAACCGAATTTCGTCAGCTTCTTCGTGTATATCAGGAACAGCTTGTTTGATTATTTGTGAAATTTCTTTGTTTGTTACGACAGCAAACCGGGAAACCATTTTGCTTTCGACGTTTGGCGTCGCTCGCTCGGAGGAACTAGAGGTGAATAGCACTGGATAATCGGAGGTTTAGTAGCCAATCAGAGCGCGCGAAAAACAGTATCCACAAAAAAAAAAATTGTAAATTGCTTTTTTACCCACGAAGCACTTAAGAGTTCATATGAACTGGTTTAAACGTGTCCGTGCGTTCCAGATCGAATTGGAATTTGGAAGTGTTAGTTTTTTAGGAGAGGGGAAAACCTTATTTTAGTATATACTATTTTGTATATACTAAATATACAGCTAACTCAAAAAAGGTTGCTTTTGTAATTGGGCATTGAGCAGTTGAGCATATTGAACAATACAATGATTTACATGAGGGACCACCAAACAATAGTTTCCCAATGCCCAAAGCCCTATTTCCAATTCCTATAGCAAGTTTTATTGAATCAGCTATATATATATGTTTTAATTTAGGCCCCAGTGAAATATCCTGAGGAGTTCCAAGCTTTGGGACTGACTCATCCTCCAGGCATTCTGTTGGCTGGACCGCCAGGATGTGGAAAAACTCTCCTTGCAAAGGTGAGAGAAACACTGTCAACGTTATGTATCGAACAGGTTTGTTCGCCGGCTGTAAAGCTGCGTGAAATCAGATTGTTCCCGATTATATTAACAGGACGATAATTTTTTTCCTCTCTTCAGGCAATAGCTAATGAGTCCGGCATAAACTTCATCTCTGTCAAAGGACCTGAGCTACTAAATATGGTATGTTGAACTTAGGTATCAAAAAGTTGTTGCAAAAAGTAGAACAAAATTCTACGTTCTACAACAACCTTTCTCAACCTACAACATCTGAGTTGTTTCAAGACAGGTTCGATTTGGATTCGTTAATGGAAAAACGTGCCACATCGCTCTTTTAAGTCTTAAGCAGCATTAGGGCCATTTATACGAGGAAAAATAAGACGCGTCTTACATAAGACGCGTCTTAAATAAGACGCGAAGCGTATAAACGGCACATTTCGTCTAAAATAAGACGCGGCTTAGCTAAACGCGTCTTATTAGATAAGACATGCTCGTATAAATGGTATAGTTCGCGTCTTATTTTTCCTCGTATAAATGGCCCTAATGTTTCAAAACAAGTCTCAAAAATAGGCGCCAAGCAAAACCATAAAACCCGAACTTTCAACAGTATCAGCATTTATTTATACACGATAAAATATGTAGCAGAGCTCATGTGATCGTGTTGAAACTAAAAATATTTTCAAAATCATTAACAAAAATCAGCACAACTATTTACAATAAACTATTTGCATAAAAAAGGCGACTTTTTAACGTCTTTTTAAAAGAGTCAATAGTTGATATCTCCCGTGTTCGACTATCTGGAAAGTTCCACGATGTTAGAGCTTTATAGCCGCTGGACTTAGGAAGTAGTTCTGTCTTGAGGATAGGTGCCTCAAACGTAAGCTTTCTTCGAGTGATAACTGTAGATCAGTCTTATTCAGTATGGGATCACTTTCTTTTACCCTTAAAACGGCTAAAAATCCCTTTTTCTTTCTTTGCTTCGTCTTTGTTTTTTTCTTTTCCTGTTCCTTCAGCTTCAGAACGTTCCTCGTGGCTCTCGTTACTAACCTTAAGTTGTAGCTGAAGGAGTCCTAACTCTTGGCACAAGTCTTCAACAGTAGCATCGTCTTTGATGATCTCTTTCACCAGAATTTCCCGCTTTAAAACGTTACTGCTTTCCTCTACATAGGTGCTGTCCAAATTCTCGAGATTGAGTAAGGTGGATGGCAACGTTATTGTATGGACGCATTTGCTTTCCTCGCCAAACCATTCACATTCGTTGATCCCATCTAGTAAACCCACCTCATGCATGCGTTGAAAGTCCGTACATAAGCCTGGCATGACGTCGGGTTTGCGCTTTTGAGGTATGGGCACTAGCATGACACCAACCCGTGCTGTTATGTTGTTCTCCTTCAAATGAGCTTTCAATAGCTCACGGTATATTAAACTCTGGTAAAGAGGTGTTTTGAAAAATGTAGCTTTATCCCACCATTTTTTTGGATCTTTTAAAGCGTCGTTTGAAGATGACTTCCAGTCAACGACAAGAACTTCGAGATCTGAATCTTTTTCTCTATATAAAGCTAGAGCGTCCATCTGTCCACTATAGAAATCTACCTTTGATTTTTTGGTAGAATAGCCACAGATACTTACTTCTGCCTTAAAAAAATTGCATCTAAATTTTTCTTCTATCTCGTTTAACAGCTGGCCTTCTGCACCGCTTCTGTCGCCGTTTTCGATGCGCTCTGCCAAATTTTGGTGAATAATTTGTCCTTTCTCTTGTGGTGATTTTCCTTTGAAGTTTTCTCCGAGCTCTGCTTTAAGTTTGAAGATTGTTGTCCGAAATGAATCCCTCACCACTTTTCCTTTTTCTTTTACGGTTTTTTCTCTGAACTACCCGCCACATGGGAAAAATAGATCAAAATTAGCAAGAGTGAATAATAACAAACATTAAAAGCCCGTTTACGCAAGCGATTTGTCGCTCGTTATATGCGTTTACTTGCTCGAAATTCCATGCGATTTATCGCAGTGATTTTCATCTGGAGAGTTACCAAAAACCTACCTTCACAAACAGTGTTCACATTAGATGCGCCTTTAATACAGGAACTTTTGCACAAAGATTGGCAATCCTCATAAAGAAAAAAATCGCCCACGTAAACGGCCATGAAAGTTGTCAAATCGTTATAAATCTTACATCGGGTGCTATCAAGCGCGCTGCTGTTGAAGGCTCTTTAAAGTTGCACTTTGTTAGCACTCTTGGTTTCAATTCGTTTTGATCCTCTTTCAGTCTGCCCAGAACTTCCAGAATTCGTGCTTCATCGTCGGGATAACCTCCAGCTGCCATTGTCGATTTAAGTTCCCTTCATTTTTTTAAATATTATTTTTTAGAAAATGGTCCTCAGTAACTTATAAATGTCGGGGTACCATTTTTAGAGAGATTTAAATTGAGATTTTTAGATCCAATGATCTCAATGTACCCTATCTTTTCATCTATTGGAATCGGAACTGCATTAAGCCGTCTGAAATGAATTTTTGTTTTCGAAAAAGCAAAATATTCGTGTCATAGTCTGATAAAATTGACTCACTTCCGTATAAGCAGGTTCGTGGTCTGTTTCAGTCAATTTTTTTTCATGTATTATTCAAAAGCGTTGTTTTTAAATATTGATGACCAGTCACGATCTTCAGCGGGTGCAGCTCACGGCATGACGACTAATTATGTTTTATCAAGCTCTGCTCTGTTATTAATATGCTAAAGTTTGAAGTAGGATGACAGTCGTCTTCGCTAAAAAACAAGTTTTCTGGATTTCGCCGAGCAAAACTTGAGGTGGCTCCGTCATTAATACAGGCGCATTTAGCTGTGACGAAGTTTTCGTCGTAACTTTTCGTTTTTAACGCGATGGCTGAGAAACTTTGCAAAGAACAACGTATATCATTGAGCAATAGTACAAAATATTCCAATTTCTTTGATGGTAAATATATTTTGATAAATTAGCGCTTCAAAGGACCCTACCGTTCAAAGAAAATCGCGTCTAGTAAAAAATGTTGCTGATATTTTTTACTAAAATTTCTGGTATCGGCTTCTATTTCTCATTTTATCTCAATACACCCCAACTTTTCTGTGGCTAATGAATAAGTTAAAATGGTTATGATTATTTGTTTTTGTATCCCTAATTTCCAGTGATGTCCTTTGGCGTTTCATAAAAAAGAAAAGAAAATCATCTCATATTTTTTTGTACAGTGCGTTCGAATATTGATAGCTGAAAAATACTGCTAAGATCAATTCATTTTAATTTAGTTGAATAACTCGTTTCCTTAGCAAAGTTCTGTTGTTCGGTTTTTTCCATTCATTTTTCCTGTATTATTTACAAGCGTCGCTTTCAAAAATTGATGAGTTCCATCGTATAATTTGCCCTTGCTCGAGGGCAAATGTGTTATTAACATGAAAGGAAGTTATGAAAAGTTCTTAAATTTAATATGTCAGTTGTTTGATTTCCACCAATGAAATGATTACACAACATTTTCTATTAAGCCGTAGGCGGGTGGTAGGAAAACTAAGAGCCCCTAAAGTTAGACCAAAGTTCACAACTCGGTTAGTTCGTAATTACGTAAAATTCCGAAAATAAGCCCCTTCATGTATACGCCCCCTAAACCTGTAACACAAAAAACCCTCCGTTAAATCGCCCCTACGAATATAAGCCCCCGCGGAGGCTTGTACTTGGAAATTGCCCTCATAAAAAAAGTGAAACAAAGCAGAAACGGTAAATTTCCTTCCTACCATAAACTAGCCCAATCGATTCTGAAACGCAAATTTCCCTCCGTACACAAGCCCCTCAAAAAGGGCCTTTAAAAAATATAAACCCCTGGGCTCATTTTCGGAATTTTCCGGTAACCTACTCACCAACCCGACTCTGTCTGGTGCTGCTCTTAGGGGTGTCTCAGAACTTGGTTAGCCCCCTTCAGCCAGGGTTTTTGACAGTTTTTTAAATTAGCGAATTTGTGCGGCTTCTTTTTTTTTTTTTTAGCCGTACGGCGGATTAGGAGAGGCGAGTGTGCTAGCCTCTGGGAGAGGGGTTGAGGAGCATTTTGCCCTGGAAAATGGCCTGTTTATCGTATCGATCGAGAACTCCACGCACTGTAAAGTTTAGAGCTTAAATTTGGACTTAAGTTCAAAGTTCTGACAAAATGCCTGTTAGAATCCTTTTTGATCTGCTTGCTCTTCCGTGTGTTTAGGTTGTCTAAAGCGTATTTTAATGCTCTGACATCTTTATAACATTTTTAACCTTCTCTGCCATGTTGGTACTGAGACATAGGGAACGTTGTCATGACAATTTTGTAATTTCACATGTGAAATTACAAATTAACGCTGACATATTTTGTCAGCCATGATATTATGATATTTGACTGTCCAGCGTTGCCGAGACCTGAAACAGTTCCTTGGGCAATTATACTATCTTAAACATCCCAATTTTATTTCAATGTGTCTTGATTCTCACTTGAAATAATGATTAAAGACCTTGTAATCTTTTTCTAACGTTGTCATCCTTTAGACGACAACGTCATGGGTTCCTTAAGGCAAGGAAAACAAAAAACGAGAACAAAGACAGGAACAAGAACGGAACAAAGAAACCTTTAAATAATATATGGCATAAACGTACGATTTAGGCCCCGTCGACTCGTATCCGGAGATTTTTGTATCCGCAAATTTTTTTATGCGGATACAAAAATATCTGCGTCCACACGTAGCGTATACGAATCGTATACGACCGTCCAAACGTATCCGATTCGTATCCGGACATCTCAAGGATTAGTCAAATCTCCCGCGGAAAAAGACTGGTTCTGATACTGTGACGTCAGCGTATACAAAAATATACGGATACGAGCGTCCACACGTATCCGGATACACAGCGTACACAGAAATTTCCACTCTGGAGAGCGTATACAGAAATCTCCGGATACACCGAGCGTATACGGCGGACACGTGTGGACGCTAGGTGTATCCGCATAAAAAAATTTGCGGATACAAAAATCTCCGGATACGTGTGGACGGGGCCTTATTTTTTCCGTGATGTTCAGTTTTGTTTGGTTTAATTTGGGGTCAACAAAAACTTACTGAAACCGATGCGAAAAAGATTGTGCGCATGAAAAATAACATAACTTAACTGCTTTCGGAGTGAAATTAATCAGGAGGAGTGTGGACATGACCTTGATCTTATGCGAGTTAAAATAGCTGCAGCAGTCTTTTTTTTTTTTACGATGTATACCCGCATGTCTTTTCTATTGCAAAGTGCATTTGATTTTACAATTTCTCTTTCCTCCTGTTATATTTGTCAGCTGTAACGATTGTTAGGAACCTCGGGACGTGGCTTGATACGAACCTCACCATGTCTGCACACATAAATGAAACGTGCCAAGCTGCTATTTATCATCTGTATAACATTAAACGCATTAGCAGGTATTTGAGTTATGATGACAGGAAGTCTATAGTTCAAGCAGTAAAAAATGTCACGTATAGTGACACATGTCACGTTCCATCCACCTAGCTAAGTAAATTACAGCGTTTACAAAATGCAGCGGCTCGCCTTGTTAGTAACGTCGCAAAGTATGATCACATTACTCCTACACTTGTTAATTTACATTGGCTTCCATTAACGTATAGGGTAAATTTTAAGATAGCAGTGCTTGCTCATAAGTGTATTTATGGCACCGCACCCGAATACCTTAAGGATCTAATAAAAGTTAAGAGTAACACCAGATATAATCTTAGATCGGACGGGGAGATGTTACTCGAGGATTATAGTGCACGATCAAAGAAGACACTTGGAGACAGGACTTTCACAGTAGCCGCCCCTAGAATCTGGAACATTTTACCGAAGGACATTAGGAAACAGGACAACTTATTATACTTTTAAGAAACAGCTAAAGACTTATTATTTTAAACTTGTATAAAATTTTTAATTATACATAGGTGTATAGTAATTTTACTCTCTTTTTTATCAATTTTAACGAAACATATAACATTTCTTTTAGTTATAATTATTGTAAGTAATAGGTTAAGTACGAAATAATTAAGTTAGGTGTCATTTGCGGATATATTCATGTTTAATTCGATAATTAATATATTTTTAGTTAGCTTTAATAGTTTGTAATGCGCATTTGATCATTTGATATATGTTAATTTGCGCAATACCAAATAATAAATATTATTTATTATTATTATTATTATTATTATTATTATTATTATTATTATTATTATTTTACATACCGGCATTTGTTAAGTTCACTGACGTAACTTGTCCATGTTGTGCTAGGTACCGATAGGTGCCAACAGTTACACCCTTTCCTCCTGTTATATTTGCCAGAACGTGACAACCTGTGGGGTAGTCATTCATTTATAACATTAGAGTCCAAGTTAGCCGCTTATCTTCAGTTGATGGTATTGCATTGTAGTTGTTGTCCTGATTTGTCAAATAAATTCGTAATCTGAGAACCTTTGAAGGTTTTCTCTGGTTTGTACCTTTCGTTTTCCTAAGCTCTATTTTGTTGGCTTCTTTGATTTCTATGTTTTACGTCATCCGTGAGTGATACAGTTTCTTTCACGGAGGATAAACTAGAATTTTTGCCCGCCCGATATACGCTTTCGGCCCAATGCTGTTTAAAAATTCGAAATTTACATGAATGTATGGGTCATAGCTCTTTTGCCTTCTAGCATCCCCTCAATAGGCCATTTCCAAGTTCCAAAAACTCTCGCTTTCAAGACGAGGCTAAGTGCAAACCTTTCTTGTGAAAATGAGTTTTATTTGTACGAGAATAAAAAATGATGTTCATATCAGTAGATTCGCACTTAGACTCGCTTTGAAACAGAGGTTAGGAACAACTCGAAATTGAGTTTTTTTTAACACGCATCTCCCAGCGACTGAAGAAATCTTTTTCTGTGTTATATCTCAGTATGTAGGTGAGAGTGAGCGAGCTGTCAGGCAGGTATTTCAGAGGGCAAGAAATTCTGCACCTTGTGTGATTTTCTTTGACGAACTGGACGCGCTTTGTCCCAGGAGATCGGACAGCTCTGGGGTAAACATTCCTAACTTTCTTTAATTTTGCCAGTAGCAAAAACTTAAGTATTATTTGAATACATTTAGTATACACTATTGATCGTGGCTCGTGGGCCGGGTAGAGAGTAGAGAGCTTTAGATTCGACGACGAGGACGAATACGAGTACGAGATTTTCTCAATACTAAGTAGCGCACGCGCGTGAACCAGCGTCATTTTGGCGGGAAAACGTGATAGCCGTCGTCATTCTACAACGGGTTTTAGCGAGAATGTCGTAGTGGCGGGAACAAGTTATCAAATGTAAGAGGTTTTATCATTTTGCCATCGAGAGAGAGAGAGCTTAAGAATAACTTCCTTCTGTATAAATAACCGTACTAACCTTTTTGGTGAAAAAAGTGAAATGAAGCTTTCCGTGCTGTCTTTTTTTAGAACACGCACTAAACTTTAAGTTAAATCTCGTACTCCTCGTCCTCAAATCTAAAGCTCTCTCATATTTCGACCAATTCTATGCGCTTATATTACCATAGCCTGCGTAGCAAGCTCGGAGCAATGAAAGAGAAACTAGAGTCAAAGACCGCGTGAAAAATGGGGCGAGTGAAAGAGCGGGGAGGGTGTTGAAGGGGAATTTTGAAGGGCTGGGGAGGGTGGGGAATATTTTGGCTCTCGTTCCATTTCTCGCGCGGCCAAAACAGAAACTCCCGTTCTTCGGTCTTTCTTTGCTCCGAAACCAAACGGAAACGCTTGCTACGCAGGCTTTTATCACCACTCCTCTGCATTCATCTGTACCCAGCTGCACCCCTGCATGGCGTTTGCTTAACGCTTTAAGCCCCAAATATCCACATGCTAATTCTCCAGACTGATCGCCATACATTTCCTCAAAGAATTAGCTGACAGAATTTGATAAAAGATCAAAGTACTTTCAATTTGATGATTATTTTAATAGTTCTCATAACCTTTTGTCTTAATTGTGCAGTCATATTGTTGGGAGGAAATTGATGTTGGTCTCTCTTGGGACTTGCAGGGTTGTGTTTGTCTTTTCATAATGAAGGAGAAGGTCATGGATAGCGTAGAATTTAGGAATTTTAACTGACTGTGGCAATTTTTTTTAAAACACTTTGGATTCCCCGTGTTTTTTTCGTGGGGTGGAAGGGCAAGGGAGGAAGTTTGGTTACTTTTTTGTCGTGGTTCCTTCTACAGTAGAACCTCGGCGAGGGAAGCGAGCCAATCGGTCCCCTCTCCCTAGTCTCCCCTTCCTAGTGTTGTTTCAGCCTGTTTTTTGCCTTTTTCCTCCAGTACGGAACTTGGTCTCAGGCTGTCGAATGCAGAGACAAACGGCTTACTCATCTCTATCCTATAAATCGTAGATCACAGTGGCAGATCACCCCCCCCCCCCTCCTTACTTTTAGACCAAACTGAGGTCCGTAAAAAATTGGCATTAGTCGCCTCTTTATAATTTACAGTTCTTTTTTAATTTCCAAACTAAGCAAATAGCCAGTAAAATCTCTTTCATAATTACCAATCTTATCCCGTAATGGTACATATAATAAAAGGCTAGATTGCTTAAAAATGTATCAGTTTGCAGCTTTTGTAAATTCTCTTGTTCTTCCGATCAAAAGTTGTCGTTCTTGTTTTTTCATTTCAAGTCCAGCGTAAATGTGCGAGTGGTGAATCAGCTATTGACTGAGATGGACGGACTAGAAGCCAGAAAACAAGTGTTCATAATGGGAGCTACCAATCGACCAGGTAGATAACCAAGCCTTTACTTTTCAGGACGAGACTGTAAGATAGAAACCTTTTCGAAGAAATAAAAAGGAAGGCATCTGTGCACTGATTTCCCTGTTTAACCCCTTCATTCCTTGTAGCGAACAAAGCCATTAAGAGAATTTGATGACTGATATTATAAGGGGCGGGTATTACTAAAACAGAGAACGGGATACAGGAAATTGAAAAATGGGAGCAAGACAGAGAATGGGTGATGATTTGCTGATTGAGCTTTGGTGTAAGTTTTTTTTTTTGCATTTTCATTTTCCCGTTCCCCGTGTTCGGTCCTTGGTTCCTGGTCCCCGTTCCTTGTGTCCCGTTCTCCGTTCTCCGTTCTCCGTTCGCCGTTGCCCGTTCTCTGTTCCCCGTTTTCCCGTTTCCCGTTCCTCGTTCTCCGCTTCCCGTTCTCCTCGTTCTTCGTTTTTCATTATTCTTTTCGTTTATAAGCTACTGAACAACGAAGCGATTGTTTGGAAGTACATCATTTCTTTCGAATGAAAAAACAAAAGTTAGAACTTCTCGATGTTTCCATGTTTTGACTGATGGTAGTGGAAGAGTTAAACAAATGATTCAGTCAGCTTATGGTTTCAAAGGCAAAATTTGTTTTTGTTTTTTCCCCTGTGTATGTTTTTAGCGTGTTATGTTCCTTGCACAGGAGAGAGCATTTACAGGTGTATTCAGCTAAGGGTGGAAAATTGTAAATGGTTCTAAAACGATAAGAAATTCAGAGGTTGCAGAAAGGCTTTTATACTCTTGACGCTTTTCGTTGTAGACATCATTGATCCCGCTGTTTTAAGACCTGGTCGCCTCGACAAAGTGCTATATGTTGGATTACCGAGCGTGGAGGACAGAGAAGACATTTTGAGAACGATAACAAAGGTGAGGTAATTAGCAGAAAATATTGTGGTATGACTTGAAACCTTCCTTTAGTAAAGAAGTTTTGAAACGAGAAATCTCATGATCCCAATGATTTCCGTAGTACTAAAGTGTCACGCGAAGAAGCAGCTTTTTTTCGGCCTATGAAAAATTTCGTTCGTTCGGTATGGGACTTGATGAGTCTAATCTCTCCCCCCTCGCCCCTCAACCCAAAAATCCTCCCTCCTCCTCCCCCCTCTGCTCCAGGACTGAAATTAGCAAAAATACGCTGAATTGGCAACAAAAAGCAAGAAATGAAACAATAACAACAACAACAACAACAAAAGCAACAAAAAGATCAAAAGCTAACGTGAAGAGGAAAAAGTATATATAAAAAAGCAAAACTGACAGGAAATAGACTTGAATGAAGTAGGGTGATAGGGCAGAAATGCCTCGTGACTAGAAAGTTTGAGAAGTAAAAGATCAAAGCTTGGGGCAAGGGAAATTCTCCTTCCTCCACCCCCCTTCCCCCGCCCCAACACACACTAAAAGAACCAATGTGAATACAGTTGAACTTTACAACCAGTGACGCACTGTTCAACTTGGGTGATCAGCAACTGTTTAATTGTTTATCCTGGCATACTGACTCTTGAATTGGCCATTCAAGATGTTCCACGTTGTTGAGCGATGATGTTCTATTCCGTTCAAAAAAGAAATGCTGCTTGTCGGTTGAACAACAACTTTGCCCGTTTTTTTTGTTGAGCAACAAATGCCAAGCGATGTTGAACCGTGGCTCATTGGCTCATTGGCTTAACACAAATGACAAAGACTTCTGTAAAAACTGATCAGTACCTTAACAAATGCGGTTTAAGGCCGGATAAACTCAGACTTTAATCTGCAAATCAAAGTAGTAAATTCTAATTTTTTGGTTACTTGACGACTTGATCTCTTTAGGACGGAAAGAAACCTCTCCTGTTGTCTGATGTTAACATCAAGGATATTGCAAATGATGAGGGATGTGATGGGTTATCGTGAGTGTCTCAGTATACATTTGTTATTTAATCATTCGGAAAGGCCCTCGTCAAAGTGACAACGCTCCAATTCGTTGGGTGAACCGAACTTTCTGACATTCAATCGTTCTTTATATTGTCTTACTTGTTTTAGACCGACAGGTGGGCTTTTTCAAGCTGACAGTATGTTTTCAGAGTGCTGATGTGCTTCCACTCACTCCCTTGAGAAAGCATTTTGAAGGCCGGAAAGAGTTTCGTTGTGACTGGCAATTATTGGACACTTCTCAGCATTTGATATGTTTCATGTAAAATGATTCAAGAGGTTGAAGCTTCAAGAAGAATTTTAGAAATTTAACACATCAGGTTCTACAAGGGTGGGAATAGGGTTGAACCGAGGCGATCGTAAATTCACCTGAGCACAAGATCAGAGGGGAGGGTCACCTGATTTTGAGACGGTCCGAGGTCGCTCGCACCTTGTCTTGGGCCTCGAAATTTTCGCCGCGCGGTCTGTGCATTTTGGATAGGTCATATGATGTTAGCGAGGTCTAGGTTTCGCCTCTAGAAATGAATTGACCCCGCGGGTCAAAGACCGCACAGGATAGAGGAAACCTTGCACCTAGAAGGGGTTTTGCTCATGTCAAGTTTGGAATCCTTTCCGCACACCCTCCACCCCCTCCCAACTCCCCCTTCCTATTTGTCAAGGATTTTCTTTTACTAGTTTTCTCTGCTTTTCTTTAAGCCAATCTGATCATGAGTAGTGTCTAAACGCCTGATCTTAGAACGCTGTCCCACTTTGGAATTTTCTTTAGTCTCAACCTTGTACAGCTTTAACAATCACTCATGTTTCCTTGCTTTGTTCAGGGGGGCCGACCTAGCTGCATTGGTGCGTGAAGCTAGCATGGCAGCCTTACGTGAGTGTATCAATGTGCGATCAACTAACCACGTGACGAGTGACGAAGATCACCCTTCAATTCAAAGTCCTGTGGGGGTGGGAATGAGGCATTTTTCTGCAGCTTTTCAGAAAGTAAAGCCGTCAGTTAGCAAAAAGGTGAGAACCCAGTAAAATGTTTTACAGTCAGCATTTGCCCTCGATGACGATTCTCTCTGGCGGGACCGGGCCGGGCCGGAAGGGGTTGTACTCCTGGAAATTTCGGGTGGCAGAGTGAGGCGTGGTTCTGAAATCCTGACCCTATTTGAGACCATAATATGCGATCCCCCCACCCTAATTTCAGACGTGCTTCTTTGCTCTCAAAAGGAAATTGATTTTTAAAAAGGACCAAATGATCCCGCTCTCCCCCTGGACAACGCTAGATGTCAGAGGTCAAATACTCAGTTTTAAAAAAGTTGAGAATTTCTGCCAGTATATTCCCTTACCCTTGTAGTCTCATCAAAAGGATTTCTAATTTTTGTTGCTACTATTATTCCTTCCACGCAGGATCAAGCATTGTATCGTAGCATGAGGGATCTGACGTCGATGACATGATAGGCTCATGCATTTGAAAATTCTCAGGGATTTTTAATACTTCTGAGCTAACCTTCATGCACCAGGACCTGATCAGAATTGACTTCGTGCCCAGTTGTAGCAAGGAATTTTTTTTGGAGAACTGTTAACGCTCCTTGGTCCTTCGAGCGATGCCCTGCCACTAGCCTGAGCAAACAGCCGACATTTGGCGACGCTACCACTGGTTCCCCGCTAATTGACGTGTGAGAAACGAGCGCAGAAATTCCATACTGATGACGCGTCACTACTCTGATCTGGGAAGCGTTTCTAATTGGTCTCGCCGCGTGGGAAATTTGATTCAACCAATCAGAAGCACTACCCAGATCTGGGTAGTGACGCGTCATCAGTATGGAATTTCTGCGCTCCTTTCTCAGACGTCATTTGGCGGGGAACCAGTGGTAGCGCCGCCAAATTTCGGCTCTTTTCTCAGGCTACCCTGCCACTAACCAGGATCTTAATGTGCATTAAGTGGATCAGCAATGCGGTGATCAGGGACGTATCATTTCATTGCTAGTCTTGACGTATTCACTTACTGAGAAGAAACAAACTTAATCATTCCAACCGGCTTATTGTCTTTTACTAGTCACAGTGAGTCACAGCTCAACTTTTAATAAAATTGCCTTCCCGAGAACCCGTTTCTTAAAATCAAAAGTCCTGGTAACGTTACGGGCCCGTAAAGCTTTTGTATGTCTTCCATGTTTAAATTTAAGATCCAAGTTTCTATAATTTTGAAAATGATACAATAAAACTGCCCGTTAACGAAGCAAAATGGACTGGATTGTTAGTTAGGAAATGTGCTACTTTTCGGGCCTGACTGAATTACCGGGCCTTTCGAGAAACGGGCCCCTGGTGTACCTGGTCAACTTAATTTCCTCACAGGAAGCCCAAGCGAAATATTAGAGATTGTATGGGAAATAAAGCTTACATCGAGTGATGGAACTAACACGGGTAAAAGTTGTCAACATTGTTACCTGCTGTTGTTGTCTTTCTATCTACGAGGTTTCAACGCGATTTGAGCAGTATAACATCATCTGACCTGACAGCGTAATATTGAAAGAAAATGTAGGACAGAATCGCCCGATCAGCCTTCAGACCTGCTTCAAAAACAGCTCCAAATTTCACGCGAAGAATGCACACACTTGCACTTTGTTGTTTGTACCGCCGAAACAAAGTGATGCCTCAAGATCACCTTCAATTTGTTCCGGTAAATCTTGCGTCTTGACCGCATAACTCGAATTAAAAGATCCAAAAAGAGTCGAAGAATCGACGCAATTTATCCGTTTTAGCGAAAGTAATCTATTCAACAACATTCATATTCATGCGCAGTTTTATTAAGAAGGTATGGGAAAATAACTGATCAGCGGACCAAGCCAAGCTGCCCCAGCTTGGCCTAGGGGAAGTAAGTAATACTACCCACCCTTACACCCAGAAAATCGCGTGGTCCGTTCACCCCTCCGTTGATCCGCTGAAAACTGAGCAAATGGAGACGTAAAATAGTGTCCCCAACTAGTACTTTCGTGCTTACTACCTTGACACTCAAATAAAGGGGTTTTTTTTTTCAATATTAAAGTGCGTGCGTGCACATTTTGCCTTCACAAACAGCTGTTCCTTGTTGAGCGTGTTTGATATAGCAAGCGGTATACTATTTGAAAATACGAATATATTCGATAATATTAGCTGTAGAATGTTACATTATTTGTTTCAATAGCATTGATCCTTTTATATTTATATTACCCTTTATCAATTCTTTTCTTATTTTGGTTGGGGGAGGGGGGGTACATTTTTGGCCGTAGCAAAAATTGGGGGGTAAGTTTTGGTTATGGGGATATTTTTGGGGGGTTACCTTTTCAATAAGTTTGAGTTGGTTAAAAAATCACCGTTCTCCTTCCTCCCCCCATAGTCATAAAAACGCACAGTCCATTGAAATACGGTATGACAATGCAACTTTGTTCCACAATAATAAAAATCCTTTACTAACTTTTTGTTTTATAATTGGTATTTGGTGAGTTTTCTGAGGTATGTTTAAATTTATAGGTTATATGTTTAGGGCTTAACAAAAAATGTTATATTTTGGTCCGATGTGAGATTGTACGTGCAAGAATTTGATTTATTTGAGTAAATTGAACTTTGATCTTATGTGTGATTGGACGTGTCACATATTTGACGTATTTTTGTTATTAGTGGTGAACTTTCGTCCTATGTTGGTTTTCAAGATTTTCATTTGCGCTTTAGTGTTGGTTGGACGTTTGTGTTTAGCTTTGCACTGTAAACTTTATCCTTATATTTAACGTAATTTGCGAGTTATGCCGGAAAAGGGAGTTTGAGTTATTTGCACAGGCCATTAAAGTTGTCCTAACTTGCTCTTTAAATGACGTTTTTCTAATGTCACGTATTTTGCACGTGATAAGAACTCAGTGGTTATGACTGACGATTTATAGATTGAAAAGTTTGACGTAGTTTGTCGGAATACGCTGTTGGTACTCGTATGTTCAACAAATTACACTTATATTTGTGAATAAACGCGAATTTTACGGGAAATGAAATTATGTTTAATGTCAGTGGCTAGACACGTGATTAAGGACCCCTTTACCCGAGCCCGGATACCGGGATGAATCTCGCCTTGGGTTCATCCCGGTTTCCGAGGGGAGAAGAGGCCAAAGATCCTGGGGACGAGTTCAGGCGCCAAATTCGAGAAACAAAGCAGCACGGCGAAACACAAAAATATTAACTTTCACGCCTATCATAGTTTAATTAAATGGGATGCTCATGATGTGGAGTATACAGCAAGCAATGCAAGACGATGCCATCCGGACCGCCAGAATTAATCCCGCCTTCATCCCGGTAACCGGGCTGAAGTTTTCATGTGGCAAAATTTCTAGCCTGCGTAGCAAGCGTTTCCGTTTAGTTTCGGAGCAAAAAAAAAAAAAAACGAGGAACGGGAGTTTCGGTTTTGACTGCGCGAGAAATGAAACGAGAGCCTTTCTTCCCCACCCCTTCCCGCTCTTTTACTTGCGCCATTTTTCGCGCGGTCTTTGACTCTTGTTCCTCGTTCTTTACTCCTAAACCGCACAGAAACGCTTACTACGCAGGCTACAAAATTTCCAGCGCGCTTAAGGGGGTCTCGGTCGGAAAAACCGAGATCTCGGGAACCGAGCCAGCCCGCCATGAACACATAGAAAACTTAAAACAAAGGATTTAGAGGTAGGGCGAGATCTCGGAAACCGGGCCAGCCCGGTCCTGAACCGGGCTCATATGAAGAGGCCCTAACTCGTGAATTTTTATGACGCAGTAAAATTGAAAAGATGCAATGAAACGGAAGTGCATTTGATTGTGGAGTTTGTACTGAAAGTGCGTTCTGGGCAGATTTAAATCAAGGTAAATCTTACAAATATTCAATGACTGGACAACTGAAATAGTATTCATTTAAATGCTCGTTTGCATGCTTACAACCACGCCGTCAGCAATAGGTCCAACACCAAATTATTTTGTGAGCATTCATTTCGGATGGAGTATTTTTGCTGACTTGTTGAAAGAGATATTTAGTGAGCTAATAGAGTCGAGATTGTTTGAAATGAGGTGGATTCTTTGTGTACTTACGAAGAAAAGTAGACTGTTCGTCATGTGCCCAACTGATGAGTTTTTGTTATAATAAAGTGTCACGGTTGAATTTAATAAGGAAGTTTGTAAATATTGTATACGAAGTAATGTCGGGGATACCTTTTATTAAATTAATGATGGAAAATTGCGGAGGATATGCGCCTACGACAGCGTTTTGAATTTTAAAGAAAAAGAATGGAAAGTGAATCTTTAGCTGTGGACATTTTTTTTTTACTGAGTAGAACAACTTGATGTTTGTGACATGGATTTTGAACTAAAGAGCAGGAGTTTTGAACAAGGAACAAATAAATCTTTCTGAAAGAACAAGGTATGATATCTTTGTTGTAAGTTGTGAATTACCAATGGCTGTTGGCGTTGAGGACCGTAAAGAATCAGGTCCATAGAAATATTATAAGGTGTCTACTTCTGTACATAGATCTCGAGAGCCTTCGAGAATTTGTCAAAAGTGTAAACAGGGTGTTCAAAAATCTTTCAAAATGAGAAGTTTATTTGAAAGATATGTGGTAGGTGTTGTACTGAAGTCCTCTAAGCTTTTTAAATTTTTAGACGTAGAATTTGTCCGGCGCGAGGAACATTTTTGTTTTAAGTATTATCTTGCCTGTAAGCAAGGGAGGAAAGAAGCTTTTAAAGGGAATAATTGTTACGTGAAGAATGTTAAAAGACGTATATGAAATTGTTTGTTTCAAAATATTGTAAAGGGCTACTCTCAAGTTTTCTTGGATGGTATCCGCAAATATTTTTGGAGTAAAAAGGTACTTTCAAAAGATTTTGAAAATAATCCTGCACCATCGTTTGTGAATAGAGAAAACCAGCATATGCACAAACGAAAATTAAACGAGAAAGAATTTGTCTTGAGCGCCGTTGCATTTGAGCGCGCAATACAGCGAGATGATTCCATTTTCCCGCTAATTCCGAATATGTATTATTGCTGTAATAAATTAACCCCAATAAGTAACGCAGTATCTTGCTTGTGTTTTTTGTTCCGTTACTTTATATAACGTCACCGTCAACAGATCAAAATGCTCTCTGACTCTTTCCCAACTGTTTCAAACGGAAATCGCAGAAGCAACATCGAATTGCTTGTGACCGGATTTGTAATCAACCATCTTACCACAGATTGTCATACGCCTAACCGCAAGGAAAGCAAATGGCCGCTAGCCTGTGTACAGACTCCCCCTTCCTTCCTTCAGTAAAAATCGGAGAACGGCCCCCTTCTTCGATTTTTACTGAGGGGAGGGGGTCTGTACACAGGCTAATGGCCGCGGGACTTAACCCCTTGGGCAAACGGCTGCTGTGAATTCCTGAAGCGGCCATCCCGGGGAGGACTCCACTTATGAAAGGGGTGGGGATGCTCGTCGGAAATTTTGAATTAAACCCCTAAAGGAGACCGATCTGGGCGTGGCCCAAGCTTTTTTTGACCCCTAAAAGAGACCATGTTAAAACACAGACAATATAATATTTTATATTTTTTCACGTGCAACCCTAAACAAGACCTTCACGGCTAAATATGATGGCGTTTTGCCCAGAACACCCTAAGTGAGACCAAAATCCGAAATTTACACCTCTAAGCGAGACGACGAGCATCCCCACCCCTTTCATATGAGGAGTCCACCCCCCGGCAATTTTTTGTCTTTTATTATGGCTAAAAGTGTTTAGAGGCATAACATAAAGACATCTTTATGATTCAAACATTGAGTACAGTGATGCTGCTGTTTAAGGTTCCAGCAAATTTTAGTATGGGTGCTGCCTCAAGATATTTATGCCCTAATTCGGCTATCGCCGCGAACGGTACAACGCACGTATTATATAATTTATGAGTTCTGTTTCATCTTCTTCAAGGCAGCTTTTCATTCTAAAATGTCTTAGAAATTTAAATTTCAAACGTTATATGTAACCGTTTTTATCACGCGATCACTTTTCTTGATGTAGACCCTGACGCTTCAGTGTTATAATGGAGTTTAACTGAAGAGTGGGTCACCTTTTCGGTGGCCTACGAAACAGGCTTGTATTAAACACCCATGCACTCAGGATTTGTGTAGTTCACCTACTAATCTATATATATATATATATATATAATGATCAATGGTAGTAAGATTTCAATTCATCGTTTTATTGCTACAACGCTGTTTCGTGTGGTCAAAGAATGGCCACACTCATCAGGCAATGTTATTGAACTATATTCTCGTTGGGTGCCCCTGATACCGATTTTAGCCTTGTAGGGTAAGTGCCTCTCCATATAATACAACAATATGTTAAGTATGGATACACCATAGTATTATACATTGTCGTTAACATTTGGAAGATAATGTCTCGCCTGTAACGGCTACCACGCATTATTCCCGAATATTGATTCGCTATTGATTTAATTTGTATGGAATTACGTTAAACCGCAAGATGACGTTATTCCTTGTCCATTAGGGACGTGATTATTTAGTTCCGCTCAAACCGCATTTTTGTTAGTTGGCTTGTTTGGGCAAATGATAAGTCGTGTTCGTCGTTAGTACAGTTTGTCCAGTTTATCTTTGAAGTTGTTTGGTCAAGCTCTTACAAGCGGGACTGTTATGTAAGTGTTTAAGTTTCTCTTTTATACCTAACCTTTTCGAAAGACTCCTTTAGCTTGCACCAGTTTTTTCATCGCATGTTTTCCTCAACTATGTTACCACGTGGCATAGGTTGGCTGATGTTACTTAAAAGGTTACTCACCTTTCACTTGGTTATTAGTACGTTTTAGAGTTTGTTTTTCAGAATCTTTTCACTAGTTTGTCTCTTTTGTTTTTACATAGTTTCATTATTTGTTTGTATTTCGACCTTATGGTTCTACGGATCTTTATAGTACATCGAACTGTTTTCGCTTTGTTATTGTATGTATCTTTTTATAATCTCGAATTTTGTACTTGTTAATTCGTTTTCGATTATTTCCTTAAGTCTTGATTCGTTTACCTTCTTCGGCTTAGACATAGTGTAACTTGCAACTTTGCAATGGAATGATTGGAATGTAGTTTGTATGTTAGCCTTTTTTCTATTTCATGTTTCAGTTTACGATAAGGACTTGGATCCTATGATCACGTTGAATAAACGATTCAAGACTCCGATCCTGTCCGTAAAATATTTCCTCGCGTTATAGTGTGTCGTCGCTTGCGAGCTCAAGGTCTTTGTCGTAAATTGCTTCGCTTGTGTTGGCCGCTACATCGCCTTTGCCATAATTCATATCATTTTCGATATTTTTTGTTGCAACTAGATCAATATGATCTTTTCAATAGAGTTCCTCATCCATATTTAGGCCCAGAAATTTGGTGCATTTAACTTGATTAATTATTTCACCATTTATTTGACCATTAATTTAACGTTTGGTGAGTTGATATTCATTATAGTACTTTAACAATTTGTGTAATTTTGCACCAGACGTTAGAGGGAAAGGAGGGGAAAGAAAAGTGAATCTATAGTATGAGGATCGACTCAGCTTTGCGCAGTTTTTGGCGATTCATTAATGTACAGCAATACCCAATTTCGCACAAAAAATAGTCTAAGTTTAGGATTAAAAGAGTAGATTCTCGGTACCTTTAAACTGAAGCATTCAAAATAGCTCATGCACGTTAAAGGTGCCTATTTATTCTGCTTCGCCCATGTAATAAGTACGCACATCAAGTGCTGGTTTCATCGTTTGTGGCCATGAAAACTGAAAACGAAAACCAATGCAAGTTAGCCTGCGTAGCAAGGGTGTCATTTTCAGTTGGCTTAAAAGTAGCGGCATAACCTTCCTTGCCCGCTTGCAGTATGCTTTCCTTCTCCACATGATGCTGACGTTGGGGCGAAATAGACTACGTGTTCAGGCAAAGGAATTATGTTTGTGTGTGAGGCAAGGAGCTGGGACTACTGTTTTATGCTAGTCCGCTTTCCCTTTCTCTCAGATTTACCTTTCTAAAGCTGTTTTTATATACACAGTCCGTAGTCCGCCTTTTATACCTAGTTTATGTTTTATGAGGTCTTTTATACCCAATCCGCTAGTCCACATTGGGGGCGGCCATGCATTAAAAGGGATGAAAAGAAAGTTATAGAGACCGATACGAACTCTAGCCTGCAGTGCAGGCGTTTTCTTTGAGCGCGCAATTTGCTCGTGAAAGCGCCATGTTGAAACTTTCCGAAGAGAGGAGGAGATGGAGCGAGTCAATCTTCCAGTGTCATAAAATCAAAGATGGCGGCTACAACAATATTACGAACACGAACGAGGTTTCGCCCACCCAAAATACGCCTGCACTGCAGGCTAATACGAACTCATGCCAGTCTGAGTTAGTACTGATAGTAGTCTTTACACTAGGCGGGTTGACCGTTAAGTAAGACTTAATAGCTGCTAAGTTTTACTTAAGCAAAGACACTTGAAGGCCTTAGTTGGAAAGTTGAAACAATTTAAGAAAAGTTTCAAGTGACTTGAAAACCATCCTTAAAACCGACTTTGCGAACTTGTGTTTTCTCGAGCTTTGAGAAAGGCGAAGAATGTCAATCAATCTCAACTGCTTACACTGAAGAAAACCGACAAGATCGACTTTCGACGCTACAGCAGACTGAGGTGTAGTGTTCCGCAGCCACCCAAGCTGTATGGACTACCAAAACTACACAAACCCAACTCAGTTACAATGGCAAAGCGGAGTTTATAATTAAAATAGCTCAAACAAGGCAAAATAGTTGAAAATGGGGTTTACTGACATGAAGAAATGGCAAACTCGGCGACTATCCGGGAGATTTCATACTCTAATCTGGAGACCGGGAGATACGGTCCAAAATCTGGAGTCTTCCGGAATTATCCGGGAGAGTTGACATGACAGCACTGGTTAACCTGAAGTAAAAAAGATAGGTTTTGTGTGAAGCTTCTTTTTACTTGAAGATTTAAAACTTACTTGTATTGAAATATTCCTTAGCTTATTTAGGCTCTAGTGCTCCCGCCCCAATCTCCTCGCGGTCTCTCTGCCCTCGCCCACCTTTATTACTTAGCGCGCCCAACCAAAACCGCCATGCTACGCAGGCTAAGTAAAAAGAAGCTTCACACAAAACCTATCTTTTTTACTTCAGGTTAACCAGTGCTGTCATGTCAACTCTCCCGGATAATTCCGGAAGACTCCAGATTTTAGACCGTATCTCCCGGTCTCCAGATTAGAGTATGAAATCTCCCGGATAGTCGCCGAAGTTTGCCATTTCTTCATGTCAGTAGACCCCACTTTCAACTATTTTGCCTTGTTTGAGCTATTTTAATCATATACTCCGCTTTGCCATTGTAACTGAGTTGGGTTTGTGTAGTTTTGGTAGTCCATACAGCCTGGGTGGCTGCGGAACACTACACCTCAGTCTGCTGTAGCGTCGAAAGTTGATCTTGTCGGTTTTCTTCAGTGTAAGCAGTTGAGATTGATTGACATTCTTCGCCTTTTTCAAGTTGCTCCCGCCCCAATCTCCTCGCGGTTTCTCTGCCCTCGCCCACCTTTATTACTTAGCGCGCCCAACCAAAACTGCCGCAGGCTAGTGTAAAGACTACCGACGGTCTCACGTAAATACGCCCTAAATTTATCTTCACGGGAGGTTGTCTCTGATTGGTTGGTTTCAATGTGGTTCATAGCAGCACCACAGGCAGGCCAGCTAAAGCTTACACAGAGAGAGAAAACCGTTTACGGTACAACCCATTAAAAAACGGCCGATAAATCGGCCAATAGACCACACAGGAGAGACGTATCACACATTTCATGTAAGGTAAGCTGTTTTTTATTGAAATTCTTTCATTTTCGTTCGTTGCAGAAACGATAGGTTTTTTCCCCGTACAAATCCTTGTGTTTTGAATGTTACGTAACAATGCCGATGCTCTCTGGTGCTTGCTTTCGAGGTTGGCTTATCTGTGGTGGCACCGGTTCACCGGTTCACGGATCGCCGGTTCTTCGCTTGGTCGTGACCATGAAAACTGAAAGCCAACGGCTCTTCTTCTGTTTTCAGAACTTCATCACTGTGACTCAGTATGAACATTTGTTTGTTATGCCAAACAGTTGTCATCTTTAGGTCCTTACGTTTTACTCTGTAGCAGTTTCTTCATGGCGCTAGACTTCGTGGCGGGATGCTTTGGAGGTTAGTTCAATGATGAGACTTTACAAATTAATTTTGCTACCGCGTGTATTTGTGAAAAGAAATTAATTTGTGCGATTGAGGTTAATACTCAATTCTGTTTATCAGGACTGTCTGGAATTGTAGTTGGCCATCCTTTCGACACAGTAAAGGTATCAAGTGATTTTTAATAGCTGTTAATAGTGGCTCTTCACGGGCCAACGTTTTCTGTCCACACATGCGGTCGAGATCGATATTTTTCGTTTGAATTGTTTTATTTTCCTGGCTTCACATTTTTAGGTTCGCCTTCAAACTCAAGTAACCAGACGATACTCCGGGACAGTGAATTGTTTTGCTCAGATAATAAAGCAAGAAACGGTAAGACGAGACAGGGGATTATTTAAGCTTAATGGCGCGGCCCATTCATAAAATTGTATGCAGTGTTTGTTGTTTACACGCAACAGCAACATGGTAGACTTGCTACAGGTCATAGGAAGTTGATAAATTTACGTAATTTCCTAGTACGTGACAATATTTAACTGTTCTTATGGTCTCTGTGGTATACTGACGTTTTTCAAGTGGCGTAATTTGCCGGGTGATATGACTGAATATTTTTCTTGGTAAACCATCGAAAGAATTAAGCGAAAAGACACTCGTCGACACTCGATGAAATTTGGTTGAAAGGAATAGTTTGTGTATCGTTTGTACTGTGTATTGCCTTCCTTGCTTCCAGAGACTTCTCGCTGTTTTTTTCTTTTCAAATCATGCTAGGCTTTCAGTGTGAATCCAGCATCATAGTTCTCTAACGGTTTGAGGAAAGGGCTTTGGCCAATGGACCTTGTCACGGTTTATGCCATCTTGACGAGTGGGCAAACGCGTGACAAATTACAGTGTTTGTATGAGAATCTAATGTCGAATAATTTCCGTAGAACGGCTGTTCTGAAAAAAATATGAATTGTAAACAAAAGATTCACTCCTAAACACTCTACCGAAAAAAATTGAGGGGACTACATGCGCTAGAAGACCTAGAACAACTTTTTAAAACTTTCTATACATTTGTCTGTAATAAAATTAAAGTCCAAGGAAATGTTACAGATTTTATATGGAAAATCTAAAGCAAGCCACTTGAGAAATTTATGCACAAGTATGCCCCGAAAATTTTTTTAGTACAATTCTTTGCTTTCTAGTTTTATTTAACAATTGATATTTTTTCAGAACAGCCATTTTTTAGATTCTCATACAAACACTGTAATTTCTCACACGTTTGCCCACTCGTCAAGATGGCATATTATACACATATATATAGCATGGAATCTACATCTCAATTCTTTGGTGCATATGATGATAATATGTCCCCAGCTCAAAATATGAGCCCCTGGTTAGCTGTATTGGATGCGCGCCAGTCTGTCGAGTGGGAGACCAAGGGTTAAAACCACTCGTGAATAACTTAGAAGAATAAGGTGCCTTAGTGGTGAAATCAACAACAGTTGGAATTTCTAGTCTTCTCAGACATGGACAATAAACTGCTGGTTAGTCCTGTTTCACAACTCTTGCTCACTTAGAATACCGGTATGTTGTTTGTATAGAGCAGGGATGTGTCCCCCAGTGTGGTGGTCTATCTTTGGAAGCATGTGGTCTGCATGGCTGGATTAGCTTGAAGAGGGCTTCTGATTGAATGAGATCATAACGAGATCAGGGGCACCCAATGAGAATATAGTTCAAAACCACTTAAATATAGCACTGTTGAACATATTTTAGTATTTAAATGGTAGATATAGGTATATTTTTATGCCCTTAAACTTTTTCATCTGTTTGGATTTCCTAGCTGAAAGTCTGTGATCTAAAATTATGGGGATCAAAACTTACCTTTTCGAAAATTTCAGCCAGAAGAAAGGCTCCCAAAAATTCTAGGTGACCTTTTCAGGGTAAAAATCCGTTAAAAATGGGCAATTATACCATTTTTGGGGGGTTTGGAAATCCTGGGAGAGGCTGGCAAGCAAGAAATTTAACAACAAATGTTCCGAAAATTCTAGATCTCAAATCGTCTTCCAAACAGATATTTTCCAAAAATTGTTGTTGGGTGCCCTGAAGGAGATGATAATGTACGTACAGTTAACTCTCTGTTACCGGACACCCACATTAGATGGACACCTCTCTCGGTCCCTGGCATTTTTCAGTCATTTTACTGTAAGTACACTCTCTATAAGACGGGCTTATATCTAAGCTGGACAACAGACACTTGAATCCATCAATGGACAATTGGGAAGTGCTTTATGTTCTAAAAAATTAACCTGAGATCAGGCTCTATTTTCGTTTCGCTTTGAAAATTACATTCTGGTGGGCAAGGCAAAACGAAAAGAGAGCCTGATACAAACCTTTAACGAAATGTCTGCCACTCACTTTTTTGATTGATTGACATTTGCCGAATCAGCCAATCAGAATTACTTCCGTTGCTTGTTTTTCTAGTATGCAAATTTTTCACGCGTGGGAAAAATGCAGACTGGCTGACTTTTATCTGTTAATTTTTTCAGCTAAAAATAAAACAGTCAGCACAATCACATTTAACTTCTTGCGAGATTAAGGGAGATCTCGAACGTTACTTCTGTTGGCGTAGAAGGTAAAAAGTTTTCGAAAAGACGGCGACACGATGTTCTACTAGTTTTATTATTTTGGCTAGGCACTCTGGAATTTAAAATACTGAAAACTCTATTTTTCCGTTGTCTTGATATTTTCCTCGGCAATTTCCCCCGATTTTCAGTACCTAAATCTTTAAAAACAAAAGCAAACAGCCAATGAGCGAGGACACCAGTTTTCTTGGTTTATTTTTAACAAAAAGCGTAGTCAAACAACCAGTCTGTGAACACTGAAAACTCCTTGAACAGCGATGCGATAGTTTTCTGCTAATACTTCACAGTTGGTGGTTGAGGTTTCTTTCGCAGTAAGCCTCCGCTTGCATACCCCGTTCAGAGAAGTTATTCCCGGCTAAACTTTAAAATGGAACCAGTTTTAAGATGGACAGTATTTTGATTTGCACCCGTTTGTTGGTAAATCAAAATGCACCTTGTTAGTGGTCAACAATTTGCAGAGGGATTCAACTCCGCGATGCACTCACTTTCCGTGAATAAAGCAAGTCCTGAGAAGATATGAACAACCACATGAATTTTCTGAATTTCCATGGCACATATTAAGGCATATTTTCCTACCATAAGACCATAAAACGATAAAAAAGACAGCAAAATCGATCCTTCTCTCCACCGACGACGGATCATTCACGAAAACAACCACGCGAGGAATAAGCGCTTTCAACTTCCGGCATTTCCGACAGCCAATCAGATCTTGTGGCATTGTTCTAACAGCCAATCAGCGTTACGGCGGTAGCCTTTAGAGAGAATGTATGAGAACCACTCAAATTGGGCCTGATCTCAGGTTACTAAAAAATAGCCCAAAACGGAAATTCAGGTGCTGTCTAAACGACTGTAAATTGTAAAATGGTTGATATTTTGTAGTCTTGCTCAAAGTGTATACTGCCATGATTTTTGAGCATAAAGCTGTGAACGTTTGTTTGTAATTAGCGTTTGATCGCACAATGAGAAAATAATTCCACTTTTCTGTTACAATGTTCCAGTTTAAGCTGTTTTTTATAACAGACATTATTCATTGCGAATAGGTTCAGCTGTAAAAATTAACAGTGTCACATTACCTTGACTCTTTACAAGCTGGACATCTCTCAAAGACAGACAGTCAGCACTGGTCTCGAGGGTGTCCGCCTTAGAGGGGGTTGACTTTTGACTGTCAGCCTATTTTCTGGGCACTGGAACCCTCTGTCAGGAACTAAGGAACACAAGAATGATCCATACAGAAACTGTGCGTCCATTGTACAATAGTCAAAATAGAAGGATTGATATGGGGAAACCAATGTGATTACAAAAATGAGGAATGAATTCTGAATAAGAAAACCTGCGTACCTCATTTTTACCTAGCTTCATGATTGTGCTTCTTGCGCAGTTTGCTGATCAGTGTTTGACATTTTTGTTGAGTGGATTTAGATTTTACTGTTTTCTTCTCCATTCACCCTTTCCCCAGCACTGGGCTGTCATTAAGGGCCAGGGATCAGTGATTTCCACCAGCTGTTATGAATATGACTCGTGGCAACTTCGAAGGTCACAACTTTTAAAGGAAAATAGATTACCAAATGAACCTCCTAGATGTTAAAATTCCCACCCATTGAGTGCATTTCCATTGGCAACTTGACATTTTAGAGACAGCCCTGCCCAAGGTTGGATAGTTAAACAGAGTGACTGTTACTAAGTCGATGCACTGAAGGAAAACAGCTATAACTTGACTTGATAATCTCTGTTATCTTGAAATCCTACAAAAGTGGTGTTGGATTGTAAAATCTGTGACTCACCAAGACACACAGAGAAGTTGCAAAAAATCTAGACTTTGCAGCAAAAAGGCTTGTGAAAAATTCACAGTCTCAGTCTCATTCCAACCACTCAAATACATCATGGATAAGAATTTTGTGTTTATTTTATCCTCCTGATAGCACAAGGTGCAAATTCACCGAGAGACATTAAATCATTGTCTTGCAGTCTCTTCAACAGTTCTGTGTGAAATGAAAAGCAACCTATAAAAGGCACTTTCTCTGTCCCAGTGAAGAGTTGGTTTATTTAACACTTTAGTTTAATAATCGCTGCTTTAGAATCTGCTGGTCCCTTATGACTTATTTTTGCTAGTTGGCAACTAGAAAATGTATGTTTTTGCTGCATGCTCTGATTCTTGGTACCCTGGATTTTCTAGGTTCAGTGCTTGTGGACTCCTTCAAAATTGTTTTTTCTTCTTTAAGCTCATCCCTGAGGGGCATAGTTGTTTTAGTATTTACCAAATCGTTTAATAGATAAGAATGAAAAATTATGTTCTTTTATAAATGGAAGATTTCAGTGAGAAAGAGCTTTGTCTACTTTTTAATTGCACTTTTTAATGTAAAATATTTGGGTATTTTGTCTGGTGTCTTTTCATGATTTTGTTTCAAATTCAGTACGAAAATAATTTTCCAGCCACTAACAAGACAAATTGTGTTGCTTTCTTGGTATTTTTGGATATGAGCTGCATCCTTCATCACTAAATATTTTTTTAAGAAACTGTTGTAAAACTAGATGCGGTGCTCCAAATTAATTTTTTGGATAACTAGCCCTTTAGGTTAGTGGGCATAAATTTGACTAACCAAATACTTATGGATGGATTGGTTCCAAACAGTGTTTGTTTAGACTCGTCAAACCGTAACCAGGTGAATGCCTTTTCTCATTCTTCACGGAAAATTCCTTCTTGTTTTTGCTTTTCTTTGTACCGCTTTTGAAGAGCCTTCCATAGCGTTGTAAACTGTACTTGTTCTTTGCTGTTTTTCACAATCTTACATTTCCTCTTCACAACTGTAGTGCAGCCACCTTTTTCTGCAAAAGCTTTCCAAGGATCTCTGCATCTAATGTGTATAATAAATAGGTTGAACAAACGAGCCACTTCCAAAAGAAAAAAAAAAACGCAGAAATTATGCAAATGTTTGGACAACCATTGAACCAATCAAAATCACTACATGGTTTTCTGGTCGTGATGCCACTGCATGGCATTAACAGCTGGTCGATTCAGACGTTAGTGAGGGAGTGAAAACGACCAGAAGTAATCTTCTGAAATTCATGCTATGGCTTTAAATAATAATTTATTATCTGTTTCTCCCATGACAGGTATCTGGTCTGTACAAAGGCATGTTATCTCCAATGGCAGGGGTAGGCCTCATAAACGCCATCATATTTGGTGTGCAAGGTAATGTTTTGCGGTTTCTGGAGCCAGGGCTATCGAGCCAGTGTATTGCCGGTGGAATTGCAGGTGCTGTTCAATCAATCGTCTGTTGTCCAATGGAGCTGGCAAAAACCCGTGTACAAGTTCAGAACTTGGCAGGAAAAACTGGGCAGAGATACCATGGCTCATTCGATTGCTTACAAAAAATTTACAAACAAGGTGGAATTAAAGGCTGCTACAGGGGTATGGCTTTGACTCTTATAAGAGAGACTCCTTCCTTTGCTATTTATTTTGCAACCTTTGAATTGTATTGCACTGCATTGGTACCCAGAGGCCAAGACATGGATTGTATCGGACCTCTTGGACTGTTATTAGCTGGAGGAATGAGCGGCATCTCTTCTTGGTTTTTCACTTATCCAATAGATGTTATAAAATCAAGATTCCAGGCAGATGGTGATGGAAGAGATCGCAGATACCAAAGTATACTGGATTGTGTTAGAAAGACATACCGAAGTGGTGGTTTACATGCCTTTTCACAAGGACTTACTGCTACAATCCTTCGGGCATTTCCAACTAATGCAGCCACATTTGCAACAGTTACAATAACTCTTAGATTTGCAAGAAGCTATGACAAACAGCTTGAACTTGCTTAATTATTTTTCTAATGACATACAGAGGGATTTAACATTGGTATGTGACTTTTGAGGGAATGAAATTTAAGGGGGTTCATTCTGCAAATTTTTTCAGTGCAACAAGGAATGTTCTCCCTGTTTTTCAGTCCAACATGTGTAAACAGGCCTTGTTGAAAGCCCTCTTGCTCCTATTTCTGGTTATAATTTGCTTAAGACAAGACATTTTAAAGCATGGCGAGAACATAATACTGAGAAATATTTTTGAAGTATTCAATTTTGTATTGTGCAGCCTTTAAAAAAAGGACAAGACAACTTGTTTTACTAACAAGCCAGCTACATATTATAGTAATGGATAAAGGCTAAAGATGCATAGAAAATATTTTTTATTGACTACTAGCTGTAACATATTATTGTATAGCATCTTCTAACCAAGATGTGATTATCACTTATTGTTAGCAATTTTAACTTTAAAATCCTCATATTAACAACCTTTATTTGATTATCACAACTCAATGTTTCTTGCAGGTTCATAAAAGTAAGTTGTCGCTAAAAGATTTAAAAGCAGTCATTTTGAGTGTAGCTCTTCATTGGTTTGATGTCTCTAAGTTAATGTGAAGGGTATCCAACAAAATGTTGCTTTTGATTCTCTTTTTAGTGGACAGTAAATGTCAATAAAACGACGGAATTTTGACATTTTTAATAGTTCAAATAAGTTAATTAGTGGAAGTAGATGAGATGTTTCATGTTTGACATAAGACTGGCAGACAGCTGGTTCTGAATAACCTAGTCATATTCCAGCAATTAGTTAGCTCTCTCTAAGTGGACACTTCTATAACATTAGGCTACATTTTACAGACAGTCATCAAACAATGGCCCCCCAGAATTTTCTCATGTCCAGCTTTTAATTCATCCATGATTTTACCATTTTCAAGATGAACTAAAATCCTCTGGAACAATTAATGTCACATACCTTCCTTACAACTTCATGTACTTTGCTTGATGTTGGACTGCATCAGTTTTTGTCTTGTAAGACCAAAATGATGAGTTCCTCAGAGATTTGTGCTTACATAAAAAATGAATTATCTTATGCCCTAAAACTGACCCGTAGAGGTGGTTCTTTCATCTCTTCTTTCTCGTGTTTTTAGGACTTCTCGCACACCTCTGTAAACCTGTCCCATGCTGGTGATGTACATCTTTGAGAAAGTTGACTGTACTTTTGATATTTTATGGAAAAGGAATTTAAATTGCGGGCTCATTTTAAATGAAGCACACCACACATTATGCTACATTGTGGATTATACCATTCCCCCCCCCTTTTATTGCGAGGACGGAACCACTATTAAAGTGATATACATAATTTCTCGATACCAAATTTATGTGGTGTAACATTAAGAATTTCTCAATGTTCTTGGGTAAAATATTATTTTATTTATAGTTTAGTGCACAAGGCAAGTTTAGTCATTTAAGAGATTGAGGGGCCCCTTTGCACTAAAGTAAATTTTGTTTGTTTCTACATAAATAGTGAAAGATTTTTGGGAAACAACATCTCAGCCTCCTGTTAAAGCATTATTGTTTTTGGTGACAAGAGATGATGTAAAATAATATTATATGTCTGTTGTAGTTAATTTTTTATCGCAGGTAATTTTTGTTTTTCTTTTGTTTTTGGGTATGATAGTGTATGCTAACGAAGTTGAAACAAAGGAAAAATAAAAATTACGTGAGATAAAAAATTAACTACAACATGTCCATTCACCATTTTCACGTAGACCTTCCCCCACATATTTTGCATAACCATTTTTTCCAATTTCTCCTGGGTATTACAGTCATCCCAAGGAAATCGAAGGCAATGTTATGCAAAATTTTGGGGGTAAACAAGGTGCATTATGGTGTATGTGAAAATGGTGGATATTGTTAATTCCTTTCTGAACACCAAGTGCTAGCATCCAAAAATCTGCCTTATAACATGCCTTGATGGCACTTAAAAAATGATAGATTGGTGGTTGTAATGTTTTTTATTGTTTTTGGCATTTTATCCCGAGATTGAAAATTAAGTAGAATTTCAAAGTGGTGTTTGCACTTTTTAAGCACAATTTTTTCACCAGAAAAATAAGCCATTTCTGAGTTCCCCCCAGGCTTCTGTTTCAAAACGAGGGTAGCCTTTGATATGGAAATCGTTTTTCATTCTCATGCAAATAAAACTCATTTTCACAAGAAAGGTTGTGCACCTAGCCTCATTTTGAAAGTGAGTGTTTTTGGAGCTCGGAAGTGGTCTATTGCTTTAAGTGCAGATGGGCCCTTAGTCTGGTATAAAATAATATTTTTGAATATTTTAAAAAGTTGTAATAAGGTAACTATATTTATTTCTCCCGTAATAAAACTTGCCTGAGACCATTTTTGTGTACACCTTGTTTACTGCCCCCCGCCAAGTTGTTCAAAAGGTGGATAATGCTATCATCTGGATAAATCTCTGTTCAGTGGATAACATAATTGGTTTCCCCAATACTTACTGCTGGATAGTGATTTATGCGATGGTTAGCGCTATCCAGCATTTGAACAACTGGGTCCAGGGTATTACAGTAGTCTCAAGAGAGACTGAAGACAGTGTTTGTCTATGCAAAGTTTTAGGAGACAAACAAGGTGGTGACTTTTTCAAGATTGTACTGGGAATTCTTGGCGTGTGTGTGCCTCCCGGTTTTCCAAATCCTGACCCTATTTCAGACCAAAAAATTCCATTTTTCACACCCGTTTTCAGATCTGGCCTGTGAGAAATTATGTCATCATTACCAGTGTGATTACTTCGATTAGAACGCGGACAAAAAGATTTCTTAAAATCCATTTCGAATTCGCACATTTCTCTTTCTTCCTTATTGATTTCAGTGGAATTGAAACGATAAACACGTTCACACACTTTCCCGTAGCTTCCACGAAAACTATGAAGTTTAAAATCCCAGCAAATCAAGCTTTAGTCTAATCAATATCAACTATGAATTAAGTCTTCTTTTTGTCAAGTTATCCCAGCCAAGATCGAGTGCCTCGGTAGCAGATAGTGCCTTTGCATAATATCGAGCAAGGTTGTGACAGCTAAATTTTGTTTCACTCGTCTTTTCTATCAGATTCATAGCATTAGTTTTGTCTCCCATCACACACCCGCACTAGGTCTCAATACGTTGAAGTTATGGCACTATAATTACTGTGTACCGCAAGTCTGCATAATGAGATGTATTTTTCCTGGAGTGTAGCTACTAGTACGCAATAGTACGCACGTTTTAAGAAGTCGAGGGTGAAAAAATGGAATAATATGAAACAAAATCAATAAAATCAAAAAGCGAATAATAAAAAAGCAAACGTTTTTAAAAAGCACATTATTACTTTTTCCTCAAATGATTCAATTCTGCTCGTTCCTTTTCTATACATATGTATTTTTTTTTCTGAAAGAGCAGACTATTTTTTTTTACAATCGAATGTGGGTTTTCAGAGAAGCGATGGGATTCATTGGTGGACTGAATCTTGAATGATATATTTAGAAAATTGTGCGTACCTCTAGAAACTCTGGCTTTGCCCTTGTTGTCAGCATGCTCTTGCACGTAAAGCGTTGGGCTGTAGACAACCAGATGAGAAAAAGATAAATGCTGATAGAATGGTGATAAACAACCACAATCAATGCTCGGAAATTCGGCAGGGGAATTTTTGGGGGTTAATTTTTTGTCGAGGAAGTTTTTATGGGTTCCTTGGAAGCCCACATGCTAAACGGAATGTTGTAAACCACTTGATTTTCCAATCGGAATTTCCAGTTTTCCCTTATAAAGGGTCGGGTACCCCAGATCTTTGGACCTTATCTTTCTCTTCTGTAATGTCCTGTGTTTTATATGCCAGGTCCAGATACATATGTTTGGACCTGGCAAATGGTGTTTGGATAAAAATAACATATATATATTTAGTATATACACACTCAGTGATCTTGGTGATTTAAGCAATCTGATTGGTTCGCTATCTCGGACTATTCAACAATATTCACCTCCTAGCGAGTGGATAATGTGTGAGCTCGGTGTTTTTCCCGTTTTTTTTAGAGAACGATCTTTTAAAAGTCGACAAAATCCTAGGGCTGACTTTTTTTAAGGCAAGAAAAGACTTGGAAGGATTCAATACGGCGTTTTTTAATTTACTGTAGCAGGAGTTTTGTGCTCGATGGATTGTTTACAACTCCCGTGTATTCGCGTAGAAGAAGCCGTTTCGTGAACTCAGCGTTTTCTAAGAAGAAAATTTTGGCTCAAAAATCGAAGTTTATTTATGACAAACAAATTTAAAAGGAAATGTTTGCAGAAATTCTACATTTCAAGTAAACAGGAAAAAGAATGATACAGGAAGACGACCTCTTACCTCGAGCAACCGAGCCGCCATTTTTGTCAGCACTTCATGCGAAGAACGACACAACATGCCCTTTTGGCTTTAAACTTGGCGAGTCAACAGAAAACAACACAGCTCTACTTTTTTTCTCAGGTAAGGGGACAGTTCTAACTTTTAGCGATTCCATTGAAGCCATTACGCTGTTGTTTGCGAAATGAGTAAACTTGTGAATTGCCATGTTTGAAAATTCTGCAAAGATCTATTTTTAAACTTACGCGTGATTTGATCTGTCAATCAAATCCTACTTTTGAATGGTTTCCTTTCTGATTTTGTTGAGATCACTTCGTGTGTATATACTAAAACAATTATTCTTCTCAATCTCGGTGAATAGTGGCTTTGGGAATATTTACCTCGCCGCTTTCGCGGCTCGGTAAATATTTTGCCACTATTCACCTCGATTTCAAAGAATAATTGTTAAATATATATTTTTAGAGGGGTTTTGTAAATTTCCCTGTTTTTTACTCGGGAGCAGGATCCATTTCTTTTCGTTAGTCAGATGGGTTTAATTTTTCCCGCGTATTTTTGTGCCTTGCGAAATGTGTAGTACTTTTCGATTGGCCGTCGAGTACGTCTGTACTCGATGCTGATTGGTTCGATTAGTACCATTACCACGTGGTCTGTTGGTTTTCGAAGTGAGGTTGATATTTCAGTTGACAGAGAGCACCCCCCACGAAGGTAGCTTCGGACGCCAACATGGCCGACTTAACTGGTGTGGCAGAAGTCGAAGTTGAGGTGGAAACTATGGTTGAACCTCACCAAGAAGTTCAAATTGAGACACAGCCGATGATAGCCCTTCAGCCTCTGACCGAGCCTGAGAACGAAGAAATCGTAGTTCAAACAACGGAAGAAGTTATCGAGGAGTCAAAACACGCCATCGTTGAAGAAGTGTCTATTTCTACGACGCCTTCAGGCAAACAGAGAAAAAGCAGAGGAACAAGGACTAAAGGTCTGGGCAGATCGGGAAAGGGTCATGTTAACTCTACTACATCGAGTGCGTCAAACGCCTCGAACAGTGAGAGAGGGGGTGGTAATGGAGAAAGTGAACGCTCAGGTACGCGCAAATGGGAACAAAAGCAAGTACAAATAAAGACTCTTGAAGGCGAATTCGCCGTCACAATGTGGGCGTCGGGTACGTTCTGTAAAATGGGCGCCCTTACTTTTCAGATTAAGTTGGTTTTAAGCTTAAATGCTGTTGCGAGGCGAGGAAATCTTATGTTTTTTAATTTGTGTTTCTTCCCTGTACGTGCTATGGTGACGCTGTAGAAGAGAAAAAAGCTCAACAGGAGGAATTGAATCAGTCTCCCGACTTCACGGAGTACATGACAGGGAAGAAGATACCTCCTGGAGGCCTTCCTGGAATTGATTTAAGTGATCCAAAGCAGTTAGCAGAGTTTGCAAGGTAAGGTGACTTTTCGTCCAGTTTGGCAGCCATGTTGAAATCCCATGACAAACAGCAGCCTTTGTTCAAAACCAAAATGGCGGACTTCATCATGGCGGCCGCTCGTTCGATGCAAAGTGAAAATTTCGAATTCTTCATTTCAGCCTCATTGTACGATTTGTATGAACGAGTAAATCAATGAAACTCATGTTAAAGAATTTTTCTGTGTGTGTTAGTCACCTCTTTTTGCGTTCAACATTCAAAATAGAATATCGAGGTTTTTGACAAACAAAGGGATTTGCCTTCCGCCACGAAATTATTATTGAGAATCAAGTTGCTTGAATAGTGCTTTAATTTTCACCGCAAGTTCTTGTAACAGACTATGAATTTTTTCCATCAAATGCATTTGAATTGCCTGTCTGGCATTATTTTTGGTTGTAACTCAGAAAGAAGTCTCTAATTTTGATTTTTTCCCTAAAAGAGTCCAAAAAATCATACTGCAAACATTACCTCACTAATGCAAAGTGTAGCACAAATGAAAGAGTGATGAAAATATGAAAATTCGTTTGAGTTGACTGTTTTTAGATTGGATGTATTTATTAATGTACAATTCCTATAGCATGACACATTTGCACTTAGTTATCTAACTGTCCTCATATATTTTCCATTACATTTTAAATTTCTCTGAGATGCACTTTTTCATTTTATTAAATTTCTGTAAATGAATCTTGATCAGAGAAGGACCTTATCAGAATATTAAATGTAATGTGTGAATTTTTCAGGTTTTATTTTCAAGTCTTAACTGTTACAGCCTTTTTGTGCTGTTGTAAATGTACTTCAGTAATCCTTGAATTTTGCTTCTAATTAACATGGGCTGTGCCCACCCTTTGTAAACACTTATGAATGACCCACACGTGTTGATCAAGCACATTATCAATTTGATCCTTTGCTAAGGGAAAAGAGCTAAAAAAGAGCAGTCTAATATTTAGACTTTATTATTGCTTTTATAGTCAAGATGTCATTTATGCTTTATGAGTAATAAAAAAAAAAAAGTAATGTGTAGAAAAAACAAAAGAAAACTAATTCTTGTTTCTTCGAAGTTCTCCCAAAAGGCCAGAGAAGCAAATTTGTTAAAAAGATCTGTATTGACCAATTGACTCTTTGTTATGCAAACTTAACAATATGTAAAAAAAGGTGTAAATTTCGTATAACAAGCACTGTGAAAAATGTAGAGCCTACTACTAGGTACCTTTACTGGAAGAAAAAAATTCTAAATTCTGTGAATAACCAATGGAAGCGCTTAGATGAATTAGAGAATTTTAGACAAATCATCACCAGTCTACATGTAACTAGCCTGTCTACAGACGTCCCCCCTCCCTCAGGAAAAATCGGGAGAGGAGACGTCTGTGAATCGCCGTCGTTAATCGTGTTCCGGTATAAATTTGCATAAATTATTTTTTGTTCTTTGGCTGACAGTTGAAAAGGCACAGGTAGATCGAAAAATAGCTCTGGCGTCTGTGCACAGGCTAGATGAACATCTTCACGTTGAAGATGATTACAGCCAGGTCAAGTGTGCCTCCCAAGATCCATTAATGTATTTATTATTCGAAATTAAGTTGAACCGTTGGTAGTTGTAGATTTCAGATTCATCTCTGTGTGCATTTTTGCATGCGTAATGAGCTGTGAATTCACACGCGATTTAGTTACGAAATTTGTACCGGCTCAGTTTCCCTGAATTTGATGTAAATGTCTTCTAAGGCATTTAATCCATTCAAAGATTTTCAATCTGACCAAATGCAGAGAAGTTCTCTTAAAATATTCACTGCTCATTACGCATACAGGAATGCCGATTTAAATTTGACACCAGTTATGGGAACGACTAACAGATTCATTTTTTCAAATAATCAATTCATTAACAGAATCTTTTTGGGGTAAGCTTGACCCGCGGCCTTGGCTGTTAACGTTGGATTTTGTATGCCTTCTCTTTTATTTACAATATTGACCAGTACAGACAGATGCATCCGCAACCGGTGCAGCAAACATCGGTGGTCTTACCTTCTCATGCCTTTTCGAGAGAGCCGAAATACAAATACCGGTAAACAAATATGAATGTCCACATAGGCTGAGCTTTTCCCCGGGGAATCTATTCTGAGGTTCATTCACCAATCACAACACCGGAAATTATTTGCGTCATGGTATTAACATTACAACCAATCAGAGGCTGTCCCCAACATTCCGGGGAAACGGGAACACGATTATCGTCGGTGATTCACAGATGTCTCCTCTCCCGATTTTTCCTGAGGGAGGGGGGACGTGTGTACACAGGCTACATGTAACCAGCCAAACAACAATGGTTAACTGTAAGTTCTTGTCATTGTGAGATTTTACAAAATGTATTTTATACTCTCTGTCTTTTAGAATGAGGCCCAAGAAAATGAAGGAAGAGGAAGGAGCCAGAACGATAGCATGTCCACATAAAGTAGGTTCTCTCTTTCTGTTCATGAAATTTAATCAATGGTGTTCTACTATGCGGTCTCTGAAGACTCAGCTGGGCTACATGAAACAAGAAAATGGCTGTTCATTCTTTAGGAGAAAATACTCTGCACTACTCTGCCCCACCCTGACATTGTTTCTTGTAGTTTTGCCACTTGTTCACAATAAATTATTTTATTTTGTCTCTTCACTGAGTTGGATCGCCACTGTTAACTCTTTAGTGAACTAGCATCACCTTTAGTTGGGAATCAATTACTCTCAGGTGCTTAGTGCTGGTGAAATAAAGTTACAGGTGTAAGGTCCAGCTTGTGTTTAGCTAGACATCTTACCTTGCCAGAGAGTATAAGATCTTGTTATAACCACTTGCAGTTGAAAAGTCTCACTTACAATGTATATATGTACCAGTTTTTTCATATTCAGAACCAAGAGCTCAAACTGAGGACACAATAGCTGTTTTAATTCATTGTCTCTCTGGTGTGGTTGAGTTGAAAAGGATTTATTGAAGAGGCAAAACCACAGTTAAATGGATGGGTAAATGTGTAGTGGAAGGTTCCGTAAACTCTTTTGTAGCAATGAGCTTATTTGTCTGTTGTTTTATTCTTAGGGTTGTACAAAGATGTTTAGAGATAATTCTGCGATGCGAAAACACTTACATACTCATGGGCCACGAGTTCACGTCTGTGCAGAATGTGGCAAGGTACATATCCTCATCTCCAATGGTGTATTTAACATGATTTTGACTTTTTGAACATATTTAGGGTGGCCAGGCAGTGAATTAAATAGCTGGGGATTTCTTTTGGTTTTATTTTGCTTCTATTTTCCTACAAAAGTAGCTGTGGGGTCACAATCCTAAAAGGTGGGGGAAGTCCCACCTGCCAGCCCTTAATGACAGCCTTGATGATAACATATATATTATTATTGTTTTCCACACTTGTATCGTCATTGTCTAAATTTGGTTTTGTTTTTCATGGGCTAATCATGCAGGCTTTTGTGGAAAGTTCGAAGCTCAAAAGACACCAGCTCGTTCATACTGGAGAAAAACCTTTCCAGGTAAGTTTTGCCCCATTATTAAATCAATGAGCTCATTGTATTTTAGATACTGGTTTGTGCAAAGTTTGGATTAAAAAAAACAATCCAGTCAAAATATGCTGGCAGCTGGCAATTTTGCCACTTTCAGTGGCATATAGATTTATTAACATTGAATAATGACCACACAAATTTAGGTCTTTGCGGCCTGTTTCTGTTGTTATCTGGCCTACTATTATAAAGCATTTTGAATGGCCTGAAAGTATAGATGGTAAATGATATCATGGTTAATTTGGTAATTGTTGACTTAGATTGTTGTTGTTTTGTCCCTACAGTGCACATTTGAAGGCTGTGGAAAAAGATTTTCTCTGGATTTTAACCTTCGAACCCATGTTCGCATTCACACTGGTGACCGCCCATATGTCTGCCCTTTTGACTCCTGTAATAAAAGGTTTGCGCAGTCAACAAACCTCAAGTCACACATCTTGACACACGCAAAAGGAGGAAAATAGAATTAACCGCTCAAGGACATTGACAATTTGTGTACAGATTTTCAGGAATGAAACCTTTTTAGACTTATTTACAAAACAAAGTCTTTGGTTCTGTAAGACAGCTAGGACCTCTTAGATAATACGTTGTACATTTTACACTCATATGACCAGATGCTATTTACTTACACAATCCAGCATAGCAAAACGTCCACCATACATTCGACTTTCCATTGCTGGAGACTCTCCCTCTAGAGATTGGAAGTTGAAGTGGAACAGACACTAACCACAAGGAGATGTTCTTAGAAGTGGACTTTTCAAGGCTGTCATGTTAGATTTTAAGCTAGTCAGCCCCAGGGAAAGGGCTTTAATTTATCATCGTATCAGCAGAAAAACAAACCATTCCTTTTGTCAGGGATATTGTTTGTTTCACTCTGCAGACTCAAATTGTTGGATTTGCATCTTACGAACATACTTTTAAGCCCATGTTTTCAAACAAGGTTGACTCATTCTTTTGACAGAAAGTGTGATTGCAAAAACAGGAAGAGCTTAATTTTTATTCCAGGCGCGTGATGGTACCTTATGATTCTAATATTTATAGGATCCTGTCGAAAAAAAGGCTATGTCTTGCACTGAGAGTGTTTTTAGCCTTGTTGACTTCAAAGGTTTAGACTAAGAAAATCAACTTCATTTATTGAAAGGATGTGATAATATACAGTGATGTAATCTATCTTATAATGTACCAAATGTTCAAGTACTGTTATTGTCAAACTTATTGATAACTATAAAGTTAAAGCTATTTTATCTTGATTCTGAGAGTGACCTCGGTTATGGTAGTCAAACTGCAAGGAATTCAAAAACTGTCTTAGATCCCAGTCAGTGTCTTCACACATTGTTACTTTCAGCGCATTTATACTTAACAAAACTTGACAATGAAATGCACATTCGTGATATTTAAACTCAAATTATAAAGTGGTGTTTGCCTTCTGGGGACGAAAGGCATGACAAAGCCCTGAGAATGTCTGTGTAGGATGCCATATAGCAGGTGTTGATCCAGGAAAAAAATGTGATCGTTTCCTACTAATATGGGCACCAGGTGCCCCCTTCTAGCAGAATCCAGGGACATGCAGCAACCCCAAAATATAAATTTGAACTCCTGAAAAGTTATTTTCCTTCCATTGGGTCTTCACCTCTGCTTTAGGCCATAAATAAATTGCAGCATAAGGGCAGTTGCTTACTTGTTGTCTTAAAGTCGACATAGAACATGGATTTGAAGAGGGGCTACATTTAGAGAAACAAGCTGAAATGAATATGATTTTGCTACGTACCTGGTTCCAGTAATATTGTATTGTTTTGTGAAAGTATAGAACTCCTTTACTATAAAAACCTGTTTTCCATTGATTGTGATGAGGAGAGCCTTTCTTTACTGAAACTTGCTGGGTGTGTGGTCACCATGCCATGCAAAATACAACTTAGTAGCTGACCTGTTAATGTCAAAATATAATTCTGTACATCTCTTGATTGTTGATTTTGTAGATACAAATGTTTCAAGTTCTCTTGTGTGTAAATATGTGTTTGCTTATTTTGTCAGCTTCTTCATTACTAGTGTAAAGTGAAGGGATTGGTGGATTAAGTAACTGAAGGGTCGAAGTTTTGAAATTTAAGACAAGCATGCAATATTATTATTGTATACCAAATTAATAAAGTAACAATGTGGACTGTTCAGTCAGGAAAATGTTTTTATTTTCCTTTCCAGTATCATCATGCAGGGCTTACGAGTGACTAAGAAAAAAGCCATTGTTAAAGAAAAAAAGATGGTAGCAAATTTTTCTCAGTCAATTATTACTTGAAGAGGTCGTCCCATGCATGATGAACTATTGGAGGGAATAACGTAACATTCTTCTAGCTATAAGACAGCTTGGCTTCTTAAGTTATTTATCCTACATGAATTTCTGACTACGTTTTGGACGTTTGACCTTGCTATGTATAATTATTGATATGTATAGCCTATTCACGTGAGAAGCCGAAAAAAATGCTGCTTTTTGCCACAGTATATTAAGTGCCCACCCACCTAGCTTGAGACTAGGCTCTTCGTTTGGGGAAAAAAAGGGAAAAAAATCGAAGAGCGAAGCAAGCCAATAGGTATTCAGGGAGGGGAAAGGGTGGCGGCCCTTTTCCCCATCTCCAGGCCACCACTGGGCTTGCTTAGCTGGCCGACATTTTTCCTTTTTGTCCCCGATTTTTGCCTTTTTTGCCCACTGCGGAGCCTGGTCCCAGGCTACCACACACTACCCTCGACACACTTGTCACTCAGTCTAGGTGAATCCGCGGCTAATTAACTCCGCCCAAACACCCTGTTGAACATGCAAATTAGTGAATATGCTTTGTGATAAAGCTGTGATAAAACGAAGAGCGAGACGGGCGTGTGAGACTCTTTATTATGCTACACTAAGCCGATTTTGAGAAGAAAACCGACTGTTTTGCAGTCTAGCTCGCAGGGGAGAAACTAGATGCCCAGGGATCAATTTAATAAAACTCAAACAAGTGTAATTTACAAATGTAGCTATTGTTTTCACACCCTTAAAAAAATAGCTTGCAACGGTGTAATATGACCCCATCCCCCAGAGATGGAGCCTGGAAACTATTCCTTGATTGCTTGCTGACCACATGATAGCGTGTGTTCAACTTGTATCATGGCGGCCGCAATTTCCTCTTGTTGTCGATTGCTGGGATCAAGAATATGCAGCCAAAGCTCTTTAATTTCACCAGTTATACAGTTATCTTCGCACTCATGTAGAGGAGAGATAATTAGATCGACAGCACGCCTCCCTTTACGATGTCCCCGTGCGTATTATTACGTTAAACCCAAGGAGAAAAAAGGTCCGAGTTTAAGAGGTTGGGTCATGTTTGGTGCAGGATGTGTGGGTATGGCCACAGGAGCTGTAGTCTACATGGGTAAGAAAGATTCAGAATATACGAAAGTGTTAACGGTTCCATTTGACAAGGATAGAGCTCACAGATCCAAATTGTTGGCAGCCAACACTTACAGAGACAATTGAGGGATTTGAAACTGAATATTGAATTTAAATATCGAAATAGGGCATTCCATATTTTATCAGGATCTTCCTTCCACTGTGGGTCTGAATGTCCCCTTTCAGAATCTTGAAATTTGGGCTCAAAATAATATAGGGCATCAGAACCACTGCTTAGTTACCCTGCAAGCAGTGGTCTCTCCAGGCCATACCCGATGCTACGGAGGAAGAGAAACCACTGTGAGCAACCATTTGCTTTTCCATCAAGCATGTGCGTCCATGTGTTACGTACGTCAAATCTTCAAATGAAATCACTCCCTCTCGTTTTGCAAGAAACATTAGGGACTTTCAGATCCAAAAACGTAACGGCAACAAGAACATCAAAAAGAAACAAAACAATAGGTTAAATAAGCAAATAACAACTTTGCACGTGCAGCACACTTTTATCTTACATATTTTCTTTGCCTTTTTTTGTACAACTATGATGTGAAAATACCTAATTTTGCGTTTTATGGAGAACGTAACAAGCAACAACAAAATTTTATTTCTCTCTCTGAGTATGGACATGGTCTGTAGGAATTACACTCCAGTTTAGTTTGCCTACATTTGACAAAGTAAGCTGGTAGAAATAATTGCAATTAAGACTAAAAGAGTGCAAATTCACAGCAGGCTTGTGTTAAGGCAGCAGTTATAAGCATAAGCACATGCGCAATAGCCTTGTTTTTTTATTTTATTTTTTATTTGTATTTTTAAATTTTTTTTATCAGCTTTTCTGGACACAGGCCTGCCCAGAGGAAATGTGCACGAACGGGACTCAGGTCCCATGCAAGGTGCCATCCCTACCCAATCCCAAAACCCGTAAAAGGTTGACCACACCACCGGGGTCTACGACCCCTACTCTTTTTGAATAGTGATGTGGGTTCTTTTACGTCCCACAAGAAGAAATCAGTGAAAGTGCTGTGAGATGGGACCTACAGTTTTTCGTCCTTATCCGAGAAGACTAGAAAGTCTAACCATTTGCAGATCTCATCACGTTACAAAGGCAGCACTTTCTTCTCAGTTATTTAAAGACCCTGAGTGTTGGTCCGGCCGGGGATTGAACCCGTGACTTCCCGTGACTTGTTTTTAAACTTTAAACCTTAACTTGTTTTTAAACACTGAGGTTTTACCTGTTCAAAGGCACTTTATTCGTCCATGGTGCTGAATGGCAGCTCAATCAAAGAAGCCAAAGGGTTGCTTGCACTGGTTTTTCTTTCTTCATAGCATGGTGTCCCGCCTGGAGAAACCACTGCTTGCAGGGTACTACTTTGTTATCCGTAGGTGCTGGATTTTATATTTTGTCCCTAAGGTCATTAGGATGTGAAAAATAACTGTCCAACACATTTTTATGTGGAGGTGTGTGTGGCCGAGTGGTTAACACCTTGAACTCTGGATCTGGAGGTCCAGGATTCAGGCCTCGCCTGTCGCGTTGTTTCCTTAGACAAGAAACTTTGCTCCACTTTGTCTCTGTTTACCCAGGGCCAGGTTGTTCAAAGCTGGGTTAAGATAAGCCAGGGTTAGTGCAAAATTTGAATTCAGAAGTAAAAGCTTCAGTTTAGTTGTTTTTATCTACAGCTGGATGATTGAATGCTCTAGAGCAAATTGTCCGAGAAAATGCGTTTCAACAAGGCAAAAAGAAATGCGGATTAGAATTTAATTCCAGGTTAGCACTAATTGGCCTTCCAACAACTCGGCCGTGGTGTATAACTGGGTACCAGCGACATACTGCTGGGGGGTAACATTGCGATGGACTAGCATCCTGTCCAGGGGGACATTCTCACCTTGGAGGTGAGAATGAATTTTTGTGTTTTGGATAGCGCTATCCACCTTTTGAACAACTGGGGCCTTTATGACGGGATTAAGCAACTCTTTCTTTGCTGACTTTTTGTCAGTTTTTTGGGATGCAGTTTTTCATGTAAATGAAACAGGATGAAGTGAATGCAAAAAATTATTACACCCATGATGTAACAAAATGTCTTTTGACCGCCTAAAGGATATTCCAAGTACTAATAGTGAATGTTTATGTGATAGGTTGGCCAGAAGCTGCTCCAGATGATGTAAGTAAATAAATCATGACAAATTGGAACCCAGTGTATGTAACTAGCTTATTCTCCCTTAATTTTGCAAGTATTAAATTTCGCAAACAATCATGAGCCATATTTCATGATTATTAAATTTTAATTTAGTGAATTTTAGAGATTTTTAGAGAATTTTAAGGGATTTTTAGATTTTGCCAGTATTAAATTTTACTATTTTTGGACTTAACTTTGAGCATGAACTAAATCGCCATTAACAATGATGTAGGAATTGAGAAAATAAGTGATCACCACAACCATATCAGATACAGATGAAAATTTGTCATGAGCAGTGTTATGTTGATGTCAGTTGTCATAGCAAGGAAATGACATCATAACCTATTTTACCTGCGACCGTATTTCTCAGCACGTGGAGGCTTTTTTTCCAAAATCATTCACTTGAGCTTGTTTCTCCAATGGCTGCAAAATCTGTGAAAGTGTTATCAAGATATTTTGAAATGAAATTTTTATGGTTACTAATACAGTAAAAAGTGGACAATCTTTGATGTTCAACCATTATCTATGTAATACAAAGGGCTTTTGAAATGCGATTTCACCTCATAGTACCAGACACGAGAAAAGATCGTAGGGATAGTTTTAGCTGATTGCTAGAAAGAGAGATTTGATTATTGTTCATTGAGGTGCTCTTGTTGGTGTTAACAAATGAGCATACAATTTGGAAACCACCCAAAAGATTTTTTTTAAAAACTTAGTATTCTGGAGATTGATTGTCATTTTATATGGCCTTTTAAGTTTCAAGGTTTTTGGAAACTTGAAATAAGGCAATAAAGTAAGGGTTACAATGCCCTAACTTTTCGTCAGAAATTTGGTGTTTAGAATCTAGTGACAGCCTATCATTATTCAAGGATAAATATCTCCAAGTTTCATTTTCATGTGAATGGCAGCAACAAGCAATCAAGCATTGAAAGATAGAGAAAATGTTACCTATTGGTGTTTAAGAAAATATGAAATCTGGTTTTCTGACTTGAATCGTGTGATATGGGTGTTTCCTGATGATGTCACCGTCAGAACCAACTTGTCATTTGAGGACCACTTTCCAAAACTTTGTCACATATAAGCCTGGTTATTTTGAGTTACAGCTTGAATACTTAAATACTTGAATACTTCAATGGCCTGAAAAGATACTAATCGAGAGGGGCTGGGTACGAGTCAGTTTGTTATGGGATAAACAACATGAGACCCATAATTATATGCAGAAAGAGCACATTGAAATAAGCAACATTCTCAAGTTTGGTGTTTACCAGGCCTATATTGAATGAGAGGCCATTCAAAAACTCGAAAATTTACTAAGAAATATATAGATGTCCAGAAGATGTGTCCGGCAATCCATACATCTCGATTAAATTTTCAAGTAGCTGTATCTTGTTCAATATTGGCCTGATTGAGACCAAACTTCAGATTTTTTATATCCTCAATGTGCTATTTCTGACTAATGGGTCTTCTGTTGTTTATCCAATAATAAACCAACTCATACCCAGCCCTTCTCGACTTGAAACTAGACAATGGGCGCTTTAAGCATTCAGCTACCAGACTGAAGCCTCTGAGAAATGTTGTTTGTTAGCTGGAGAAAACAGGCAACATTTCGTAGGAAGTTACGTGTGAGAAATGAGTGCAGAAATTCCATACAGAGGACATGTCACTACCCAGATCAGGGTTGTACTTTTGATTGGTTGAAGCAAATATCCCACGTGGCACAACCAATCAGAGGTACTACCCAGATCTGGATAGTGGTGAATCATCGGTATGGAATTTCTGCACTCATTTCTCAGATGTCATTTTGCAGGGAAACCTGTAGTGGTGCAGCAAAATGTCAGCTGTTTTCTCAGGCTAGTTACTTGGGAGTGTCTGAGTCATAGTTCTGTCTTTCTGTTTGCAGGAGAAAGATCCATACAAGAATGGTATGTTTTATTAAGGAAAATGATTTCGTATTATTTAGAAGGAAAGTTACAAATTGAAGTGCTGATCTCATCAATCAACAGATCCTGTGCCTTTGCAGTATATTTATAGAACAAGAGACAAGATAAGGGACTTTTATGAGGTATGGGACTTTTATGAGGTATGGATCTAGTGCCCTATCTTTCCCAACCGTAAACAAGGCTGTGCTCTGAGGAAAATTGAAGGGAGCCCAGTGCTCTGCACCTGTAAATTCTAGGGTGCCCAGCATATGATTTGTATTAAAAAACAAAAACAAAAACAAGATTGTCCAGTCCCAAGAACAAAAGTTGGGCACCAAGGACTGCCAGGCTCTGCTAGATTTCAGCCTTGTTAAGTGTAGTTGTGTTTGGTGACCATTTCACGGGCGTCTGGAAAACCAGGAATCCGGAATAGGAACCGGAACAGGAACAGGAACAGGAACCGGAACCGGAATAGGCATAAGAAAAGAAAACATGTGAAACGAAATACGGGATCAAATTATGGCCGATATTAATACATCACCATAGTTACGAATGTCAAGTAAAATGAAAATGAAAACAATTTTTACCTCTAGCAAGAAAAAGTCGAGTATAATAAATGGTTTATAATGAAAGGTTATACTGACAAATATAAACTGAAACATTAACAGAAAGTGACACCCCGTGGATAAAAACATAGCTGGAAGGGGAAACGGAATGAAAAAAACCGCATGTCGGATGAAAAGACTTGACTTACCTTAGTTAGTAATGACGAAGAGGTGATTAAAAACCGACAGGGTCAGACAATGCGCCCAGCACCTATTCTTCAAGACTTCGTTAATAATACCGGTATAGATACCCAAAATACCCTTTTCGAAAAGGCCATTTTATCTCTTTTGGGAAAGAAACGGGAGTGTTTAGCCCAAACAACAGATGATTAATGAAAAAAAAAAAGCAAGGAGATGTGAGAGCCAGTAAAATTCGCGTCAATAACATCAGTTGTCATTCATTAGTTTACTTGGTGTTGCGACAAAATGCAGCGTGATTCGCACGAGAAGGAAGTTTTCACCAAAAATATTCTGTATTTTCCCCGCTTATTTTATCTTATTTTATCTTATATATGTAGGTACCCCAATATGGTACCCAAGGATACCCAAAACATGTGTGATGTGACTAATGATTTGGGTCCGGTGGGGATACCCAAAAACACACGGAAAACCCCAAATCAGTGTCACCAGGGGCCCGTTTTTTAGAAAATTCCGGTAACTTTTCGGGCCCTAAATCCCTACTGAAATCGAAATCTCAAGAGAAAAAGCGCGGATCCTTGCTTACAGACCAAACAACGGGACTTTAAGAGCTCTACGCAATGGAGCCTGGTAACTAAATATGTTGCTTTGGCTTGGCTGCAGGTTCAGGGCGGAAAAACGTAATGAGCATGCGTGAACTTTTTCTCCCAGATCCCCTGGCCGGGTTTGAAAAAATGGCGGGATTTCAAAACTTTTTTTGTCTAAAAATAAAATCTTTCCACTCATAACCTGGAAGTACCCACTGTTAAACTGCAAAAAACTTTTTGCAATATTGGATTCGTAGCCTTATCGACAGTAAGTTGTCTACCGTGATCGGTGTAACTTAAGCTTCCTCGCTTGTTTATCAGAGGCTCCAATCGATAAAAACAACGATTAAAAAATTGCTGCTGATGTTAACTGTCAGTGTTCGCGTTTCGTTCTCAAATCGTCGTTCGCAAAGCTATGACCGTGTTAGAGTGAGGGCTTCTCCAGACTTGGGGGTTGCTGAATGCTCGGTTAGCGAGGGTTTTGTAAGCTATTACCATAAAAAGGTATCTAAGAAGAAGAAACGATGTTCTGCCCTCCCAGTAAACATCCGAGAAAATACAAAAAAAATACAATCACTATGTCGGTAAATAACCGTGTTACCACAACACGAGAGTAATGCATCTGATCACTTCATCAATGAAAATAAACATGTTATAAACCGTTTTCCAGTTGTGGGCTTTGAAGCTTAACCGTCGAGTGAATATGAAACAGACGTAGACCTTGTTTTGATGCAACCCTCCTTTGACTCATGACAATTATTGCTCTTTTTTTAAGAACAACAAAATTGGCAAAAGAAAAGAGAAAGGATGAATATCAAAACAAGGTCAACTCTAGCCTCGTTTATATATATCTAAAATTGGCTATTCGAGAAAAAGGAAACGACCTGTTTGGATGTTAAATATGAACACAATGAAAGCAACTTTTTTTACTATTAACTTTCTTTAAGGTACAGGATGCCTTTCTAATTGTGAGAAAAGATAAAAGTCTCCTGGTTCATTACAATAAGGTAAAAGTTATTGTAACAAAAGCAAACAAACGAACGAACAGGCATGCGATCAATTAAAATTGACAAAGACAGAATCGCAACCTAGGTCAAACATTAGCCATAATAACTGGGCTTGTAATAATAACTGTAAAGGAACAAAAGTTTCAAAACAAGAACATTTCTCTACTTCAGAATTGTTTGTGACATCCAGATTTGATTTCTGCATGATTCTTCAACCATACTGCAAACTTGTCTTTACATACAAAAACACAACCGTTTTTCGAAAAAATGTACTTCAAGCTGTCTTTCCCCCTCTTTTTTTTTAACAAATTAGGGAGTACTTTAACGAGGAATCATAATACACTTTGCAGATATTGTACTTTCAAGCGCTGACATGCAAAGAAATCAAAAGGCTTCTTCTACAATGGAGACTTCAGTGAAACCAAACTCCTTCCGTAACTGCTCCGCGTGTTTCCACTGCAGGCCACTGAGCTTAACAGACAGCTGTTCCATTGAGAAGGTTGGGTTTTTCGCAAGAACACAAGACTTTTTCAAGTGATAATAAACATTCTGTGGCTGTACTGAAAAGGTCAAGGCGCCTTCTCTTGTGTTGTACATCCTCAGTTCTTTACGGCACAAAACGACGTCAAAAGGCGCGGGGGGCACTACATCACTTGGGAGGCCGGTTGGTTTTGGTCTTAGAGGATGGTCACATCCGTAACACATGAAGGCTCTGGTTTCTTTTATCCAAGTGTACGTGTAATGGCTTTCGGATGGGTGTGGCACGTCCACGCCTGCTACTCTCGGCTGATAACCAGTGGTGTCTCTCGGAGTTGAAATGTCTCTTCGTCCGCCACGTCTTCTACTTTGGCCGGGTTTCTTACCAGATGATGACGGCATTCCTTCAGTTCCTGCGCGGAATAGGCTACTTTGCGAAGAAGTGGTCGTACAGGATGATCTGACACCAAATGCTTCTGATACTGCCATTGTATGGAAAACCTGTATTTTTCTTTCTTTTTGTGCTTTGGTCATGGTCATCCATTTTTCCCCTGGCACTACCAGATGTTGGCACTCAGGTCGAACCTTGAAAGGTCCTTCGCCAATTATTGACCTCTCGATGTTACGTTCTTGCTCTTCAGACATTAACTTCAGCTGATCAACAGTTTCAGGCCATGTTAGCTTCTTCTTCTCCATTCTCATCTGGATCATTGTTGAAGAAAAAGCTGTCGTCAAGCCCCACTTTTTCCCTCACACTGGAAATCATCCCGTCTTTCATGTCTTGCGCAACGTAGCTGAGAAAGTACCAGTAAAATTCTGCTTGGTCTACACTTGATAATTGCCTCGCATCCATTTCTCTTTTCGTCCAGACGGGATAAAACGATTCTAAACGGGCATCAAAGTCGGTGGCACAGGAGGAGTCGATAAGGCCAAGCTCTTTTCTTGCCTCGGAGCCAAAAATGTCGTCTATAAAGATTCGTTCACAAGCTTGGTCAACTCCAAGATCCCTCAACTTTCTGCGGATGTCTTGCTCTACGTGACCTTTGCAGTACACCATGGTAGCAATGGGAAATGAAGAGGAAAACCCTTTCCTAAGAGCGACGTCTCTGTCTGAGCCAATCGCCACGACGTTTGAGAGGTCAGCATTCAGCGACACAAGTGACGATGAGAAGTACTGGTATGTTTCTGCCTTCTTCTGCATATGAACCATTGTTGGCCCTAACAACGTTGGTGGCTTTCCATATTTCCTGTCTACCAAAAGACTGTGCTTATACGTAGTTGGAGTAACGTAAAAGTTCCAACGTTGAACGTTGTGTCTATGCACAGTATCTGAGGGGGTAGAAAGTGCGCGGTACAAAATCGCACTACATCGTTCAGTTGCCTGTTGTTGGCCAAGAGACACGCTGGTTCAGGACTAACTTGCACTCGTCTTATAAATGGTGCAGAATCGTTTGCTTCAACACGGGACATCTTAATTAGCTCAGCAATTTGGTCTTTGTCTTTGTGAGATTTGAGACTTCGTTTAACATCAGTTACCTGCCGTCTGCTTTTCGGTAGGTCGCCGTGCGATGTAAATGCAATAATACCTCCCGCATCCTCAAACACCTCGTCATAGACTTGACTGAGTCCCTTGCGGGCTTTCACCTTTTCTTTGATTGCGTCTAGAGTGCTTGGCTTACTGCGGTAGTAACACCTCTCGCTTTTCTTTGCATTTCCATGGCGTTGACTTTTGATTGGGTGCGGGTCACCATCAAATTCATAGCGAACAATTACGTGCGGAAGCCGCATGCCCCTGTTGTCGTATCCCTCGAAGCACCTTCGTTTAAAATCCTTGTGTTTTTGATGCGTCCAGTAGGTTTTCTTGAGGTGCACCACATTTGCGTCATGTTTTCCTGAAGGTTTCGTTTTGGACAGGAAAGGAGATCCAGTCTCAGTGACCTCGTAGTGGCCAAGATTCACTTTTCCGACGTGATGGAACGCTCCAAGATCGTCAGCTTTCCAATCATTTGGGTTTTTCAGTGCCCTGGTATCCATCAGAAAGGTACCGTTTTCTTGGCATCCAACAGGTACCTTTTTGCAAACATAATCGGGAGGAGGTTCTCTGATAAGAAACGGAATCTCTTCCATGCCTTCTTCCAAGTTAATATTTAACATGGGAAGCTCTACATCACCTTTAAACAGTTGTGGAATTTCTTCGCTATCGCTATCAGAAGAAAGACTTTGACTCTAAAACCAAAATGAATTCATAGAAACGATCATAAATTTGCTATTTAAATTACAAACACTCCAGTAAAAAAGTCAATGTACTGTTTAAGAACTGATCTCCTTTATCCTTCCTCCAACACGATCCTAAGAATAGTTCCGGGGTATATGTAATAGAAAATCATTCTAAGAACTGTTCTTAAGGTTGAAAAAGGGTACTGCTTTCCCTTTTCAGTATAACTACTTTCTACAGCAATTTTCTATTTTTACACACTCAGGGTTTCAATTTGAGCTTCCTAGCCAGAAAAATACTTCTGATTCTTCCACCTATGTAATTTACGCCATTTTCAATCTGTAACTATCTTTTTTGTAATATGTGGAATATATGTATATATTTTATTTCACGCAAAAATAATAAACTGAAACTGAAGCTCACAAAACATACGTTTGCTGCACAAATATTGCAGTAGTTTTTGAAAATGTGTTAGTGAACGATAATATATTCATAAAACGGAAAGCTATTTCTTGACTGTTTCTACTACAAATGCACAATGTATAGTCATAATAACTAAACCTTTTGTCAAGTTCATCTTCTAACAATGCAGGTGCAGGACGCAACTCTAAAGCTACATAATGTGATTAGACACACATCAGGCGTTTCGCCTGTCACTACCTCTACAGAGCTGGTAACCGAAAGATCTTCGTCTACGTTTCGTTCTTCAGTGAATAGTTTCTGCAAAGGAAAGGATGCTTGCGTTTTAAAAAGGATGATTCAAGGCATGTTTGTTATTACACATTTTATGCTAGAAACACAACAGAATAATTTTCAAGAGAAAACAGGGAAGTGCTCATAGATAGTACTACAAAGATGACAACGTACCTGTGATATAACTTCGGTAATGGTCACATCACTGTCTTCATCTGATCCAGCAGAATGGTCACTTACTTCCTGATGACAGAAAAGAAAAGAAACCTCTGAGGTTATAGAAGTAAGACGTATATGGTCTGTGAAGTACATTCATTATCTATAATATACTCGTGTAAAGCGTTCTCTGGTTAAGACGTTGTTCTTTTTTTGAAGGTAAAACCTACAAAGTTCTACCGTGTTAAACGGAGAAAGCGTTTTGTATGTTACACTCTCAGGTTACGTTGTTTTTGGACGTTATAGAAGCTATTGTTTCATGCCAAGAAGTGACAAATCACGAGCTAGAAAAGTTAAGGTGATATTCAAGTTGACTACAAACAATCCAGTGAACCAGTAAATCGAAATAGCGTATCCTTATGGCAGGAAAAAAGAGACAGGATGAAACAAATCGTTACCTGACTTACTCCAAACAGCTCTCGACGGCTTTGTGAAATTCTGCAAATAAAAACTTCATACTAAATAAATGCTTGGACGTTTGAGTCCCTCAGCTGGGATAAACAGCTTAGTGAAATATCATCATCCGATGTCTTGAATGTGATCAAACGGGGTCAAAATGTATCCTTGAGCTGACACTTGGTCAAGAGAAGATTTGAATTTAAGTTTCTACATTTTTGGAGATAAAATGGGATTCGTCAGCAGGGTTTACCTTTGCAAAGTCCAGTTAATTTTGCATAAGAGTAGTCTCTGTTCACAGCTAGGATAGCATAGGTACAAAATTCAGTGAAGGAACACTATAAAACTGAGACCCAATCTCTGGAGATATAAAATCTGGAGACTGTCTCTTTTGCAAAACTGTCCCCCTCCCTCCCAAAAGGAAAAAGTCAACCAACACTACCCCTGATACAGACACAAATCGACCCAGCCCTAAATCATAATGCAGGTGTGGTTAAGGACATTATGCGACGTCTTACAAGAGGTTTAATGACGAAATAATCTTTGTGAGTTCCAAACGAACCCGCAAGACAACAACTTGCCTCCTACAAATCACAACCCGTACAATTGAACAGAACTGAATTAATTTACTGTACTAAACAGTCCATACTGTACGTTGACGAACTGTTTCTTGCATGACAAAACTGTTCAGAGCAAAAAATACTCAATCTCCTCTTAAAAAGGCAACTTGCAAATTCCCTACGGTATAGTACCTGCACCGAAACCGGAACCGGAAATAAACGGTAGCTACAATCTTTGTCATCAATGAATGTCCATGCAAAAATGCTGCCAGAAACCGTGATTTGGTGATCTGCACTGAAGACCGGGGGTGCTTACAATTTGGTCAGGAAAAAAATGCATCTTTTTTAAATTCGCTTTACTTTACTTTTTGTCGCGAATGAGCATCCCCCACAAGCGACTGCTTTTTCGAATTCCTACACCATTAAAGGGACGTCGCTTAAGAGAACGTTGACCTGTTTATCATAGGTCCACTCAACACAATATGCAAGTTAAACGAACATAACAGCAATAATGTCACCTAATAAATATCGCATTCAGCAGGTCACGCCATAATATTAAAGACGCTTGCTTTTTAAAGTTTTTTTACTGAATGTGCACTGAATATAAGACACTTCTGCTTTCTAAAACGAGCAAGAAATACCTTAGCCCAGAAAGATCGGTGACTTCGGTTATCGGACCGAATGCTAACTGGCAGAAATCGGCATCAAATTGAGATTTGTGGTGTGATCCTTTATCATAACCTTTAAAAGATTACAATTTCAAAGACAGCTATCGTAAATAATTAATTGTAAAGTGTATTACAAGTCGTCGGACAGAAAAATATCGCCATCCGCTGATGATAAACCGATTTCGAAACATGTGCTCACCTTGCCGTTGTTTCTTCCTCATCTTCGCTTAGGCCATGGCAAGATCTGCAAGGCAAGTCAGGTACAGGTTTGTGGTTGATCACCTCAACATTTCGTTCGAATTAACAGCTTTTTCCGCTTTTTACCTTTTCTTCTCTGGACTCCTTTCTTCTTCCATGTTCCCACGCGGTAACGACTAAGGAGGAGTTTCAATGTCAATCATTTTCGTAAGTTGATCCGAAGCGAACGTCAGAGGCTTGGCTCTAACTTTATCGAAAAAAATGGATACAGTTTACACACGTGTGACAAAAAAATGGTTATCATACCTTAAATCCGCATGAAACTGGTCTTGTATTTGAGGAATATTAAAGAAAAAGCTGCATCTACTATGAGAATCACCAAAGATCATTTGACTTGTTTTTAGGAGGGGCGGGAGGGATTACAAAAAATATATTGTATGTATACAACCCGACGGCAGGAAAAAATTCTTGTGCGGAGTTAATAGTCCTATGTTAAAAATGACAAAATAAGGAAAAAAAATTATTGCAGTGGTAGGCTGGGAATTAATTATTGCCCCAACCATCCCCACCCCTCCTCCTCAGCAAAAGGGTCCTCTTAAGAAGTTTCTAAAACATGTTAAGGTCGGCCTTTCCAGGTCTTTTTCTAAAACATGACGTTCTTGTTCCTGCTCCTGTTCCTGTTCCTGTTCCTATTCCGGTTCCGGTTCCGGTTCCGGTTCCGGTTCCGGTTCCGGTTCCGGTTCCTACTCCTGTTCCGGTTCCTATTCCGGATTCCTGCTTTTCCAGACGCCCCCATTTCACTACAATCTCCCTTAGACCTTTCCAGGGTTTTTGTCAACTTTTGTTGAGGACCAGCAAGGGAAAATCCTTTAACTACTGGAAAGAGCTCCTTGTGACAATTTTGAGAGTGATTGGGCAGAAAGGAAAACAAAGATTTGGCTTCACCAAATCACAGTTAACCTTGTAAAATTTCATGACTCTGTGACTTTGACTTAGCTTACCGGTTTTTATTCTAATCATAATATCATGGGTGACAACTTTGGCATTAAAGATCAGCATAAATTTATAATTTCACACATAAAAATTACAAAGTCGCCATGGCAATGTTCGGTGTGTCTTAGTTCCAAGATTGTGTCAAAGTGTTATAAATGAAGATGTTGGGGCATCAAAAGATGCCCTAGAAAACCTAAACATACAAAAGAGCACATCAAGAACCACTCTAACAGGTATTTTGTTGAAAAAATCAAAAATTTGTGCGGGGAGTTCTCAATACAATAAGCAAGTAAAAAAACCACAATTGTAGGTGTAATTTGTCACTCGTGAAATTAGGGAATAAAATCACTGGCATTTTGTCCAAATTCTGATCATTTCCCTTGCCTAAAGGCTTAGGAAATTATCATAATTTGGACAAAAAGCGTGAAATTATTCTCTTATTTCGCTCATCACCATTTGATTACTCATACTAATTATTTCATTTTCCTTTTTTTAAATATAAAAGATGTTTGCTGAGCCCTCTAGCAAAATGTTGTTACCTGAACCTCTGCAAGAGCCATATTACCAGCCCCCATATACTTTGGTGTTGGAATTAAAAGATGTATTAGTTCACCCAGAATATGATGTAAGTACTGTGAGTATAACTTCCTTACCCACAAAACATGAGCCCTCAAGGACTAAGCTTGTGCCTACAGTCTCAGTCAAAATTGTTGGGACACTTTGCTGTCTTCTTGCCCTCCCAATGTTGGTGTGCAAGATTTGGTGAGTTTACTGTGATAACCAACATTGGAAGGACAAGGAGATGGGCCAGAAGAGAAAAACAGCATTGGGTGGAAGTGTCCCAACTGTTTTTGTCGGAGACTGTAGATCACTTGTGGGTTTGTCCATGAGAAATCTAGGTACAAGATTACTCAGACAAGGACTTGTTGAAAGGTTTGTACTTTCTGGGCATTTTGAATTTTTGGTTTTTCTGAGGAAAGAGGAAAACTCTGGCAGCTAGGGATAAACCTCTCACAGCAAGGGAGACAATCAACAACAAATTTAATAACCTGCTAGTGGCTTTGATGCCAGGGGTTGGCGTAGCCCACATTGGGGGGTGGTGAGTGCTCCTATTGCAGTGCCATTCTTAATATAGTCATCAGTGTCTCCAAGATGGACACCATTGGGTATGGCACTAAGTGTCCAGCATGGAGAGGTGTCTGCCTTATGTAGTGTGACTGAATTTAAAAAAAGAACCTTATTTGATTGTCAATGTATTTAGCACGAAAGGACTAATTAGGGACACTATTTTTAAGTGATCATCTGAGCCACGTGAAGGTTCAGCTGCTTGCAGTGCAAAGGGAGTACCTTCATTTCTCGGTAATTTTAAGACCCTGAGTATTGGTTGGGCCCTGGGAATCGAACCTCCGACCTTCCACTCTGTAAACGCTCTAACGACTGAGCTAATCCTGCCATGATAGAGACAAACTTTAGGTGTTCATTATATTGATATTGTTTTATTTAGAGGTAACTGTTACAGCAAGGAGCCCAAAAGTGTGACCGCTTTTGATTTATTCACACTCTTTTGTGCAGATTTTATCCAATAAGAAGCCAGCTGGAAACTGTCCTCGACTTCTGATTGGTTAATGTCTGCATGAAAGAATGTGAGTTATTTAAAGGAGGTCAAATTTTTGGGATCCTTGCTGTAAGAGAAAGTTAACTGTAATGGTGTGTTGTCATCTTTAAAAACTATAACATCAAGCCTTGTGAGGTAAGGATCACTGTCTCATATTCCATTGGGATGAGATACAAGTGGTCCTTTCAAACCCTATTAATATGGACACTGAGGGGCCATGGAAAGTGTCTGTATTAAGTGGCTTAAATTTACAGAAAATGTAAGGAAGGGCTTTGCCCTGGGACAAAGCAAACTGTCTGTATAACGAGGTGTCTGTATTAAGCGGGTGGCCATTAAGGGGGGTTCTACTGTAGATGCTAGCATGCTAGGAAGACTTTCTTTCTATTCTCTTTTCCCACACAAAAGAAAATAATGGTATTTACTTCTTTCTGACTTCACTGACACATGCCCAATTTTAGCAGCTTTCATTTATTCTGTCTTTTGTGGTTTGGCTAAAATTAGGCTCTCTTCTTCGTTTTTCCTTGCCTGTTAGATTTTTTTACCAAGCAAAACGTAAATAGAGCCTTACCTTAGGTTAACAATAAGTAGTTTCTTCACTATTGCTTTTTAGCGTAAAAGTGGCTGGCGCTTTAGAAAGAGACCTGGAGTAGATGCCTTTCTTAATCAGCTTGGGCCTCCACTATTTGAAGTTGTCATCTATACGCATGAAGCTGGATTTGTAAGTGTGTTCTTAATGTGTAATGGTTAAAATTCCTGGAATGATAATCGTAATTACAATAATAGTCAGAATTAGAATTTAAATCGTAATCATGGTCCTAAAAATGACCAGTGAGCTTCTCCAGTGAAAACCTAGGGGTGGTGGGTCGGCAAACTTAGCGCCATGCTCGAGCTGGTAGATTAAAAAGTTGTCAACTTTGTATAGTGTTGTAATTCATTCCATAGATCCTCAACTACAAAGGCTATGTCCATACTAGACCGGAGAGCTTAGTTTTGCACCGGCATGAAAACCATACCAGATAGGGCTTCCGTTCACACACAAGAACAGTGATATCGGATAATAGAGAGCTTTAGATTCTGAGACGGAGACGACTACGAGTACGAGTTTTTCTCAGTCCTTAAAGTACTGTTAAAGTACTGCTCACGCGGGAGCCAACGTCATTTTGACGGGAAAACGTGATAGCCGTCGTCACTCTACTACGAGTTCAAAGTGGCGGGAACAAGTTATCAAATGTAAGAAGTTTAATCATTTTGCGACCGGTAAAGAGCTAAACCCTCTCCAATAAAAATAACTGCACTAATTTTTCAGTTGAAAAGTAGTACAATGAAGCTTTCTGGGTTGAATATTTTTCGGGAATTCGCGAAAAAACCTTAAGTTAAATCTCGTACTCGTAGTCGTCCTCGTCCTCAAGTCTAAAGCTCTCTGCGTACTATAGGTGTTCAGACCGGATGGCTTTTTCGTGTCGGCACGAAAATCTGTGCGGTAAAGTTAAGTATGAACATAGCCTAAGATTGAATACTCAGTAATGTTATAACCTTTTAAACCCTAAGATCAAACTTTGGATTCTCATTTGTTGCTCCTATTCATATCCTACAGAAGTAGTGGGGAGAAGTTGATTAAATTTAAATATCAAGCAAATTCATCTTGTGTGATTATGTCTGTAATTCTCATGACCACTCTGTTTTACAAAGCATTGATATTACAAGGAGAAATTTGTTGCTGATCATTCCTAGAGCTTAAAGGGTTAAATAAGGGGCCTCAATTAAATTAATTACTTTTAAATTTGCTGGCGTTGGTAAGTTTTATATAGTTTAAGATTTCGACAAATTTATACCATTTGTCTTGATGTGTTGTTGAGTATTATTTCATGTCTTGTGCCTTTCTCCTTTTTTAGAGTGCCTCACCAGTTATCGATGGCTTAGATCCCAGTGGAATGATCATGTACCGACTGTTCAGGGATGCTACACGATACACTGACGGTGTACACTTGAAGGTCAGGCGCGGGGCATAGCTTTCGTTTAAATTTTTAAGGAGTGAACACCCCACCTCCCCTTCCTTCCGAGGGGAGTACTCGATCAATATTTCGGTATAGGTGAGCCGCTGAGAGTTTTAAGCGCAGACCCGGTTTAAGACGAAAAATTCCTAAAATAAATAACCTGTTTAGGACAACACCCTCAATTATATTGCATATACCCTGTTTAGGACAAAGGAGAATTTATTGGCAATTACGACTGAGCAATAGTCATTTCTTTTGTATACTTGGAGAGCAAACAAATTTCATTTAGCAAATCAAGTCAATAGTGCAGGCAATAACCAGTTTATAATTAGGACAGACTCGCACGCGATTGTATACCCTGTTTAAGACAGACTCGGGTGATATTGAATACCCTGTTCAGGATGGAGAGGACAAAAACCATACGCTCTCCAGAGACACATCTCGTTAAAGGCCATATAGGGGAGTAACCCCCGGAGGGGCACCTGCGAAAAGCAGGCTGATTTAGCAACAGAATGGGAACTTCAACGATAAATCCACGCAAAGACAAGGATAAGCGAACCGCTTCACCAAGATGGCAAGAGCTTCATTGTTATAAACGAACCAACCTTTCAGGTCTTTTGACTTTCTCATAAACAGGACTGGCAAATTTGAGGTCTTGAAATCAAAGGTCGGTTTAAGATGAGGACGGCAACGGTACCATAATGCTCGCGTGCTCGACGATGTCCTCGCGCGATCGGAAGTCACCGTCCTCACCAAACCGTCCTCTAAGATCTCTAATGTCCGTCCACACTTACCCTGTGCTTGTTTATTCGTTTTCGTTGTTCACACTGCCATCATTGAAAATTAGCAAAGCGTTGCTTTGGCCATCGAAACCTCCATTTTTTATCACCGTTTTCGTTTGGACGTAAGGCCAATCTGTCCAAAGAAAGATGAAACTATGCCTGCGTAGGTTTTCGTTAGTTTGTATCCACATCTACATCTACATCTACTTTAATACTCTTCAACGCTATTACACATCAAGAAGAGTTTAAAGAATAAAAATATAAACATAGCTAATAAAAAAAAAAATAAATAAAACATGTAATTAAGAATATAGCTATACTTAAAAATAAAACGTAAAATAATTTTGCACTGCAAAATCCAGTAGTCAGCAGCGTAGGGAAAACGTTATTAAGGGGCCATACACCCTAGTCGGGGAAGGACAAGTAACCGCGTAACAAAGGCTGGCCACTCGATAGAAGTTGTGTTCACAGGGACTGGCTACCGCATGTCTCACTAAATAGAGGGTCGAATTTAAAATAATTACAATAGGCCATTTCCGAGTTCCCCCGGGCTTCCATATCAAAACGAGGTTAAGTGCTCAGCCTTTGATATGGAAATGATTTTTCATTCTTGCGCAAATAAAACTCATTTTCACAAGAAGGGTTGTGCACTTGGCCTCTTTTTGAAAGTGAGGTTTTATGGAACTTTCCACCATGCCACCTCCGCGTCCCGCAGTTGTTTCTGGGATCGTTACTGCCATGGAGACGCCCCAGTCAGCTGTTGGCCACTTTTTTTCCCTTGTCTCTAGTAACAATCCCACAAGTCTTTTTGAAAGTCAGCTCGGCCCAGTTTCTTCTCGTTTCTAAAGTGGTAAATAAAAGTTGGACTCTGTGTTCCTAATATTTAACAATTATTCCTCGAGCCCAAATGGGCTATTGACTCAGAGGCCATGAGGGCGAGAGGAATAATTGTTTTAGTAAAATCCAACTAGTTGGTAAAAAATATCGAGAATAAAAAAAATTTAGCTAGTTAAAACTAGACTTAAATCCTTTTTTGAAGCCCAAAAGCCCGCGCTTTTCGTACTAGTAGGCTATAACATATAGCCTAGTAGTAGCTCAACCAATCAGAACGCAGCATTGATAATAGACCACTAGTTGGATTTTACTACACCGTAATAGTACCTCTTGTTATATCAAAACTGTAGTGGTGTTTCTTAAACGACTTTGTATTCTTATTCTCCAGGATTTGTCTGCACTTAACCGTGACCTGTCCAAAGTTATCATGATTGACTGCGATGAAAAAGCTGCAAGTGATAACATACGAAACGCCATTATTCTTAAAAAATGGGAAGGAGATCCGCAGGACAAAACGCTTTTTGATCTTGTCCCTTTCCTTCAAAGTAAGTAACTGTTTCTTGCTTCACGTGTGGGGCTGGTGTTGGGAAGCGTGGACAGAGCGAAAGCTATGGCTCTTGTAAAATTTATAGAAACTCTCTCACATTTCTCCCAGCCCTTCTACTTCGTGGGGTTATCAAGTTAGCATTTTCCGATCGTGAGAGGGCTCAGCCTCCTTCAATAAAAATAACTTTGTAAACATTTCTGTTGAAAAAAAAGTAAAAGGAAGCTTCTCGGGGTGTCTATTTTTTGAGAATACGCGAAAAAAAATTTTGAGTCAAATCTCTTCCAGTCGTAGTCGTCCTCGTCTTACAAGTTATCGAGTTCATTCTCAGTTCCCACCACGGATTCCTAAGAGGTAGATCCTGTACAACGCAGCTTCTCTTGGTACACCAGGACTGGCCTAAGGCGTTTGATAAAGGTGGTCCGGTTGATGTGATGTTTATAGATTTTGCTAAGGCCTTCGACCTTGTAAATCACTCCGTACCTTTGAATAAGTTATACAAATATGGAATTCGTGGTAGCCTTTTGGACTGGTGTAGAGACTATCTTACTAACCGCCGGCAAAGAGTCGTTGTAAAAGGGGAAGTATCTGATTGGCTAACAGTTACCTCTTGTGTGCTGCAAGGCTCCTTGTTGGGTCCTTTATTTTTTATAATTTATATTAATGATTTACCCGGGGTTATCAGTGGGGATAGCTCCTTTGCCTTATATGCTGATGATAGCAAATTATAAAGGGTCATCAATTCTCCTGAAGATATTACACCCTTTCAGGGTGACCTTGATAAGATTTCTGACTGGTGCAATGAGAATAAAATGAAGGTCAAGGTTAAGAAATGTAAAATTATGAGAATTACTAGAAAAAAGAGTCCTCTGGTTAGGGACTATCCAATTAATGGTCAAAGTTTGGAAAGTGTACTTACATATAAGGACCTAGGTTTGCTTACTAGCTGTACTGAACATATCATGGAATTCTCATGCAGATTCTATAACTGCTAGGGCTAATAGGGTTCTTGGTTTGGTGAAAAGAACGTGTAAGGACTTTAGGGATATTACTACATTAAGAACGCTTTACTGCAGTCTTGTTAGACCTTTGCTTGAATACTCATGTGAGACCTGGAATTCTCACACACAACGCAATATTAATAGATTAGAGGCAATTCAGAGGGGGGCGACTAAGTTCATCCTAAAGTGTAATGAGGATTATAACACTAGACTAAGTCTATTAAATTAACAAGTTTATTTAATAGGAGATTTGCGAGGGATGTTGTACTTTTAATTAATTTGATTAATGGCTATTTTAATATGGATGTCTCCAACAAGCTGTCTTTTTGTAAAGATCGTAACTTAGATTATGACTTAAGAAAAAATGACTCTCTTGACCTTGTCTGTATGTACAGTAGAACTAATGGTTTTAAATATGGTTATTTTATCCGTATTATCAATGAATGGAATAGCCTACCCAATGATATAAAAGAATCTGTTAGTATTTCTGGTTTAAGCAGAAAGTTATATCATTTCTCGCTAATAGTTAGTGATATACTTTGACCAGATTTCGCGTGGGTGCGCAACGCCAGGGCTGGTGCCAACCGGCACGACGCCGTCTCGTTACGATTCATGACTACGGTTTCTCATACTCGTACGAGATCTGCTCTAGTATTTTTTCGATTCCTTTTTATACCTTTTGAATTTCAGATATTTTAGATTTTTTTATTCTAGATTTAGATACGATTTGTATTATATACATCTCCATATTATATTGTAGTTTTCTGGGGAGGATCCCGCGTATGGTGCTTAGTGCGCTTTTGGATCCTTCCCTATCCTCCTACACTAATTTTTTCAGTGTATATGTTTATGCTTTTACTTACTGTATTGGAGAAAACTGTAGTAAATAAAAGAATCTAAAGGTCTACAACAACAACAACGACGACAACAGATAACTCACGCGCAAGCCACAAGTGAAAATAAGAGTATATTCGTTGACGTGTTAAACGTACCAGGGATTTGTGATTCTCTTTTCTGATGTAATTGTTTAAAGGGAACCTCTATTGTTCTGACACAAAGAGCTTTTGTTTAATAACAATAGGGCAACCATTACACGTCACAATTATTCAAGATGGCGACGCCCGCAAAATTTGAAAACAAAAATAGGCGAATCTAAAAGTTATTTCTTTCGGATACAAACGCTTTCTTTAAAAATATTTTAGATTGACTTGACTGTAACAGTTATTTCCTGTGATTTAAAGTTGTCTTTTTGTTGAAGTGGAGGTTCTCTTTAATTGCGAAACTAACATCATACAAAATAAGCAAGGAGTAACTTTAATTTAAGGTAAAACTCATCGATGGTAATACGTTGTTAAAAAAAACTTGATTGTTACTTTACTTAAAGCAATAATGTTCGTGTCTGTTTTTCCTCTCTTCAGCCATTGCCACTTCAAACGTTGACGACATTCGCGCAGTTTTAGACTTTTATCGAAAAGAGGACGATATCTTAGAAGCATTCAAACGCAACCAGGCAAGATTACGAGAGGCCGAACAAGAAAGACTAGCACAGCTGAATCAAAAACAGGGGGGAACTTCATCGTGGTCAGGGATGTTTGGCAGAAGTTTTGGCTTTGGCAGATCAAGCAATAAACCGTAAGTTTTTCTCTTTCAATCGTCATTTTCGTATAATATGTCCGGACAAATGCAGACAATTTTGGGGGTCATGTAGCAGCTGCTCGGAAGAGAAGTCACCAGTAGTGCCTAACCCTGACCCCAAACAATAGTGAAACAGTTGAAAGAATGACATGTCATTGTTTTCTGCGACCAATCAGGAGAGACCTTACGAGCAGCTCCTACACAGCTGAATTTTTTTAACCTGTTCCACCCGTTTACACGGAATCGTGCAATTTCCGTTCCAGATTGTAGTATTAGGGAGCTTGAGCATTCAACGAGAACGACGACAGCAGCAAACACTTCTCTTAAAGTGAATTTACGTTGTTATAGAATTCATCGCTCTTATTCCATGTCTTCAGAAACCCATAAGGGGTTTTCAACCCCTTATGAGTTTCTGATGTCGTTCAATAGACCTTTTTACCGATACGGCGGCCATATTGAATTAATTCGATTTAAGGAGTATTATAGGATGCCCAGGGGGCATGAGCACATTTCGTTTGTATTTTCGAGCGCTTTTCGGGACATTTTTTCTTAAAGTTTTCTTAGAATAAGATTGTAGTGGGAAAAAAGATGCTTGTGCTGTGTTTGGATGTAATAATGATCGACTTTTTCTAGTTTAATATTAGAAATATGGTCTTTCACTGTATATTTCTCGGGAAAAATGTTATTGAAATTTTGTGGAGTTAAATTCTAAAGGACTTCTCTAAGTTTAAAAAAAGGACTAAAAAATCGATGTCTTGCGTTCACGTTCTCCAGAAAACGTGAAATAGGCCATTTTACAGTTGTGGGCTTGGTGTCCTGGCCTTTGAGTGAAAGTGAGGCTAAGGTTGACCTTGTTTTGATATAAACCTCTTTCCTTTTCTAATGGAAATGTTGCTTAAAAAATACTAGTTAGCGTAACAACAACTCGCAGTCGTATGACCAGCCGGAAATAGTAAAAAATACGATCGTTTTCCAGTCTATAGATAACAGTTTTTTTTTTTTTTACATTGTAAAGCGCTTAGAACAGCTATGTATAAGCGCTATTTTCATTGATATAATAGTCCATTTTCGAGTTCGCTATGACCGCTGAATTTAAGAAGTGAAGACGCATTTTTTACAGCCTTAGCCTCAATCTGAAGTAATATATTCACAAATTCCAACGAGAAAAAGACCTGTTTATTACTCTGTCTTTTGTGTATATTCAAATTTCAAACACTTGCTTGCCAGAATTTCTGAACATTTTACTTTACGTCGAGGCTAACCCTGTATGAATGTGTCGTTAATGTTTATATTCAGCGGTAATTTTCAATTCGAAACTGGACTATTGCGCCGAAATGGATTCGCGCGCTCCTTAAATTAGCATATTTTCTCTCTAGAGACCTTTCTAGCACCCCTGGGTATTTAGCTTAGTATTTATTCGCCCTACCGTCAACAGATTGCTCTCATATGCGTTCATGCCCCGAGAGGTCTATTCAGACTTTCGTTTTTTGCCCCTCCCTCCTCCCCTCAGCGACGAAAACCTTCATCCCTGCTGCACTTCTTTGCACACGCGGAAATTATTTTCGCCCATATCTTAGTATCCCCGCGTGTGCCATAGAGGCGCAGCATAGCAAGGAAAATTGTTCTACTATATAAATTCCATTATTATTATTATTAGTTCTGTCAGACAATAAAGCTGTAACTTTTTGTTGGCAATTCGTTTGCTTGATCAGTAGCTCAGTTTATCCAGCTTCCACTACTTAATCTTTTATGGCTACAATCCTGGACCCGAAACTCTCCGTTTTTGATTTGAGGGGAGGTGGGGTAGGGGAGGGTCTGAATTTTTCCATCTATTTTGTCTAAGATCGTATAACGTTGCGTGCTGTTATTTCAAAGGTTACAGGTTAGAACCCGCTAGATCAAGCCCGAATGTTTTCGTGATTTTATTATGTTTTTAATAAATCTATTTAGTTGATAAGATCAGTGGAGTTTCAACACTCTCTCGTAGTCACGTTCCTCTCTCACGTTGACCGCGATCAATTCATATCTTCACGTTATTCAGTTCAGCCTTCATGTTTTAAATTTTCGTGCCATTGCGTTTCTTTCTATACTGACGTTATTTATATGCTTAAAAGTTTTCTCAATCACGTTCTTTCGACGTTTCTTCTCATTATTTCTTTGTTTTTGTTTTCAATAAAAGTCGTTCCTAAGCGGCATTGCAGTATTCTCGTTGTCGATCAATATATACTAATTATGTCTAAATACTCAACAGAATGAAGTTTTAATAGTCGTTTTATTGTTAGCACTGTTTATATTGGCGCGCACGCTGTTGGCCTCTGGTTTTCCGTTCACACAGTAATAGTACCTCAACCATGAATATCATCGTTAACGTCTAAGTGCTTTGGAGAAATGGCTATGATTGTCTTTGTTAATATTTCAGTTCCTGCGCCAGTGGCAATTCGAATGTCTAAGTTGTACTCTTTAAACGGTAGGCCGGTAAATAACCGTACAGTGCCCTCGTTGAAACATGTCCTTGAGCCACGTGCTTGCAGTGCTGCATTGTTCTGTTCGTAAGAATGTACAGGCTGGCTTTTGTCTCCAAGTCTGTGGAGATAATCCCGTTCGTTTGTACGTGACAACTCCTCACCAGAGTAATTATCCTTCTCTGCTCGAAAGGCGGATAACTTTTACCCAGGATTAGGCCAAATCCTTCTCGTCTAGGAATTTGCAACCGGAGCTGATAATTGTCGCTAAGGCTTTACCCATGGACCAAGCTGAACTTGTTAGCGACAGCTTAAACCAGTCTATAAGACAATAAAACCATTCGAGGGCTAATATTTTTGCCTAACTGACGTTAACTATGCTTTGCTGAAATTTAACGTCGATTCAGAAAGTCCTTTCGTGTGATAATTTCAACAATGAGTATGTGAACTTTTCTCCACCGTAACTCAATTAGTCCAATCGTTTCCGTGTACGTCTTTCGTTATTAAAATAGGACTAGATTTGGCCTTTTTTTAATACTCCTTAATTGATTGTGATCTATAAATAAATATAACAAATTGTGAAGTACATGCAGAACTAAAAAAGACGTCTGAAAAGTTCAAAAAGGGGTGCTACTGCTGATTGCAATGCTTAGTGAATGTCAATGAAACATTGTTATGTAATGTGCAAGTAAATCGGTGTGCTTTCCAAAGAAAACCTGGAGCTCCTGAGAAAACACAGAGAATTATGGTTGAGTTTAGTTCTGTTGTCAAAAACATATTATGCTTTGTGTTCCCTTCGGGGAAAAATTGTTTAACGTCTTTTTCTTAAAGCTGGGGGAGGCACCCAAGGGGAAGTTTATATATGGGTGTACCAAAGAGGCCTGCAAACCCTCAGTGGAGGATCCAGAGGAGGGGGAGGGCCCTGCCCCCCTTATTTTTGAACCAAACTGAGGCCTAAAGGGCTGAAAAAAATTATTTTTAAGACCGCCCCCCCCCCCCTCTTATCTGAAGATCTGGATCCACCTCCTCTGACCCTGACCCTGTTTAAGACAAAATCTGTTCACTACCCTGTCTAAGACAAGACACCTTTTTCGTCACCCTGATTCATTTCATTTTGGCTACAGTAGTAATTGTTTTCTACAACTCAAATCATAGAATTAGATTTTTAACGAACTTATGTAGACCGCATATGAAGACTGCGTACCGCCATCCTTCTTGAAGCTTACGATTTTACACTCATGTACATTGGTGCCTTATGTTATATTTCAAGAACCTCGGAAACTCTAGTGATGACTCAGCCTTTTAGTCTGTTCAGCATAAATGCAATATGATTTTCTTACTTCTTAACGTTTTCAGTTCTCTTTAAAAGCGTCGCTAGTCTGTTCAGTTAGAGCATTTAGCTGGAAAAACTAAATCAACAAGCAATTAATGGAGTATTATAGTGAAGAGGTTTCAATTGGTCTCTGTTAACAATGATAATTATGAAGTATTTTGAAAGGCTACTCAGTGGTATTAGTGGAATTTATTGACTAACGATTTACGAACTTTTTCTTCGCCTTTTTACGTGCGACTTCCCTTGTCATGAATTTTAAATTAAATCGATTCTCCACCAAACTCCTTTTCACACGCAATCAAGGATAAACTAATTACAGAATCGGTATTAAACGTCTGTTTGAAGTGCTTTAATTTCTTGCTGACACATTATGTCGGAAATGAAAGTTTTTTGTCTGATGGAAAGGAATGTTCGTGTGTCGGCGAAATGAACAACCAAGAAGCAAATATTGATGCGTCAGATACTTTCAGTTTTTAAGGTTATTTCGAAGCAATAATCAGTCATTCATTAGTACAAGTAGAAGGGAGATGATTTTCCCCCCGTTCAATTCCACAAGACCAAAAAATGCTGTCTTCTATAATTATTTTTTGGATCTTTTAAGTCGCGTAAACCATAGTTAATTGAGTGGAATGGTTATGAAACCCGTCAGACTCCTTTGTTATATGTTTTTGTGGACCTGAAAGTGCACAACGTTCAAAAGAATTCCTATCATTTTGATTGTATTGACCAATAAAAACGTTGCATTAATTTATTCCGTAACAATTTGCCAACAGAAAACAAAGGATTGTGCACTTTCACGGTGCTTTGAACATAAACTGCAGCACTGTTGTTTTTATCATTGATGTCTGCCGCTTTTCATAACCAGTCTCCTCTAATAACTATGGCCAAACCAACGAAGCTGACGGGTGAAAACGTATGGGTTTAACCCTTTAAACCCTAATATCAAAGCTCAAATTCTCATTTTTTGTCTCTTACGTATTCAACAAAAGTAGTGGGGAGAATTTGTTGGAGTATCAATAAGTTTCATCTTGTGGTGTGATCATGTCCTTAATTCTCGTGACCACTCTGTTTTCTACAGCATTGATTTCCACGCTGATCACTAGTAGGGGTTAAAGGGTTTAAGAGAGAAAGATCATCACTTTTTCCCCCGGTTTCTCCTTAGTTCTTAATTGTTTAAGCTTGGATATATTACAGTGAAACCTGGATATAACGAGCCTCTATATAACAAAGTCCCCGGTATCAGTAATGAAGAAGTTTCTTTACCCCTGTAATAGTAAATTATATGAAAAAGAACCTCGATATAACGAAACCTTTTTATAGCGAACAGATTTTGCCAGTCCCTTGAGCCTTCGTTATATCGAGGTTCCACTGTACCCTACTGAAAATCAATAAAACGTTTACTGAAAGTGAAGAAGATGTGAACTGCGGCAATGCAAATTTAAATGAAGATATGATTGTCGCTTTGGTAATTGCATTTTTAGCATTGCAAATTACCTCGAGAAAAATGTTTCGGAACTTCAACGGGATTCGAACCCATGGCCTCTGCGTTAGCGATGCAGTGCCCTACCAACTGTGCTAAAACTACCAATTTCTTGCAATTGCTTAAATTGCAGTTACCACTGCGACGATCGTATTTTCATTTTAAAACTTTTACTGCTGAAAAGTGCTCTAGGAATGACTCCTTATTCTTACATTTCTTTCTTTTTACAGGTAAATCCAGACATTAAGTGAGCTAGCCGTTTTTGCAAGTCTACCTTGCAAGTACGTAAAACACGCCGCGCATATGTTCCTCGATAAAACTACTTGCTGTTCTTTGTGGAGCAAAAGAAATGGATTGAGAAGATCATGTTGACACTGCATAGCGATCAGGGACTGTGAACTATTCTAAAGTATCAGTGAACAATGAAGATGTCACGTTGAATTGTTAAGTGACATATAGTAGCTGTGATACAAGGTCTACGCAGGGTATAGAGCTAGAACCTATAGGCTCCTGGTTGTACAATAGAATCTTGCCTTTCAAAAAATTGGTTCTCGAACCTTCCATTGTTCGAACCACAACCGATTTCTTTTCTCCGGTCAAACACTGTAATTTTATAACCCTTGATCTCGAACCTCTTGACCATTCAAGCCTTATTTCCATTTTCCCAGGAGGTTCGAAATATCAGGATTTTTAACACTGTTTTAGGGTATTATTAGATGTAATGTTGGAAAGAAGAATCACAAAGCGACGCGTAGCACTAATTGACCTGAAATTCAGGTCAGACGAAACTTAAAAGCCTCCAGAAGAATACAGCTGGAGCTACGTCCTCAGCCGCGGAACGGATGAGCTACGAGGTTGTTCTAACTAGAAGCAGTTGGTAATTACTGAACTTCTGTTAGGCTGTACCGGTTACTAACTTTAAGGTATGCGTGAGAAAGAGGCACATTTTAGGGTGGTTCAGAGTAATCCGTTTTCAGTCTCTGAGTAAAGCGGCTAAGAGGACACTAACGATGAAGTTCATTAAAGTTCCTATGTTTAAAAGGGATATTTCTTTTTAAGGTAAACTTTTGTGCTTAAGTAAGTCATTTCTTAGTGCGTTCACCCATACACAAAATTCTCCTGTTGGTTGTGAAGAATATATCAAACAAATTTCACCACGAAGCACTAACCATAATAAATTCTTTGGTGATCTTTCCAGGCATAGCATTTAAAATTGAAAAAGTTGGCCCAACTTTTTCAAGCTTCAATCCTCGTTCATCCTTGCAATCCGTGGCAACAGACAACAGGAAACAGTGTCGATGCCTAAATATAGTCTAAAATAACAAAAATGACCATTATTTTGGAATGCAGTTGATGTGAAAAAAAGGTTAAAGCTTTTTAGAAAGATTGCACATAGCTTGACGTAGCCTCTTTAATATGACGTCTTTATATCGAAGTTGCGCGCGAAGATTCGACAAAAAGGGGTGGCTGGGACACTTTAACAGGGAAGAGCCACCCAGTGGATCTGTTAATAAATCATTATTATTATTATTATTATTATTATTTCCAGCCATATAGCAGATACTTTTTAAAATAATAGGAAAAAGCACAGAAAAAGGCGGACGCGGTCCCCTCTTCCCCACCTCTACATCCGCCAATGCGAAGAGATCTGCATGTTTTAGGTGAAGAGTCCGTGCTTGAACTTAAAACAGTGCAATAAGATCAATAAATTGTTCTTATGTTATCAGCATTGATGATGGTCTTTGTTTGTGGCGGTCTTCTCTGTAGTTTCTGTTGACCAATAGAACGTTGCCTGGGGCAGTCCATGGTTCCACCCACCTATCTCTCTCAAGCTGTTTACTAACTTCCCAAGATCTTTATTACAATTTTTGCATGTCAACGAAACTTGCGACATGTCCTCTTAGGGATATTGCAAATTACATATGAAGATGTAGATGTCAGTTTTGAGAGTGCGCCGGGTATATCGTATTAAATTTACAGGGCTGTCTAAGCCAAAACACTTACGTTTGGTTTCACCAACTTGTCTTCTTAAAAAACGTTTGCAATCTCTCTATTTTTAGTATAATTGCCATTACTTTTTGCTGTCCTTTTCTCTGTCTCGCCGCCGCCACTCAAGTTTTGGAGAGTATAAACTCTTATCATCTCTACTATCTGTACTGCCATCTGCCTCTCTGTTGCATGCTGGAGCCATTGAAGATGTAATGCTATTCTGTTATTAACCCCCTAGGTACTTGGGCTGTGGGATTACTGCTGTTGTTCTTCCTTCCTTTCCAGAGACCAACTGGAGATCCATATCATGTGCTTTTCTATATGCTTCTGTGTTTATTTAGTTGTGCATCGAGGGAAATTCGTTCAGTAGTTATCCTTCCGGTTACTTAAGCCTTCTAGGGTATAATGTTGTCTCTCCTGGGTTAGGTTGCTAACTGATAACTTCACTTTAATCGTATTTCTTTGGTTATCTCAGGTTGAAAAATTACTGTGCGCGTTAGCAGTCAGCACTAGGTAAGTATTTTACAACTTGCGTAAACAAGACCTCCCATCTGGAAAAAGTTCCTACACTTGAAATATCGCCACCCGCGGTAAGCAGGCTTTCGACTGAGGAAATATAAGTCTACCAAAACTTCTGGAGGACACAGAGGATTGTGCACACTTGGACGTAAATTCTTCCTAATATGTCTTCGGATTTAATGCAACCCAGGAGCTGTTTGACTGCGCCCCTTCGTGAGTCAGTTCTATGTTGTATTATTCACAACAGTATTGTAATTGCTTTAGAATTGCCTTTTAATTATTGGCATTGTTTCCAAGTGTGTTAAACGAGTAATCTTCGCCTAGTTGACGACTATTTGTTTATTTTTGAATAGCAAAGGACATGCAAGAAGATAAGACTAGCGTCTCTTTTCTTTTCACTTTTAGAGTCGAAATTTTGATTCTATGCAGGTTTGCAATGTGGCCTGCAACTAGAAAGTGTGACAAATTGAAATGAGAGTTTTTAGAAAGTGCTTATCATGTGGCAACAATCTGCCAACAACTAACGATTCACTCTTTGTCACCTTACGATACGACTTCGAGCACTGAAATAACTCAAGACTTTTGATCACTTCAAGTATGGTTTGCGCGTGAACAAGAAAAAACTGGAAAACGTTTAGGGTGAATATTCTTCGTTCTTAACGCAAAGTACGTTAAAGTATTTACACCTGGACTAAGTAAGTGCGTAGCATACTGTGCAAAGATAAACCCACCTCGCGCAGATAGACCAGATGAAATTTTAACCGGAGAGCTGCAATGTGTATCACTATCTTGACGATTTGTCTGGCTCGTGCGCGCAGGAAGTCGATCTTTAAATTCGTTTCAAATACTTCCTTTTTTTTTCGGTTCGCCGGTTTTGATTACTGCATCTTGCCGGGACAAAGTGGCTTGTTTTAAACACGCGAGTAACACTGATTTTAAGCACAGTTAGATACTTGACAAGTGTTATTCTTGAGGGGTAATTTTGCACTAAATTATCTATTTTCTACATTTTTTTTCTCTTCTTATAAAAACGTAGAATTATTTTCAATCACCCCATCTTGAGAGCTATCTGAAGTACGTTTTCAAGAGACGTGATCCTGGCTTGGTGTTAATATTCTTTAAACCGATTAGGCCTTGGGTACGACGCTATGTTTCTTGTCTCAGATCAAGAGTCAACAAGCCGGCTAAACTACTAGTCGCACTGGTTAAATCTGGAAGGTTTGTGAGAGTTAATTGAGAACAACTGTCCTCTTACTGAACGCAAGCATCTGTAAGGGGCGAGGGTGGCTTTTTGTAAGAAGTGTCACTTCGCATGTCGCACCCCTGTAACAAATTTAACCCTTAAACATGAGCTCGATGCAGTCCGGTGTTATCTAATCTTGTTGTAAATATCACCTAACAATCAAGCATGCTATGAATGTCACGAGAACTTTACGGGGAAGTGACATTTTTTTCAAAAGAAAGTAGCAACTCAATAGCTTTAAGCTGAAAACTTGAGCTCATGGAAACCAAAAAGAAAGGAGTTTATAAAAGGCGCCAATTCTTGCGTAAAGGTAAGGCAATATGTTTATTTTGGCCAGATCCGGGAATAGCTTAATGAATGGGACGCTTTCTAGAAATACTTTTAAATATCCTAGCAATCTTGTGTTGGGACACTGAGATTTATCTACCGAGACATCCTCCATTTGCAGGCTATGAGCGTCGTCTGCGGCTTCGTTAAGTGAGCTATTAGTTAATGAAGCCTTTAAAGAACATTTGGCGTACAAGTATGAAGATATTCTCAATAGTTAGCCTATTCTAAAGAAAATCGCAGTCATTTTGACTGGACTTTTCAAAAGTTGCCACTAAAACGAAGGCAAGATAATCCCCTCTTATAAATGATTACTCCATTTGAAAGCAAAAGTAAATATAATACAGTAGTGACCTCCGCCCAAACCCAAATCTTGTTTTAGAGAGTTCCGGTTCTCCTTCAAGTTAGCCACTGAGCGAGCAAGCTGCTGTGTAAGGACGTATGTTGTTATTCTGCCACAATCGGACTTATATCAATGTAACGAGCTGCTCAGCATTACAATCCAACTGCGTCCACTTTCATTCCCATCGCTACGAAAACATATACAACATGGCTTGTCTTCACCCGCTTGGTCAAATGCTGAAGTATAATTTATTTTTCAGCGATGGTCCTTTCCGTGAATAAACAAAACAACGTACTTAACGCACGCGCAGGGTTGTTAATGATGTTCTCGTAACCAGGCTTTAACCGACACATATTCTTTCCATTAGCTTTTTCTATCTTTGTTGTTGTGAAGGGAGAAAAACGGAAGGGTAACTACAAAAAATAACGAGTATGTCCCGAAGTATGTGACATGTGAGCAAGGCTTCTTGAAAAATCCGGGGGGTGACCCATACATTCCCCACCCTAGAGTTTGATATGGAGTTTAGCGGAAACAATTCTATGTTAGGCAACTGAAATTTCTTACTTGTTTACGGTAACATTTTTGCCCACATATTACAAGTTGACCACAACTCAACTTCACTCAAAATGCTTTTAATCAAGAAATTGTCAGTTGAGAGCTTACACGAACTTTTTAACATTATTTGTGTATTTTTTAACTTTCCTAGGATGCCCTTTCACATTGTGGTTTTGAAAAGGGTCATAACTGCAAAGAAATGAAATTCTAAAGCGAAAATAAAAAATTAGTCAAAGAGGCCATACTTGTAACAATATAATTCGATTGAACACGTGTATCCTTAAGCGCCATTAACCTTGTTTTGAACTGCCCAGCGCTGATCGGTTATTTATACTCGCGGCTAGCACTAGGAGTCATCGTATGAACAGGATCGTATCGTACTGCTGTGTTCAAATCGTACTTTGGGATTGAAAAAATCCAGTGTTTATTTGAGTTTGTTTTCCCGATCCCCTTCGCCTATCAAATTCGTCTTTCAGACGGCGATTGTTTTGTTGCAAATCCTTTCTTTTTCAAATATTTCTCTCAATTGTTATGCCCTGAGTGATCTTGGATTATCTTGGAAACACGATCTATATCGTTTTTCACTCCCACGTGCTATATTTTAAAATATTTAGCGTTCGGTGATTTTCACTTAAAGCTATATCCACTTGTACCTCTGACGTCATTCTGTGGGATCCCTTTCGGCACTAATGACGTTTATAGCGAAGAGGTCTTGTTAGAAAGTGAAGAAAACAAGCATAGATAATGAAGATATTGTCAGTTCTCAAGACGAAAATGAAGTTGGCGTTTCTGCAGTATTTCAAGAATACAGAACGGAATGTTTTTTACGTCAACCATGGACATCTATTCTAGTCATTCTCATTTCCAATGCATTGGCGGTAAATCCACTTTCTGTGAAAAAATATCAAGTTTGATTTGCTCGGAAGTTTCCATCGCATTTGGAATTTAAATTACTAACTGCGAATAAGCCAGAAAAATATTTGGAGCACGACACGGACAAATTAGGATCTCGGTGATCATGACCTCTGCTTTGTGTCTAGTCAAGAGAAGCATACTCTACTGTCTGAAGTATCTGTTAACAGGATACCGTAACCGAGTTTTCAAATGTTTAGCGGGCTTATTATCAAACTCTGCACGGCAATCTTCTACTTCCACATGCTTGTTTAGTTTATTTGTTCTTTTCTTGTACACGCAAAGACACTGATACACTAGGAAAGGAATAACCAACCTTAGCCTGCGAATACAGCCGTTTCTCCTAGCTCCTTGCCGCCAAGGACGTTTCCTCCTGGCGAAACGTC